GGGGAGTCTGTTGGGACCCCTGCTCTTCACGATCTTTATAAACGACCTGCCTGATGCAACTGTAGGAGGTGCGATGGCCGCATTATATGCCGACGACACCAAGGCATATCGCAGCATCAAAGGTGTTGAGGACTGCATATCTCTGCAGAACACCTTAACCAACATGAACGCATGGGCCATGCGAAATAACATTCGCTTTAACTCATCAAAATGCAAAGTCCTCTCAGTAACTCGCAAAAAAAAGCCCATTTATCTACGGCTACAAACTCAATAATGTACAACTTGAGCGGGTCACAAGTGAGAAGGATGTCGGAGTTATTGTGACTAGCTCCCTTTCATGGGATTCACATGTCCATACCATCATCGCAAAAGCCAACAAGCTACTTGGGCTTCTAAAGCGTACATGCCCTTTTCTGACCGATGTTTCAGTCAGGCGGTCCCTCTATCTGGCTTTGGTAAAGTCACAACTGTGCTATGCAACGCAAGTGTGGTCCCCAGCCCAATTCAGTCTCAAAAGTCAGCTTGAAAGAGTACAAAGACGTGCAACAAGATGGATTCTAGGCACCAGAATTGGGGAAATGAGCTACCGAGACCGGCTTATCAAGCTGAATTTGCTCCCTCTCGCCTACGACCGCGAACTTAAGGACCTTGTGTTTCTTTACAAATGTCTGAATAACTACACGGATCTAAACATCCTTAACTTTGTTTCTTTTATTTCCCACGGCCGCACCAGACGAAGTAATTCCTTCAATCTCACAACACCTTCGTGTAAAACAAGTACCTTTCAGGCCTCCTATTTCAACCGAACTGTTAAACTCTGGAACTCCGTATGTACCTTATCACCCCCGTCCAAGTTTTCTAACCCGACCGCCTTTCAAACTTTTTTGTAGCTAAACACATGTTCTCTCTTGTCCGTTCAGTTTTTGATGTTAATAGTCCGTGCACGTGGTCAATTGTTAGGTCGTGTCCCTGTCATTGATTTTTAGTTATCTAGCACTTTTTCACCGTACGTTTTACATTTTTCATTTTTTTTTTTTTTTTTTAAGGGTAGTGCCCCGCATGGGACTCCATGTCCCGTTCGCACTGACCCTTTTGGCGTATGTCTATCCATTTTTTGTCTCTTTCCTTGTATATGTATTCATTTTGAGCTTGTAGACGTACCCAATAAAGTTGTTATAAATAAATTCATTGGTCTGCATTACAAAGAGCAACGGCACACTTCGGCTGTGTCTCGACCCCAAGGACCTCAACCGTGCCATCAAGCGACCACACCACCGCACCCCAACACTCGATGAGGTCTTACCAAGGCTAAGTGACGCCAAATACTTCTCTATTGTTGACGCCCGCAGCGGCTACTGGAACATCCAACTCGACCACGAGAGCTCCTTGTACACCACCTTCAACTCACCTCATGGGCGATACAGATTCTTGAGGCTCCCGTTCGGCCTCATCTGTGCCCAGGACATCTTTCAGAAGAAGGTTGACGAGGCATTCGGTGATCTCCCTGGTGTCACAGGTATTGCCGACGACATAGTTATCTATGGGCGTGACCAGAGTGACCATGAGTACCTAAGAGAGTGCTTACCATAGCGCGTAGTACTAAATCTAGGGATAATGAAATCATTGTTTCTTAAATTATATTTGTTGTTATTAATAACAAACAGGTTCTTGATATTATTAGGGCACAGATCATTTTTAACTTTAAACATTAACACAGCTATGTCATGTAATCGCCTATTACGTAAGGTTTTTAAATTAGCCTTCTTAAGGAGGTCGCTATATGATGATATGCTATCACAATAAACAGCTCTAAGGGCCCGTTCTTGAACCCTCTCTAATTTTCTAGAATCACTAGCTTTGCAACAATTCCATACAATACTACAGTAAGTTAAATAAGGCAGAATAGCAGCCTTAAAAAGTTGTAATTTAGCCTTGGCTGGGATTAACTTCATTAATCTATTAATTACACCCACCCTTTGACTGCTTTTTTTTACAGATGTTACTTATGTGATCAGAAAAATTTAAATTATCATCAATATTTACACCCAATAACTTAATAGAATTATATGATTTAATGGCTGTTCCGTTTACATTTAGCTCTAACTGGTCATCATTTAGTCTACCTCCTTTCAATATCATTGATCCATATTTATCAAAGTTCCCTTTGAGAAAGTTCGTATCGTACCAATTTGTAGCTCTTTGTGCAGTATCCTGTAGTTTTGTTTGTATAGCATTGATATCCTTGTTGATTTCGTAGAACTGATGGTCATTAGCATACATCCCAATTTTTGAAGGAATTCCGAACGTCAAGTCATTTTGGAAAAGATTCCATAAAAGAGGTCCAAACAAGGACCCTTGAGGGCATCCCTTCTTGACCCTTTTCCAGGAGCTTGCAATTCCACCAATTCTTAGCCTATTATAACGATCCATAAATTATGATTTCATTACCTTGATGCTCTCGTTTTTAAAGCCAAAAGCCTATCTTAAAAGCAATGGGTGGAATATTATCCCATCCCGAGGCTTTCCGGGGATTTGTGTCTTTCAAGATTTTCTGAACCTCCGGCACTGTTATATCTTTGAATTGAAATGGTTTGAAAATCACCCTTAGATATGCGTTGGTTTACGATAGCTTGAATACTTCGGTGATTTGACAGGTCAGAATCTGAAATATCGCTGGTAGGACCAATGTTATCTGCAATGGTTGAGAAATAATCAGCCATGGTCTCTGCGATATCCAACTTGTTGCTGATTATTGAATCATTGACCTTCAGATTCATGTCCGATGATTCCCTAACCTTTTTTTATCCAAGAAAAGGCATGAATGTTTTATAGAATTCATGTGGCTTACTTCCAAGGTCCTTGGACTTCTTCTCCCAAAAGTCTTTAATTGACTTACGTCTAAGTCGTGTGGCTTCATTCCGTAACTTTTCGTGAAGTTCCCAGTCCTCTTGAGCTTTAGTTTTGTGAAATCTTCTAAGTGCTTTCCTCCTTCTTCTAATTGCCTCCTTCCATTCTGTAGTCATGTAAGCTACGTCCCCGTCTCTGACTCGCATTCTCTTGCAAGACATGTGTTCGTCTACGATGTCCTTTAACAATAGGCCGAAAAATTCGGACTGATCCTCAACGTCATCGAAGATTTCAGCCACATGCCATGGAGCTGAAGCTAAATGTTCTTTAAATAGCATCAAAATTTTTACGTGACCGAAAGTTGATAACTTTTGATTTACATTTAGCCACCCTTTCCTTCATGAAAGTATAGATGAGGGCGTGGTCGCTTAGACCTGGGTCAAAGACATCGCTCTTGGCAAAGTCCTTTGGGACGTTAGTTAAAATAACGTCTATTAGTGTCTCACTAACTCGATCTCCCGTTTTCTGGATTCTTGTTGGTTTAGAAATGAGGCAATCGAGCTCGTGTGTTTCTTGTAGATCTAAAAGTAGTTTACCTTCATTAGTTGTTGGTCTAAGACGATCCAAATTCAAGTCACCAAGCACTACGATGGAACTTCTTAGTAGGTTAGCCCAATTACAAATGTGATTGAGTTCCTCTTCAAGCTGTTGACGATATTGTAATGTGAAATTTGTAGGAGGTCTGTATAATCCAATTGCTATAATGCTTTTCGTTTTGAAGTGGATGTCCAATACAATTGGCTCAATGGTTTTATAGGTCTTGGCAAGTTTGATTCTTTTGCATGTTAATTCAGAGGATACGTAAGCTAAAATTCCTCCTCCTCCTTTCTTTCTATCGTTACGGTAGAGCACAAAACCAGGTATAGAAAATTGACTGTTTGGGTAGGAAGAGTCAATTTTAGATTCGCTTACAATCATAAGGTGAGTTCTAGAGTCTTTTATCAAGCCTGCGAGCTCTTCGAACTTGTTTTGAATACTATTGATGTTAAGATGACACATCAAGATCTCTCTTTTGTATATAATTCTTTCTGCAATCAGGACATTGTTCAGGGCATTGTTCAAATGGTCTTGCAACTCTCCAGGGATAACGCTTTGATGTCGAGAATTAGCATGTACCTCAGAAACAGTAATATTACTCCCTTCCAGTAAATTATTTCCATCTCGTCTCTCCGCCACGCATCGCAAGAATGATGCTTAGGATTCAAAAGTACGATGTGGAAATTAAGTATGTTCCAGGAAAGAACGTTCCACTGGCTGACGCGCTGTCTCGAATTAACCCACTCCCAGGCGACACAATCGAAGGTCTTGATGTATCAGTCCATGAACTGCACCTCCACCTGATGCCACCCCAACAAGGATCAATGAAATTAAAGAGGAAACAACTAAAGATGAAGTTCTCCTCTCACTCCGTGCAATTATCACACAAGGTTGGCCTGATACAAGATCGGAATGCCCAGCCCACCTACATGCATATTGGAATTATCGCGATGAACTAACCGTCGCGGATGGCATCATCTTGAAAGGCACACGCATCCTCATTCCTAAACGCCTACAATCGGCTGTATTGCAGCAGCTGCACTATGCACACCAGGGCGCAGAAAAGTGCAAACTCCGTGCCAAGGGATCAGTGTTCTGGGCCAACATAAACCGAGACATCGAAGAAATGGTAAAAGGCTGTGCTCCATGCCAACACAACCAAAACATGAATGTGAAGGAGCCCCTCATGCCCCATGATGTTCCTCAGAAACCATGGCACACTCTTGGATCTGACTTGTTCTTTTGGAACAATTCGCCCTATTTGCTAGTATCTGATTACTATAGCAAATTCCCTATAGTGAGGAAGTTGAGCAACATCCGATCAGATACAACAATTGCCCACCTGAAATCCATATTTGAGGAGCATGGCATTCCAAGCAAACTCGTCACTGGCAATGATACTCTACAAATGATATTCTACAAAAGTGCGAGGAATCTGGTGCAGATCCTCATCTCGCCATGCTATGCCTGCGAAGCACTCCTCTTGAGCACAGTATTCCGTCGCCAGCAGAACTCTTGAACTCACGAGTTTATCAAGCCAACCTTCCAGCAATATCCAAACCAAGCCTCTCCCTATCAGCAGATGGCGATACCAACTCCAAACTCCAAGCAAGGCTGGAAAAGCAACAGTTGCAATACGACAAAACATCCAAACCTCTCCCTGCGGTACACCCTGGAGATCCTGTGCGTGTCTTCAATCCCCACAGCCACAAGTGGGAACCAGGTGTTGTCAAATGCAACATGCAGACCCCTCGCTCTCACCTCGTCGACATGGCAAATGGCAGTGTCCGCCAGCGTAACCGCCGCCACATCCGCCCTACATGGGAGACCATAACGTTGCAGAATGGCAGCCACGTTGAAACTGCAGAGCCCCCGCTAGCACCACAACCCGGAACCAGCACCACTTCACCAAGCGCACTATCTAATGAAAGCACCCCCACAAGCGAGCAGGCCACACCAACCTCCCTGGCACCTAGCCCGGCAACCACACCAGGACCTGTGACCAGAGAGACTACACTGCGTCGTTCCACCAGGGTGATCAAACCCCCTGCCAAGTTGAACCTATGAACTGAACTCTAAACTGACTTTCTTACCAAGTTATTGTTGCAGTTTAGGATCATGAACATTTGCATGAACCGTGAACATTGCTTAATTTTTGTTCAATCTCGTTAGTTCTGTTGTGCGTATTTTGTTTTACATAGTTGTTCTCCTCCTTCCTCATTTGGAAAAGGGGGGATGTCATAGTTTCTTACGCAACACAAATGTATTGGCGCATGCACATGAGGCATGTCCTTCGGATGTTTTTGGTTCGAATAAAATGTCTGTTACGTTGCTTGTCTGAACCACAACATGCCTCAACTCGAGCCGTGCATCTGGAATTGACTCGAGGAATGAATGTACAAGATTTCCCTTTAGCCTTTCGCAAATTCGCCAGCAGACGAGGATTACCGGCTACAATACAATCAGACAACGCGGGGTGGTTATTGGGATAGACTCATACGAAGCAATAGTATTTCAACTATTGTTTCCACATCAGCCTATTTAGTCGTTACCATAGAACCCAGTTCTGGGTTTTTTCCAGTGAATTTGCAATTTTAAAAGCATATGTAAATCGTTTAAGTAATCAAATATGTACTGTTAACATTAGAATGGCAAAATTTTTCATCATAGAGAAAAAATATTCATTTCGTAAAATAGCAATTCTCCAAAATTACTACTTAACGAAATAAATTTTAATACGGTTTTTGGAAATAAGAAGTGACTAAGATCAGGAATACACCATAATGTAATGTTTAAAAGCAAATTTTTGACCCGAAAAGAAAGACATTGTTGTTATCGAAGGATAAAAATATTCCGTTTCGTAAAATGGTATATCTCCAAAACTTACTATTATGCAAAATGTATCTAAATACGGTTTATAAAATAAAAGGAGACCAAAATATTAGTGCGTCAACGAAATACAAATGGTGTGACACGAGAATGGCAATGTTACAACAGGGAAGTTTTCGTGGCCAACAGATAAGTGCCGCTGCTCGTTTTACTCTAGACTTGGCCGGTTTTTGGGTCCTCAACGAAGAGAGACTCGCACACACTCTAGTCCTAATTACTTCTCTGTTTATTTGCTAAATCAAAGTGCTTATATACATATTGGTGACTAATTTTTACGTGATTAGATATGCGAGGGAAGGCATGTAGTTTCCTTTTTAGTAAATATCTTAATTTGAACGTGAACATAATGCTTTGTTCTACCCTCTTTACCTACGTAAATCGCGCTCTGTTAAGATCACTCTTTGTTTTCACCGCAAGGTGAAAATAGTCCATCTCGCAAAATAGTAAGTCTTCTTAAATTACTCTTTTGCGAAGTATACTTTAATACGGTTTAAGAAGTAAGAGGAGGCCAAAATCTTTGGTGATATTTAAATGCTCTGTTAACAATAGAATGGCAAAATTTTTCTTCATGGAGAAAAAATATTCATTTCGTAAAATAGCAATTCTCCAAAATTACTACTTAACGAAATAAATTTGAATACGGTCTTTGGTGAAGGAAGGAAAAAGCCAATGGTTCTGATTGTTGTGACTCTTCCTTAACTTGGGAGCACGAAGTGTTCGGTCTTCTGCGACGTCTCCTCGCTCTGGCAGCCAATGGTTCTGATTGTTGTGACTCTTTCTTAACTTGGGGTACCAATTGTTCTGTTTGCTGTGAAAGTTCCTTAACTTGGGCCTCCAATCGTTCTCTTTGCTGTGACTCTTCTGTAACTTGTGCCACCAATCGTTCTCTTTCCTGTGACTGTTCCTTAACTTGGGCCACCAATTGTTCTATTTGCTGTGACTGTTCCTTGACAAGGCTGACCAGATTATTAACCTGCAACCGATTGGTGTCGAAGCAATGGAGGGCTAGACTTAAGTGACGTTCAACGTGGGACATTGAATGCAAACTGGTGTTTGATCGAGGAAACTAGAAAGATCAAGGGGATTCAAGCTGTTTTTTAAATCGATGTAACTCTCAAAGTTGTTCACTGAGGTGCATTAGTAATAGGCGTCTAAATCTAATCATTTGCCCAATGCCTTACCTACGGCAATGACTGACTCTGGAAAGCTGGTTTACTAACTTAGGACAGCTCCCTTCAACAGGTGTCAACTACTACCGGTACCATACAAATGACTTATTCGCTACGTTAACATTACAAACGAACCGAACTGAACGACCTAACTCTATTGACAGATCGAAACTAACTGATTATGAACGACGTCGGCCACTTATGTCTAAGAGACAATAACATCACGGCTTAACTGACCAATCAGTTTACACGACGCAGGCTCAGTACGTTCGATTGAGAGCATCTATTCACTTCACTCTGATGATGACTTCCGCTCAGGCTACCTAAATCTCAGTCATTACTACCATAAACAGTCTCTCTCAGGACTACACTCACCCGCACGATCAGACTACACTATCAGAAGAGATGATTTGTCCTCTTGAAGTTTAATATTTTATACATGTTACCTCCGGGTTCAAACCATTTACCGTTTTGCAATGTAAATTAATTGTTTTTGAACTTAGGTGAGCAACCATAACCTGTAATACCTTTGATCGACAACGGTATCTGATTTTACGTCTTGTAGGCTTTTGCAGGATAACCTTTCTTGTCACAGGCTTATTGCTCGTATTTTTCCTCGCCCCATAAATATACTACGCATGGTATAGTATGGTTTACACTATTAAAGAAATGAAAAACGCGCCGAGTGCATTGTTTTTTTTTTAGCACGCGGAAATTTTTAAGGACACGAGAGAAGTGCGGAGAAGCACGAGCCGAGGGCGAATGCTTCTTGCTCTTCTCGAGTGTTCTTAAAAATTCCCAAGGGCTTATATAACTCCACAATGCTCGAAGAACAAGTTTTTTTTAATTCCTCTTTAAAAAGGATCGTGAATTGCGTGTGCTCGTACCGATGACGTAAGCTGCGTGCACTATATCTCATTATAAAATAATTCAAATAGTACGCGCGCTCTGATTGGCCATAAAACCATTTTACATGAGCATGTAAACACGGTTTTCGTTCCTCTTTCATTAGTTATTTTATAAAAGAAATGTAAAATGGTTTCCGTGTTTACATAGCCTGATGTAAACACTTCGGAGGTTGGTAGAACACTCGATAAGCTGGAAACCACTCCGCTTCGCGTCGTGGTTTCCTACGCTTATCCCGCGTGTTTACATCAGGCTATGTAAACATGGAAACCATTTTACATTTCTACAACAGAGCACTCGTGTGACGTAAGGCGCGTGCTTTATGGAAATACAATAAACTCGTTCTGACCAATCATGGCGCGCGAATTTCTCTGAACATCTTATAAAAGATAAATAATGTTTAGGCAATTCCATACCATAGCATCGCATCCAAAGTTTCTGTATTCACAGTGAACTTCAGTTTCAAGACATTCATCGCGAATGTGAACCTCAAGCTATAAAAAAAAAGCAACAACAAAAATTATTGATTGTTCGTCGACATTTTCCTGATTTTAGCAAATCTTCAAAGTAATAAACGACAGAAGAAAGAAACGCTAAGATTTTCCCACCGATTTTTCGCCTACATGCATTTCTCTAAAAGTGAAATTTTCCATTCCTACAAAAAATCTCGAAAGTTTTTCACATCTTTTATCTTTCTTCATCAGTCATCTTGTATAAAGTGCTAAAAAAAGTTGGTTAGTTGGTTAAGTGACCGCCTAGAGCCAGAATTGCGTGACAGGTGTAGTTGAGAGAAACTTATCACAGTTGCAGATTTTAAAAGGCATCCAAGACAAAAATATAGTAGTTCCCAAAGATATTTTTGATTATTTTCAGAGATGAAATGATGGATTATGAAGGGGAATCAAGATTAGTGTTGCAACTCTCTGGCAAGGGGAGATATTTGACCTCAAAGTTGTCAAATATTTGGATGAACCGAATAGTCTAAAAACACAGTCATTTATTTGCCTCTGTGATTGACAAGCCGTCCATAAAATTGACTGATACTTGCGGCGAACATTAATTAAGGATGTAAAACTATGTGTGCAAACTCTAAGAGTAATTGGCTAAATACCATCGCAGTGAGAGCTTCATACATTTTATCTATTTTGAAGCGCTTTCCTTGGTGAAAACCAAGAAAAACTGGGGGGTGGTCTATCTCCCCCCGGAAAAAAAACCAAAACAGAAACCAATTTGTCTTTTTTAGTTTTTGGGTAGACCCTTTATACTGGCAAAGTTTCATTTAAATCGGTGAGATGGCATAAAGCACGACTGCCTGGTGCTCTCGTGGACACGCTCTTAAGACTCCAGTTCTAGGAACACCAGAACGATCTATGATCTGCAACGATATGACTCGCATGTAAACATGTTAAAAATATCTCTGGATAAACCTTAATCGTCATAGCTGAACCTAATATTCCACAGCCCTTTATCGTTAATTTCAGCCTAAACCTTCTGATGGCCTCTACATGTTTCATTGGACGATTGTCGAAATATTTGGACTTCTCCTCTTAAACACCAACTGAGGCACATTCAAGGTAAGCATGCTGTTTCTGATACGAGCTCTTATGCCTGCTTACAATCGGTGCAAACAAACCTTTTCTCGTGGAATCGCTCTAAGGCCGCACTTGTTGGTGCACTGGACAGGAAACTTTTGGCAATCTTCTAAATGTTTCTGGAGGACAAAGGAGAAAATGTTTAACTATAATGCGGCCTAACACCTGTACCGCGAACAAGCAGCAAACTGCTTGACTTTCTGGTGAAATTGGTCCTCAACAACAATTGATGACAAAGGGACAGTTAAGTCATTTTTAATCATTAGGATAAAAAAAGTGCAAGAGGTTGTCAAGCCTTCTCGCGACTCTCTCTTGAAATATATTAAGTTTGATGAAAACTTCCGCGAAATCTTTAGCGGAGAACGACCAAATCAACTTAACAAAAATATCAAATAAATAAGTTCTCTTTCTCTGGAAAATGATGGTGATCTTTCGGCATTTTCGTTGTCTAAAGGGTTCCTTGCACACTTGAATTTCTTGAGATGCAAAAGGTGTAGAAAAATGATCATTTGGTCTTGAGAATTTGCAATGTAATCAATGTCACAAAGCCATTGATTTAATCAGAATTGTTTTTAGCGCTCATAGAGTACTTCATTTAGCTTCAATAAATAGCTAATCACACCTTTTAATCAGCAGTCTTAATGCCCAAAAGTATTAATATATTAAATAGAGAATAATACATGGGCGCGCGAAGATAGGAATTCCTCTTCGAGTGTTCAACTCGGTAACTCACGAAAGAGCGCAGCGTACGAGTGGGATGTCGAGTTGAACACGAGAAAATAAATTTCATATGCACAAGCAACCATGTGTTATTTTGATTATCTCATAAACACATATAATCCTTTGCTAACAAGACTTTATTAATGAATGAAAATAAAAGGATCGACAATCCCCGAATAAAAAACGTAAAGTGAGCTGGTGCACTTCATTTTGTTCAGGTACACGGCCAAAATCGGCCTGTGACAAATCTTCCAGTTGTCGATTTTCATTCCCGAGAAATGCCAGTACCAAAACCACTGAATACGTAACTTTCTGTTTTTCTATTCGTATTTTGTTTTTTTTTCCCCTTCTAGGAAAGTTTGAACGTCATCGTCTGTAAGCGATATGGATTTTTTTAGTTTTTTAACAGCCATAACGCGCAATAATTCCGTTAAACGACCTTGGATTGAGAATGGTAAAGGCTTTGCCGTTCATTCATCAACCTGACCGAGTGGCGCGAAAGGTTAGCGACGTGTCAGTAGCTGATTGGCGAAATCAAACATACGTAAAAAATATATCGTATTTTTCACGTGTGTTGTTACGGTTTTTCTCAGGGCTGAAATCCTTGTGTAACACGGTAGCTTATATGACAATAAACTTTTGAACGCAGGGAACCTTCGTAGCCATATTGTCACGCATCGCGCTCCTCAAAAGTTTAAGGGGAACAGTTACCTGACATCCCAAAGAATGGCTGCAAGAGAAAGGGGACCTCACAACCTAGAGTAAAAGTGCAGCTGGAACATTTTTTTCTTAGACGTTCTCATAGAAGAAGACAGTGCAATGTGTAAATATGTCAATTATATAAATTAAAGGCTGACTCTACACTGGAAAAGAATTGCAGCTTTGGGAGAGACACTGGCATATGGAAAGTACCCTTTGCCGTGCTGACAACTTGGCAATATAAGTGGATCTAAGTAAATTTTATTGAAAGTTCATTTCTTTATATGGATGTCTACATACCCGCTTTTCATGAAAGACGAATGATTCTTGACAATGTTCACAACTGATTTTCCTCCAAGAACATTCAAATGATTCGTGAACTGTCATGTCTTTCTTGGTAAGCCTCTCTGTACATCCTGAGTTTGAACATTGCACTTCTTTCAACAGGCATTCTGACTGGTGTTTCTACAAATGTAAAAGACAGGGTTTTTATATTTATTGCACATGTCACGTTAACGTTCCTCGTCAACACCTTTTCCGCTTCAATTTCCTTCGTTCGGAAGTAATTTTTCCTTCCATTTTGCGTAAATGTGACACGCTTTCGGATCAAGTAAAAAACCTTACTTACGGGTGGCACGAACGTAAATTTCCTCAAATAAGGTAAGCTAAAATGGCAAATTTTAAAGTACGTTTCAACAGAAGTCCGCCGGTTCGATTTTATTTCAATAGACTGAAATGTTCGAGTAGGATAAGTACACTGATTTTTGTTTAGGAAAAGGTCATAGATAATTAATCTTTTTTTCATATCAGACACCTCAGTTATACCTCAACAGCACGCAGTTCTCCAGTCCATGAACATCCAAAATGAGGACACTTCACGGTCAGATCCAGTATCTCGCGACGATGGGCAGAATCTGGAAATATCTGCCAGAATAAGAATTATTTCAAATTCATATCCGTGTAATCCAAGTCCAAGTGTAATAAAGCAATGTAAGAGCGGCTGGGACTTTAAGTTAGCCGCATATGGGTTCCTCCTTTGGCCTATGTTTCATCTGAAAACTCCGTTATGCACTCTGGACTTGCGAAAATTTATTTAGAACATTTTCTGATGTTTCTTACGCTCATGGAACAAAAATTCACAAGATAAAATTATATTTTATGTACGTATCAGCTTTCCGGGCCGCTGATTCAATGTCGAGCGACAAAAAATCACGAAATTAGATATCGCTATATTTTCATAACACAGAAACCCGCGACGCTGAAACTTCTTCAGAAGATTAATTTTTAGGTTTGTCTTTCGGAAAAATTGTTATAGCCCTTATTATTTTGGATTTTGAATTTTTACGACGTCACGTGAAATTGCAGATGATAGTGGCAATCTAAAAGCATCATACGACTGCACATGCCGGTACGCACAAAATATCAGTCTTAAAAATGGCCGATATATTTCGAAATACTTAAACTATTAATATCAAATACGTTAACGAAACTTAGATGTGAGTGAACAATACGGAGAGTTTCTTTGGACCAAACATTCCAAACGGGATTTTCTTCAGGCTACCTGACTTTCTCCTCACATATTACACGCGGTTGCGTGACCTGTTAACATAGAAACTCTTACCTTCTCACGTGACAATGGTTCCCTATCTGCTGGACACAATGGCGAAGGGCGTCTGTAGACAGTCAGTGAATAGATAGAGAAATGAAATGTTTTTTTTTAGAATGCAATTCACAATTGTAAAAGGAAACCATAGTCATGGTGGCATGAGCAGAATTGAATTAGTACAGTAATGGAAATTGAGTGGGAAAATGAAGTATTCTAATTCAGAACATTGTTCTTTCCGGGAAATGAAAATTAAAAAATTAATCTTGACCTCCGAATCCTTATAACTCTCGCAAGAATGCGTTGATTATTAGGACGAGCTGAAGATGCTAAATTTAGGATATGGATCAATTGTATTTTGTGTTCTAGATATAGTTGTTGTACAGCGTAAAATGCCGGTGCAATAACTACATGCAAAATTACATTCGGCATTACCGCAAGAGTGATTCCATACAGATGTTGCAGAGTCTGTGTCCACATCCTACAATCTGAACCGGATCCTTCATTGGTAGATGGCACACAAGACATTCACAGTTAACAGGAACTTTACCCGTGAACTCGTAGTCATATCCACCAAGTTCTGGTAAGTTTGGGCTCGCCGCCATGATAGTTTGGCTATCGACGGGAATGAAACCGAAACAGAAGGTTTGAGGTGGGTTGCGTGATATCTCCCAGTCCCCGTCTTCTTTTCTCGAGAGAGAACACACAGCAAAACTCCTGGGGACAGGTGATAATGGCCTTTTTTAAAGTGGTGGGGAGTTGGGGTTGTAAATTTGACAAAAAAAAGATGCTCAACATGAACTCTTTAAATGCGTAGCATAAACATATAAATTTAATTCAAACCAAACGTTATGTTTCGTTCAGAAGACAAGCTTAAACAAAACAAAAGGAGTAGGGTAAGACGAGTCCTTTGATTTGTGGAAGATTTGATTCACTTTCGGTATTGTAAACATAATTTTTTTCTCCTCCAGTGAAGTGAAGCTCCTAAATTTTGTATGCTCGAGCAAGATGTCACTGATTCAGTACACCAATTATCATCATATAGTGATTAACTGGCTGTTGTCGTGAATTCTCGTTTATCTATTTATTTTTGTTATCTAAAGCCCTTTTTTTTTTTAAAGCTGTTTCCATAACAGAGAGGTTTATGCAAGAGTTCATGTACGACAGGCCGGTAGGAGGAAAAAGATAGGATTGTATGAAGGACAGAGTTTGTCAAGGTTCGTATGTACTCTCTAAAAGGTTACTGGGAACGAGGATGGATTTCTCTGTAAGTGAAGGGTGCGTAAAAACTGTGAAGAACTGGTTGCTTCAGTCGTGACATGTACTTGTTATTCGAAAATACTTAGAGATCTTCACAGTGTATTTGTCCATGTAATAGTTTGCCGAGCAGCCGTCTAATTAGGGCGAGTAAGCGTTACGTGCCCGCGATCGTTTATTCGTCCTCTCACGTCTGATTTAGAGTTAGAGTGGACTGGGTGAGGCCCACCCGGCCGCCCTCCCCCTCCCCTTCCTTTTGACTGTCGCTCACCCCCTTGGTACAAATTTATTTCTCTCCCCAGCCCACTTCTGCTGAAAAAGTCAAAGAAGGCAGCTATGATTTTCTCAACGAAATCGCCAGGCACTCGCTTGCCAAAATTACGCCTGCTCTCCAGGTTATCCTTGTAACGTCATAAAGAAAACGTTTTTTTGGAGGGGGGGGGGAGAATGTTGATTTTTTTGGAATTTTTTGGAAAAAAAGATTAACCCTCTGACCCATAGGAGTGGCTAGCATCTTAGTTCTTCTTACAGTGTCACCCCTAAATCACACATGAAGGTCACGAGAATAAAAGAAGTGGTCACCAACTAAAGAAGCTTATGATCGTTAAACACCTTTTCCTTTTCAGTACTTTAGGGAACATATGTGGAATAGTATGAAGAATATTCATACTGATGTTAGGGTGTAAATGGTTTAACCCTTTACACCCTAACATCAGAATGCATATTCTCCATACTGTTCTCCATACATTTCCAAAGAGGCTGACAAGGAGAATTTGTTGAACAACCAAGAGCTGCTTAAGTTAGTGATCATCTCCTCTATTCTCACGAATTTCATGCTTGTTTCAGGGGTCATATTGTAAGGAGAAAAAAGATGCTTGTCACTCAGCGGCTAAAGAGTTAAGGAAAGTGGGATGGCGAAACCTCTTCGATCCCTTCCACCGCCTCTAAGAGATCAACGCTCACACTTAAATCGAAATTTAAAAAAATTTTATTTAGAGAGGGTGAAATGGCACGATATAACTTTCACTGCAAAAATACAGATACTCCGAATGGATTCAAATACATCTTCTTTCCGCCACAAGGCAACGAGGTGCGCATCAAAAGTCGAAATGTCTCGACTGACTGAAAACAGCCACCCGTCCTCGATCTCCGGAAGGTAATAAGGTGAAGTTTGTTTTCTATTCACTTAATCATCAGCTGTCACTTTAGCGAAGCGTTTTATGATGAACCGAAAGGCAAAAAGATTCTTTCTTGACTATAACCAAATTCATACCATAGACATATACTCCTTTCATTACATTATTTATGCATATTTACTGGACAGCACCCACCTCTTTAACTTAAAATTCTACAAGCCTTTGTAAACATAAGTGGACTGAATCAACTGTAAAAGCGTGAGCCGGAGCCATAACAGTAAACCATTTGTGTAATAACAACAAACACAAGATGAGGTTTCAAGTCAACGTTTATTTCAAAGTCAGATAAAATAAGGGCCAAACAGATTTAAACCGTGTTTAAAAAAACAGCTTTAAAAAATATTTAAGCTCTAGTATGAATGGGTTTTAAGTCATTACCTTTCTTATGAAGGCTGAACTTTGTCCTCTTCTGTACTTGCTGTGATGAGAACAGCATCGTTAACTATATAAGATCTGTTATATAACTCATTTGCTGAGGCAAATATTGTACCAAATTCGCAGTCACCGGTTATCGTGAGAGCTTTAAAAGTCGCTCGGTCGCGTTTGTGTCCAAAGTCAATCACATGCGACATGTTATCGCTCTCCTCCTTGCATGGATTCTGATCAATTATTGCTACGTGTATTTTTTCTACAAATGGCCATGATAGTGACTTGTCAAATTCTCCAGGGACATTTACGATCGAGAGACTTAGAAAAACTGAGCCCCACTCACTAAACTTTTCAAGCATCATTTTGATTCTTAACATGTATCCGTTTTTCCACAGGGAAAAGGATTCACTCAGTAAAACTTGTTTTACCCCTGTTTTTGCTTTGCCAAGAAGAGCATGAAAGTGGGGCACTTTCCATACAAATGGATCATTCGCAATCTCCAGCTTTTCTATCTGCTCTGACTGTTCCTTAACTTGAGCTATCATTGGTTGTTTCATTTCTTGATCTTTGCGCAATATTCGCCCCAAGAAGTTGTATTTTGACTTTCCTTTATCCTTTGGTGTCGCTCGCATCTGCTGTGAATTTTCTTGATCTTTGGACATCAGCCATTGTACATGCTGTGAATTTTCTTGATCTTTGGACATCAGCCATTGTACATGCTGTAAATTTTTTTGATCTTTGGACATCAGCCATTGTACATACTGTGAATTTTCTTGATCTTTGGACATCAGCCATTGTACATGCTGTAAGTGTTCTTGATCTTTGGACATCAGCCTTTTAACATCTAGTGACTGTTCTTTAACTTCAGCCATCAATCTCTCCATCTGTTGTGTCTTTTCTTGATCACTGGACATCAATCGCTCTATCTGCTGTGATTGTTCTTTGACAAGGCTGACAAGATCATGAACTTGTAACCGAGTGGCCTCAAGGCAATGTAGGGCTAACCTCAAATGACCTTCAACTTCGGACTTTGAATGAGAATCGGTGTTTGATCTTGGAAACTACAGGCATCAAGGAATAAATCTTTTAAAATTTAAAGTTTTGAATTCAGTTGCGCTTCCTAATCTGTTTTTTCGCGGTTTATCTTTTCTTGCCCTATAGACTCGAAACTTTGAGTTTTTATTTAATTCTTGATTTTAAGCATCAAAGTCTCGTTGAACTTGGGGACTACATTAAATACTTTAAGTTGTGGATTCCCCTCTGACAGTACAAGCTTCGATTAAGCTTTGGTAAACAACCTTCTCGGACTAGAGTTGCCTAAATACCTGTTTAAAACCTGTTTCACACTGACAAGCTGCTTCACAGCATATGAGGAATGGAGTTTAATCAAGTTTGAAAACAGTTCCATACCATAGCCTTGCATCCCAGGTTCTCGTATTCGCAGGTAACTGCAGCTTCAGGACATTGGTCACGAATGTGAACTTCAAGCTGTACACAACAATAAAAACGATGACTCATTTGTTGTAAACAGGACAAGGCATTCCAAGTTCATGAAACAATGGAAATGTAAATTTCCACTCATATATTAACCAAATTCCTCTTCATCCCTTTTGATGCTCTTGCAAACCTTCTTAAGCTATTCTTTCTAAACCATTCTGTAAGCTTTCAATTCTTGACAGGCTTACTTTTTGTTGATACCCAAAGCTTGTAGACTCGGAGAAAATTGTTGTAGCCAATCTTGATTTTCTAAAGCCCTCGTTCAGTGCTACTATCAATGACCTTCATTTCGAATTTAAAAATTGTTAAAATAAAAGTGAGCTTCCCTATCGAGTGATCTAACTGTGAGCCAATTCGAATAATTAAAATCACTTAACTTTGATGCAAACGAACCTTGTCTCGTGGAATTTCTCTCACGCCGCACTCATTGGTGCACTGAACTGGAAACTTTTGGCAAACATCAAAATGTTTCTAGACAAAAGTAGAGAACACGTTTGAGCACGATGCCACATTTCACTCCAGGACCGGTTAAACTCGCGAATAGTGCAGGGCAATCTAACGCAAATAATTAAAAACTTGGCTGTCAAAAAAGAGAAAATGTTCTCAACAAGTAAGCTACCCACACAAATTAAAGCAGCAGCATACTCCGAACCAAACATTTTTGATATTAAAGATGTAGCTCAACATGATAAAAATATGAAAACGTAGTACTTGCCACAGTTTGAGATTCCGTACAGCCTTTCGAAATCGCCTTTAAAATGTACTAAAAATTCGCCTCCCAACGCCGGCATTTGAAGCTTGATCACACTCGCGTGACGTTTCAAATTTCATTGAAATGGTGGAAACAAGAAAACAAAAACTCATAATTTGAGTCAAGGCAGAGATGATGTTATGTGGTGCCAACGATATGCTCCTCCTTTATGTTTATAATTATAAAAGAATCCCCTTTCGTTCCCGTATTGAACGTCAATGGCCCGTAATTGTCATTATGGAATTACGGACAATGATCTCGTCAATCTAAGTGAGGAATGTATCGCCCTGAAACTGAAAAACAACAGAATCAAGATGACGTGTTGATGATATCTGCATACCTGCTTTTTATGAGACAGGACTGATTCTTGACAATATTCACAATTTATTCTTCTCCAGGAACATTCGAATGCCACGTGAACTGACATATCCTGCTGGGGCAGCTTCTCTGCACAACCTGGGTTTGAACACTGCACTTCTTTTAACAGGCATGCGGATTGGTGTTTCTGTAGGTGACATATTGCCTTAGCTTTCTCAAAACATATGAAAGGTGTGCTGTGAAAGTCTTGCTCTACGCTCACTCAAGTAAAGCAATAATCCTCGCAGTTAAACAGCAATTTAAGCAATTGAAGAAAAAGGGCCTGGAAAAATTCAGGGAGCGAGGCAAATTTTAGATGGTTAATCTTCTATCACGTAGTAGAGGCTGATCACAATTTTAAACGAAAACAAATTTCATATGGCCTGTGTGGCCACACTGAAAAAAGAATTGATGTTTTAGAGATTTCAGGCTAAAAATTTATACGTAGATGACGTATGACGGAGGATCGAGTAGAAGGAAAGATAGAGGAGACGAAATACGAGGTTGAGGAAGTAGTTCTTGGTAAGAATAGTTATCGCTAGGATTGTGTCTGTTAAGTTAAAACGTCGCAAGTTTAAGTCCTGTGACGACATTGAATGCCTTGTCTTCTGGCTAAAGGTAATTTTTTTCTCTGCCTTAGTTGTACCTCTGCAGCACGCAGCTCTCCAGTCCATGAACATCTAGAATGCGGACACTTTACGGTCAGATTCAGAATTTCGCGATGAAAGGCAGAATCTGGAAATATCTACCAAAATAAAAATTTATTCTAAATTTATTCTAAAAACATTTCCAGACATACAACAGCCAGCTTTTTATAATGTAATCGAGAGCCCACCGAGAATTCTACTCCTTCGTCGAGCTACAATTTTGTTCCAACAAAAAGTAGATGGGTAGTTTTCTTGGAACTAGTTTTAACGTTTTTACTGTTACATGATGGGATTTTTTACAATCTGAATGAAGAACACCTTCTGACATATTGACTTTAATTTTATCCAAGCCTTCTAGTTTTCAATAGATCATCTATTGGAAGGCAAAACCGTAAATTCGAGTCTTTTTACAAAGCATGGATAGCACTGCGTGAACCGTCTAATCTCTTACCCTATCACGTGACAATGGCTTCCTGTCCGCTGGGCACAACGGTGAAGGGCTTCTGATGGTCAATCAGGGAAGAGAGATTGAATCACTTTTTAAAGTAGGAAAAAATATTAAGCCCTGGGCCATGAATAACGAATGACGCACTCAAGCAGACACGTTTAAGAATGGAAATTAGCTTGAAAACTGACTCTTACACATTTCTATGCAAAATATCGATCGTACTCTCAAATAAATCTTTGATGTTTGTATTACTGGAGTGCGAATTCGATACTTAAGTATTGTTAGTTTGTAAACGTTTGAGCAGACTCGCGGTTTGTGAAACTGCTAGCAGTGTTGTGCAAATTTCATGTTTTCTACATTTACCGCAAGAGCGATTCCATGCAGATGAAGCAAAGTCTGTGTCCACATCCTACAATCTGAACTGGATCTTTCATTGGTAATTGACGCACAAGACATTCACAGTTATCACGAGCTTGGACTGTGAATTCGTAATCATATCCGCCAAGTTCTGGGGTCTTGCGAGCAGCCGCCATGTTTACTTCGCCTCGACGACTTGGTGCCTCAATGACTTGAATAAAGTGTACAAGATCTTGCGTGATATCTCAGTGCCTGGGGCGTGACGTCACTCTTCCTCTGAGTTTTCCGTTCGTTGTCTGATGAGATATTTATCTAGCGGTTAGGTGGTTAGGTTAATGAACAGAACAAACAAAAGATAACAGCGATAAGAAATTTTGCAATTTTTAAACGCCTTAAAACTTGTGAGTCGTTTTTCTTTTGTGAAATTTTCGGTAACGAAAACAATATTTTGATTCGGATCTCATTCGTGGTCAAGTGCTTAATGTAAACCAAATTATCGAGCCCGTATTTTAGGGATATTTCGTCGATTGAGACGACCTCAGAGTGTCTTTTTGCCCCTTAAACAAAATCCTAGGTATTTGCCGAACTAAATTTAGTGAAACAGGTAAAGCTAGCTGATACGTAAACATAGGCCGAGTACCAGAGATTTGCAGACGGAAATTGTGATCAATCAAATTATCATTAATAATTTAACTCATAGGAATATATCTTCCTGATAAACGTCAACTGTAAAATGCCTTAAAAATTAACTGTCGGCCGTGGAAGAATCGGGCCTACTATATCTCTTCGACTTTAGGAAACTCGTATCAGCACCCGGATCACCTATTTAATTAACAGCAGAAGTAATGTCAGTGGGAGAGGACGGCTGGGGGAAGCAAGCGGACTGACAGAAATCCCTTGTTTGGTGTTTCATTTGCCCATAGACAGAATTTAATATAAATAAGTAGCACCAAAGAAATACTAACAACAAAAGAAATGACATAAGAAACCTGCTTCCAAGTTTCTTCTTTCCCGACAAAAGAATACACTGAGGAAAAACACTTAAGAAAAAAATTATGTTATATTTTGTTTCTGTAATTTGTGGGGAAAACGATCGACAACGTCGAAGCCTGCCGCAACTTCAAGATCCGGCCATAACGAGAATACGATTATGCAATAGACGTATAGGCCGTTTTTTTGTTTATGACATAGTAAGCTATTTCACCCAAAGTAAATCGTGGACCATGAAATGTAAAGATGCTCCGAAGGAATATGGCTTTAAATGATGCATTGCGATGCCTCTTGCAAAGAATGCCAAGTGATCCTTGTTTTGAACTTTGTGTTTTGTTGTGAATATGTGTGTATTTGAATTATCATTACCTAGGTAAATTTTTTCCTTTTAACAACTCGTTTTGCCCTCCGATATGAATATCACCGAGTTGAGGAAGGCTTGTATCAATTGACATATGTTGGTCACACCTATTCTAATACAACTTTTTAAGACATGTGACCCTTAATGTAATAATTTTAAGCCAATTTCATGAACTCCTTAGAGTGGTCAAGAGTGGCAACATTACGTGATCAGCCAGGATGCAATAGTAAATAGCTACCTTTCTGCAGTGGTATGCTTAAGCTATGTGCGCGAATATAGTTGCGGGTAGCGTTGGAACGAAGGGTACTCTTTAATCAAAATTAAGTTATGGACTTATCCCTGGAAATAGTTCATATCACATTTAAGTTAGTTACACGACTGATGTATTACCTAAGTGAAGTGGGTGTTGCCCTCCACTGACCACCTGGTTGATGATGAATGCAATCAATGGGCGACTGATAGCGCGACAGATCACGTGGTTATATTGCCATAGTCAGTGCGATGGTTCGTGGCGCTGTAATTGCGTCATTAATGATGCTAGTGTAAAGTTAGTACATTTACGTTCTAATGTAATCAACATGAACTAGCTTAATGCATTGAAGTCCAAATGTTGTCGCACTTCGGCAACGGTTACCATTTAGGGCCAAAATTCATTTCAAATAATTGGGCAATCTAATGCCGCATTCACACCAAAGCTTAAACATGTTTAAAAGTTGTTTTGTTAAACACAGTTTAATTTTTTTTTTCTTTTTAGAAACTATTTAACCGAATATTTTTTACTTGAATGTAGCACATTGGAAATGCAAGTTAGCAAGTACTTGAATCCAATGGAAAATCAAGTTTTTCAGTGCTCTGTTTATAATTTTCATTCAATGAAAACCAGTTTAACAAAACATGTTTTGCTGGTGTGAATGGGGTATAAGTCATGTTTGATAGGTTTGTAGTTACAAAATATATGATAAAAGATTTATATTGAACAAAAAAATTTATTTTTCTCTTTGGTCATTTCTTTCCTTTTAAAAATATATAATTAATCACAAGAGCAGCAGACTCTATATTTGAAGTGATCACACTCGTTTTTGCACCATATACGACGTACCTGGCTTCTCCTCTCATATCTCCATTGATAATAATTTCATGAAATGAAATCTGTATAAAGGTGGAAAAATATAGTTTTAGTTAAAAATATATATATATATATATATATATTTGGTGTGTCCCCGAGGGGATGAGGAGGGCTAATCTCGCTTCAGTATGACTAGGATGTCAGAAGTGGGGAAGGGTTGGCGGAGCTTTATAAAAGGGCGGAAATTTTGAGGTGAAACTGGAGTAGCTATTGTCATGTTCTTGTTGGTGGTAGTTTTACCTAGAGTCTGGCATTCAAGGTGTAAAATCCAGACTGCCTGTGATTGTCGCGATTTCCATGGCATTAGAAAAGAGGATAGGATGTTAACCCATCTTGGGTTTTCCCTTGGTATCCCTAGTAGTTCGCTGGTTCGTATTTACATTCCTTTGTGGACAGAGACTCTGTGAAATTGATACGCCTTGCTAAAGGACACACCGCTTAGTCATGTAGAATTTCCATTTTCAAAGGTTAGCTTTTTTTCGAAATTGTACCGAGGAGCAAGATTCCTTTTTTACGGCTTATGCCAGCTTTTCTGTCCAACTTGCCTTTCTCAGGGAGCAAGGACTATATGAACTTACTATAGCAGACCACTGCTTTGCTCTTCATCTCTTTGCTATACGAGACACTGATTACTGTTTTCTTACTCTCAGGCAGAGGTCCGAAAATACGTTTGAAAAAAAAAAATTTAAGAAATCAAGTTTTGTGGTTGTAATGCTCTTTTTTTCTTTTGTAGCGCTTTTTTAAGGACGTCGAGGCTCGTACATTTATGATTATTCTCCCATCTTTCCAGCTCTACCACCTGCAACATGGTTTTCCCCGTAGGAAGGTTCATCGTCACTCAGCTACTCCCAGTCTATCATTAGGTGACCGAAACCTTAGCTTACGGCAAAGAGATTGACCTTATTTATTTAGGCTTTCCTAAAGCATTTGACAAGGTCCCTCATTGCGCTTTGCAAACGAGTTAACTCGCTTTGGCGTATCTTGGTTGCTAATGGAGTGGTTTCAGAGTTACCTTCCTAAAAGATACCAACGAGTAGCATAAAAAGATACTTTTTCTGGTTGGCTAAAAGTAATATCTGGTGCGACGCAAAGCTCCGTATTGAGCCCGCTGCTCTTCATCTCCTACATATATAACGTTCCCGAATAGATTACAAATGGCTCTTGTAGACGACTCCAAGTTTTTCAAGGTCAACGAGAAGCCTTCTGATAAGATTTCGCTTGAACAAGGCCTGACACAACTTTCTAACTGTACCGAAGTAGTGCCTGAGCAATAAGCCTCACCAAACCCATGAGGCAAGGACTTAAAAATCTCCAGGAAGAAACTGCCTTAAAAAGAGAATACTCCCTGCATGGGATTTCAGTGACTGCATTTGCTGAAATTAAGGACCTGGGCGTCACCGACAAACTTTAATGGTCTCAACACATGCATAAAGTAGATTTCCTTAAAAGCAAACCGAACTGACCTTTAGACTTAATCGCACGACCTGTAGTGATGTCACCGATACTGATACCAGAAAAGGCTTTTACTGCTCAAGAGTTCGACCAAGTTAGAGTACGCATGTGAACTATGGTCACCGAACGCCTTGAAGGACAAGCTTTTGCAAGAGAATGTCCAGCGCAGGGCCACGACATTTCTTAGGAATTATCCGAGGGATAGGCCTTCAAGGATCGGCTAAAATTTCTCTGTTGCCACTTGAATAAAGAAGAGAAATTAAAGACTTGGTACTCCATCTAGAGCTAGTCTCGTGTACCTCGGCCTTAAAGATTTCTTCCACCGGATCCAATGGATCTATATCAGAGAACGCGAAATTCATACAAACTTTAATATAAAGTACCTCATGCAAAACAAGAATTTTCTAAAAATATTATTATTATTACGGGTCTTTTCTCACTCGTAACAAATAAGCAACGGACAATGAAGGTATGAATTCAGTTCCCATTTTTAAAGGCAGCCTTTAACCTCTTATAGTTTAAAAACTCGTTCTTATAATCCTCCAAAAAGCAGGGTATAGGTTGACAGCGCAAATGAACAAGGAATGGGAGGGCCATGCATTTTAAACTTATTTTTAGTTTAAGTACACCTTCTTTTTATTGACTTGCTATCTCATTTGATATTTACGTTTATTGGGGCTGGGCATCTATACGCCTGTCCCGATTGTGCACGGCAACTTTTGAACACCTTTTGGCGTTTGGTGTAACTTTTTGTGGTTCTGGCAACTTCGAGCAATTTTTGCCTTTCTGAGTAGTTTTTGAGCAAAATAGAGGTTTAGAGCACATCGGCAAGCGCGAAAAAACGATTTAATGAAAAACTAGCTCATAACCTGTCACTTGACAACGTTTCGCAGGCCTTTTGCGATCTTTATCTAATATTGCGACGGATAATTGGTTGCAATGATGTTCGACGAGACGTCAAATAAACCATATGTTTTGTTCCGTTCAGACTTTAAATCGCCCATTTTCGCGAGTAACTCCAAAGCCAAATTTTAAGCTATTTTTCTTATCTGACCGATGAAAGCAATTATTGGAAAGAACGAAAAATAAAGCTTTTGACTAACGTTTATATAAAAATATCAAGAAACTTAGGTAGAAACTTTCTGGAATTTTTGGCAATTTTTTAGCAACTTTTTGGCATTTTAGTGAGCAACTTCTCAGGATTTTATGAGCACAATCAGGACAGGCCAAGACGTCAATTGGGACATTGCCCTGTCTTTTGCTCCAGTTGCTGTTTTAATACTTATTATCTTACTTATCTAGCTAAATTGTTCATTTATGTAAGTAAGGATGCAACGTATTCAATAAGTCAAATCAAATCACTGCACCGGTATCACAGAGGTCATAGGTTCAACTCCCGTACAGGCCTGAATTTTTTTCAGGCTTTATTTCCACTACTGCTTAAATTGTGTACACAACTGCGATAATCACTTTCATCTTCATTCAATAATAGAGAGTTGGTCCCGGAGAATTTAGCCTTCATAATTATGGCCACTTACAGAAAAGTTGCTCGTAACGGTGATTTCACTAGCCATGCAAGTATGAAAAAGTTAACATATTACGCGTTATTGACTGTGGAAGTAAATTAGATCCCTATCCCAGGCATATTACTGAACAGCACTACTTCGATTACCGTGTATCCTTTTCAGCGTATACTGATTGTTGTTACAATCTCCATCATGTTTAATGAAAGGCGCAATTTCTATCCTAGTCAATAAAGAACGCTACTAACAGTAATCAACTATCATTAGAACGATAGTGACCCCTATCCTCGTTCAGTTTATATGTTGAAAAAGTAGCTTTGAACTTCTTCATCTTAGAGATTGGGGTGAACAGATGCTGATTCTTTTTCGGTCTCTTCAGTAAAGCCAGCCTTTGAAGTTCAGTCTCTGCCAATTTGTCTGGAATAAATTGTCTTGAATCTCTTATGATTAGTTTGAAAGACCTTAGATTAAGCTTGAACCTTCTCGAAGATGAAAGAACTGCTGAGCTTTAATATTAAAATATACGTTGCTGTGTCTTTTGTTACCATTTATACCTACCTACCTAGGACCGAATAATTGAACATAGATAACGTATCACTCTGTTAATTGGTGATTTTTCAGGAAATTGGATCTAATTCGAACCGCATCGTTTTATATAATATCTCGTAAGGGACGCAATTTCGGTGTCAGTAAAGAAGCAAATATTACGTCTTTATATTATCTTCTCCAGATTTGAAAGGCAAGTGATTTCAGAACGATATCAAAACACATGTTAATCGACAAGATATTATAAACTGAGCAGTTTGTAATGTCTTGCAATGGACAATTTATTGTACCTGCCAAACAGTTGAAGCCTCCGGAAAAAAAGAAGAAATTTTGGGAACTTTTATTGCCTTTAGTTGAGAAAGTCGAGGGGTTTTACATCAGAAAAAGTTAGATATCCCGCGGATTTATACGATAAGGTTACCATTAAAGGTATGACGGTGTGAAAACCTTTTTCAACGAGAAAGAAGTAGAGATAAACTTAGCAGAAATTAAACTTCGGCTGCCAGGTGACTTTCAGACCTTCCGCAAAAGGCAGAGAGGTATCTCTCAAACTGTGTAGCATCACAGAAGTTTTAGTGAAATCTTGAATTGGATGAGCTAAACATAGCTCTTTCGAGTTATATTACATTTTGAGTCGAGATAAAATTTTTAAACAGTTCAGTCTCGAATTTCAAATTCTTCTTTGCAACTCAAAGTTGCTCGAGACAATGAAACAACTTTTTGGATTACCAAGCTTTCGTGCGGTACGGACAGAAATCAAATGAATGAGTGGATTTTGTGGAAGTGGTTAGGTATTATATCGTAAGCATTGAAGGGGGGATGGGGGGATGGGGGGGGGGGGACAAAAAGGCGGTCAAAAATTCACAACCTTGAAAACTTCACAGCAACGGGCAAATTCAAATTCTACATGTAGCCACACAAAATTATTCAGCTATGTAATTACAACAGCCATCAAATTTGATAAAGTAATCTCTTGCCGCCATGCATAAATTCAAGCTTTCTAAATCTCCAAGTCACACAAATAGTAAAAGACATGATTTATTACCTCAAAGGATTTTATTTCGGCTCACATACAACATTTCGTTTGAGTCATATATCAAATAAAAATCATAAGTTTCTACTAAAATCAGGAAGACTTTGTACAACTGGAAGTCCAAAATTTCATAACATTACAAACGAGGAACAAGGCGAATTCCTGCAATTAATCTAGTTCCTGTATGAAGTGATTAATCTTTCGGCGCAGACTCTAGAGCCCCACCTCTTAAATACCTACACAAAACTTGTAAAGGATTTATCTCGCAGCTCTCGCGCTAACACCCTGAAAACAAAATTCTTTTGATCTATTTATCGATTTCTTCAACACCCTTATGCAAAGAAATATACTTCAGCCTCGGGTGATGATCGTGAATCACAAATCATACCGTGCATAATGGTGAAGACAAAATAGTAAGATAATATGAAAGAAAAATGCTTGATAAAATTAGACAATCAAGGGTAAACAAGAACATCATTTTCCACAGCCACTTTTGACAATTGCATGCAAAACTTATCGGATTATTAAGGACTTTTATTTGAGTTAATCTCTTGGGTCACGTTCGCTATCCTTACGTCAAGCAGCTTTTACAGGCAAGCATTTGTACTCACAACAACTAATGGTGCTACGTACATGCCTGGTAGTACATGTGTTCAGTGTTTCGCACACACTGTAATAGTAGCACGGGTTACTTAGCACTTTGCATTCCACTCTCATCTCCTTTCCACTTTGTCGACATAACCAGTCATCACTAGCAGAGGCTATACGTTTGCCACCTGGGCATAATAAATCTCTTGGTATATCAGGAAATTCTACCGCATAGGGAATCTGTTGTCGACGTTGCCGGTGTTTCTTACCTGTAAAACAGAGAGACGTTATTCAGCTTATCATAGTGTTGTGGTTGAAACCAGTGATAAACAGTGGTTATATTTATTATTTAAGGATCCTCCTAATTTGAATGGCTGTTCTCGGGATGTCAAGGCTCGAGAAACAGTAGAAAAAACTTTTGCTTTTGCGTAACTATAAAATGATTGTGAGTAGTAAAGGGCACGTAACGACTCCATAACCAATAAGAGAGCAAGAAGACTCCCACATGACCAGTTTTGATGGGCCGATACAAAATGTTGGTTTCTGTTTGGTTGTTTGAAGTTGATTACCTTCATACCATGCGTTGTTCATGAAAGAGGATACTTTTTATGTCTTTACTCAATTCCAGTCACCACTACGTGGGGCTCATTACTTGCTGCGTGAATCATTTACAAATATTGAGAAATTTGCGGAAAAAAAGGATACTGATGGAACCGGATGTGAATGTACATTATGCATATTGTTGGACATACATGGTGACTGAGCTAATTGACACCCTGAGTGTAAAATTTTTTAAAATAGTAATAGCTAAGTTGAAGCAGCCGAAGAGACAAATTCGCGTGTCAAGAGCTTACTTTCCGGCTATTTTGCGGTATATTGAAAGAAATGAATTCATTTTTTTTGTTATCTACTAAAACAATTTAGTGGTGGACATTAACCTCGCTGCTTCGCAGCTTGGTAAAAATTCACAGCTAATCATCTCTACTTAGGTGAAAAATTGTCAACTGTGTCAAATTCCAATAAAATAACTGGAAACTCATCAGCCATGCTAACATCAGTTCAAAATCACTAAACAAAGGTGGACTGCACCTAAACAGGGAAGGTGACGAACTATTGCAAAAGAACTTTGTAAATTGTATGAGATCTAATTGATTTCCTAATTCCATGAATGTCGATTATCCTAGTTTCTCAAACGTTGCCAGACTTTGCACACAACGAAGCTCACTCGGGTAGTTCGGGTCCTTCCAGTATGTCTAAGATTTTCTACCAGCTAAACGTGGTTTCAAAATGGCCTGTTTGAACATTAACAATCTCGTCAAACATTTTGACGAACTTAGGGTCTTTCTTGCTGAGTTTTCATTTAATATTCTGGCAATTAATAAAACCAAACTTGACGAATCCATAAAAAGTTCCGAACTCCATATACCAGGCTATGAATTTATCCGTCGTGGCAGAAATAGACATGGTGGAGGGGTAGGTTTTTTCATTAAGTCTCCTAATTCTTATATAGTGCGCTCCGATCTAGACGTGATTAATCTTGAAAATTTAACTATGGAAATTCGTAAACCGAATTCTAAGCCATTTCTAGTAGCGACATGGTACAGACCTCCCTGTTCTCCAACCGATTTATTTTCGAGTTACGAGTCATTTATAGGCAAATTTTCGACCTAGAGTACTATTTGTTAGGTGACTTAAATTGTAATTTGCCCTCTCCTACACCTGATGAAAATACTCATCGTTTACTCGAGATTTCGGATTTAGATGGGCTCAAACAACTGATAAATGAACCAACGCGTGTTACAGAATCCTCATCTACACTAATTGATTTGATCTATACAATTTACGTAGACAGGGTAGGCTGTTCCGGTGTCTCCCGTATTGCCATCAGCGATCATAGCCTCGTCTATGTTTACCGGAAAATATCTTCTGATTTACCATCCAAGGGACACTCTTCCATCTTCTACAGAAATTTTCGAAATTTTGATCGTGAAAATTTTCGAAATGAAATCTCTCAACAAGACTGGTCGTTCAATGAATCAGAATATCTAAATTTGGCATGGTCTAACTGAAAAACAAAACTTTTGCGCGTTGTTAAGTCTCATGCTCCTTTTCGAACTAGACGTACTAAATTGAACAAAACACCCTGGATTAATTCAGCCTTGAAGAAAGTTAGCGCTGTCGCGATGCTGCTAAAAGGAAAGCGATGAAAACAAAGAATCCTCAAAACTGGGGCAATCACAGAAAGCTCCGAAATCGAATCAACGATAAAGTGAAAACCACTAAGGCATCCTATTATCACAATAGTTTTATTCAGTCTAAAGGAAATGTTCGAAGGACTTGGAAAACTATTAAACAACCTCATGTCTCGTTGTCAGAACAATCAGATAGTAAAGGATGTGAAAGTATATGGCATCTCTATCTGTAACTCTAACGAGATTTCCAACGCCTTTAACGAACACTTTTCAACTATTGGACCCAGGCTAGCCCGTGAAATACCCTTAACTTCGGACGAGGAGTCTATTTATTTAGAAAATAGTACTGAAAATTACAACAAATTTTGTTTTCGTCCAACTACTACCAGTGATGTCTTTACCCTTCTAAATAGATTGTCAAAAACTTAAGCTACAGGACTAGATAATATCTCTGTTAGGTTGATTCGTGAGTATGCTGATATTATTTCAGGCCCGTTATGCGATCTATTTAATAAATCCCTGATGTCTGGCATATTTTCCTGACGACTGGAAATGTGCCAGAGTGACTCCGTTGTTTAAACAGGGCGAGTCATCTAACTTAAACAACTACCGACCTATCTCAGTCATTTCCGTAGCAGCCAAAGTGTTCAAGAGGATTGTGTACGATCAGTTATACAACTTATTAAGTAGTGAAGAAATCATTTCTAAACAACAATCTGGTTTCAGGTCTCTGCACTCAACTGTTACTGCACTTCTAGAAGCCACTGACAGTTGGGCGTTTAATATCGATCGTGGCTACGTCAATTCCAGTGTTTCTCGACTTAAAAAAGACATTCGGCACTGTTGATCATAAGATATTACCAACTAAAATGAATCGGTGTGGAATTCAAGGTAAAATTCTTGATTGGTTTAAATCGTATTTGACTAATCGTACGCAACGGCGCTCAGTTAACGATTGTCTCTCTGACTTTACCTCTCTTAAATGTGGTGTGCCACAGGGAACGATCCTTGGCCCTATTTTATTTCTAATTTATATTAACGATTTGTCTAACTGTCTTTCGTTCAGCAAACCTAGAATGTATGCTGATGACACCCACATTACTTATGCTGGTTCTGATTTGTATTTGATTCAGTCTAGTCTATCTCACGACCTTAAAAAGCTAAGCAAATGGCTTGTGTCTAACAGACTTACCTTGAACGCTACAACAACTGAATTTATGTTGATCGGCTCCAGGCAAAGACTAAGTACTCTATCTGATACACTCGAAATCTCCATTGATAATATTCCGATTGAACAAGTTTCCTCTGTGAAATCACTTGTAATATATATCAATGAAAATTTAACGTGACATTCCCACATTGATAAACTGTGTGAAAAGATCGCTTCTGCAATTGGAGTCATACAGCGAGTTAAGCCATTTGTGCCTCAATCCATCCTACTCAATAAATACAACTCACTAGTTCAAACTCTCTTTGATTACTGCAGCCTAGTCTGGGGTAATTGTGGCCAAACATTATCTATCAAGCTACAAAAACTACAAAACCGTGCTGCACGAGTAATAACTTCATCAAACTATGACGTAGATGTCGATTCTTTGTTTCACAAACTCAGCTGGAAAGTCTTGACTCAACGTCAAATTCAGAACTCCTTAATGGTTTTCAAGTCTTTAAACGGGCTGGTTCCTGAATATTCCACGTCTAAATTTATAAGGCGAAATGAATCAAACTAGTCTCTGAGGGACTCGGTAAGCAAACTTACGGTCCCCTTTCCAAAAACTAATTACATGAAAAATAGTTTTAGTTACAACGGCGCAACCCTTTTGAACAGCTTGCCCTGTAGCATTAGAGAGTCTGGTTCATTAAATCAATTTAAACGCCTTCTCTATAAAAATTTTTAAACACGGCATTCATGGAAATCAGGTTTTTTTTTCTTTTTAAATAGCATATTGTAAGTTAATACAATGTTAGGATTAGGATTTTTAGGTTCTAGGATGTTAGTCATTGTATTAGAATTTAATGTACCTGATGAATTTTTTACCGTGTATAAATAAATGAATAAATTAAATGAAATAAATAAATAAAATGAATCGACTCCGGTGATATAATGCCTCTACGAGAATGACCATTTGCGCATGCACTCTTGTCGGAAAAACGATTCTAATTAAAAGATCAGAAAAAAAGTAATTCCGAATTTAGTTTCAATTTAAATGCATGCTATTTTAGTAGTCATTTGCTCATATGGCGACATTACCTTTTATTGATACCCCTACATTATCGCCTCAATTCCGAAAAAACTCAGAATTCTTCAGGTCTACCACTGTTTTGTCCGAACGCGATGTATTGAGGAATTCTCGCATGCTTACCATTTGTTTGGATCCTGATAGATTTCACGGTGTCCTCTATCTTTTTGAGGTAGTATATTGCGTAGTTTTCACAAAACGAGGCCATCTCTTCGCTTAGAGCAGATGTATCAGTCACCTCATCATTCACTGTCCATTTGTTTTCAATAACTGACTTCTTGCTGATGGTTATCTGTAAGATGTAGATTAGACATATTACTTCCCAGCAGGTGAAACTAAAACGAGACAGAAAGTACAGCTGAGAATGACGGTCAAGATAAGTTACCTATCGTTATGCTACTGAAGAAGTCTACCCCACAGTTCTCTTTCAACGGTTAGGGTGTGAAGAACGGGGGAATTCATAGAGAATCATCGCTCCTTAACTCAGCTCTTTGACAACGGCTTCGAAGAACCTTTGCGAGTTCACCAAGCAAAAGCAACTTCATAGAGAGAGAGGTGTTTTCCCTTTCTCTCTACCCAAACCTTTTTCAGATCTTAGTTTCAATTGAGTAAGAGATGCAATTTTCTAGCTAGCTAAGAAAAATTCTAGATAAATCTTCACTGTGTTTGTTTAGCTCTTCTTTGATTGCTGAGACTCAAAAATTAACCAGCACTGAACAATTTTGGCAAGGTTTTCGTTGGAGTGAAAGAGAGACTGAGATGTTAATATTGAAAACCTTTCGTCGAAAGTGTTATTCAAGGAATTCAAATCCAAAAGCCATCCCCTCCTGCTGCTTAAAAGAGGCTAGAAATAAGTAAAAACTGTGCCAAACTCGAAAGGGGATGAAAAAGGATCTCCTCCACACATGAACAAAATTTTACTCTTGCTCTACTTTGAAGATTGCTCTGGTGTGTTTTATGCATGCCCATTTTCATGCTGAGTTGTTAAAAGGCACATCAGAAAAATAAAATTGGCATTTTCTTACCCCGTTAGCCTTGTCGAGATCATTAATGAGTTTCTCTGGCGTCGAAACTTCCATTTCTAGAGGCAAAATATAACAGATCTTCTTTTCCGGCAACTGCATCATGCTGAGATTCTGCAGAAAGAGAAAATAATTCTTATTTAACCTAAAGCAAGAATAGATAGGTATCTGACTATATTAATGACCAGTGTGGAAAGATTTCGTCGGTAATTTGTCTGAGCAAGAAACGGTCACATATGGTTAAAATTAAAACAGGCTGAAATGAAGATCAGTAACAAACAAATGGGAAAAAGAACTTAAGCCAGGAGGCAGTTGGAGATCGAATTTCACTGCAATTGGCAAAACACAACAGAAACTAGATTATATGATTTAATTTCAAGTTACTGCTTAGACGACCTTTCACCATGAAAAAATTATGCAGATATGGCCTAACTTCAAAGAGCCAGACTCTATTCACCACACCTTCCTTTAACGTCACAACACTCCAGAATTTTATACGGAAGTTATTTATCGTTTTAGTGCAAAATACTCATGCACTTCCTTGAGTGCGTTTTAATTACTATTTACTATAAGCAAAATATTACTTATATCACCCAAAAACGTTTTCCAAAGCATGTGATATTGACGAGTTTGTGTCTAAATTTGAACAAAAATTAGACATTTAGAATTAATTTGAGTCGAAGTGCTTCTTAACTCATGCATAATTACTTTCCTCAATTAATTTACATTTTTACGCAAAATTTTTCTATGCTCGACTATAAACAGTTTTACGGTAATAAAAATTAACTTTAGCTCCCTTATCTTTGTATTGTCGTGAGAAATAAAGTGTCACTACTGAAGCAGGGAAGGGAGAGGGCTACAGGTGAAAAACTAAAGAGACTTAAAATTGTAGCCAATGAAGTGTTAGCCACTGCTATTGAGCTATTTAGAAGTGAGTGGAGGAGGGGGTGGGGGCTTTAAATTCAAAGTAAAAACGAATTTTTTTGTCCCAATAAAGAATCCAAAGATAGTCTTAATCCAAAAGTACGGTTGTGTCTCTACAAGCGTGAGAAATAACTAGATATGATATGTCAATGTTTTGCATGAGAACATCCGTGAGTGAAGTATAATGAAACAATATTTGTGTGGTATTTACTGAGGGTCTTCTCCAAACTGAATAAGACAAAGTGTGAGGCAGTAGTTGGAGTGAACATTTGATTACTGTTATTTGCAATTTCAGGGGTTATGGGAGCATTGAAACGTTTTCGTTTTAGAATCGGTAAGATGAAACGAAAAAAACGGAACAGCTCTTCTGGTTTCCTACTTATGTGGGGATTGTATATTGGTAGAGAATTACAACTGACATATCTTCTAAGTCAAATGTTTTTGGTTGCCCCCCAAAATCTTCCACCCCCCCTCCCCTCCCCCGAGCGATAAATAATGACTGTTCTCCTAGCCAATTATGGGCCTCTTTCATAATCTGAATGAGAGGGACGACCTTGGTCCTGTAATTTTTTCATCGAGTCGGGCTGTCAAGGTGGTAAATGGCCCTTATAGAAGTACTGAAAGAAATTGAGGCGATTTCGTTCGATGGTCATCGAACTCAGGCTGAAATAGGGTTTTAACTCTTTACTTCGTTACGGCTTAGGCAACATCACTATGGGCTTGAGTAAATTAAAATTAAGATGACAGACTTACCTTTTTGAAATCGTGCAAAATATTGCTTTGCTCCACGTTAACATGAGCAGGAACTTTAAACAGTTCGGTCTGCTTCTCTGTGTCCACCTCGATTGTCTCGGTGTACTCTTCCCCAGACTCCCTGATCTGAATGTTATAACCCACGACCTTGAAAATGCAATGACATTTTACAAGGTGGTTTGTTAATACGTTATTAATACGAAGCCTTGCATGTTCCAGAAGGTCAGGCAGTAAAAAGAGCAAGATGCGACGAATAAACGGTAAAAGCTTGGGTCGCTAATTCTAAAACTCGCGCTTATTGCATACGGTTTACAGCGAGTCCGTTTACTACCTGAAGGCCCAAAACAGTCCAGAAGAAGCCAGACTGTTAAAAACCTCCTATAAGGTACATAGACATTCCATTTTGAATGTTTTTTTTTCGCAAGATGAGAAAACCCTGATCCTATTTAAAGGAAGCGAGATTGAAAATGGACACGGCATTATACTTCAAACTTTTATAATCGAGGGTTCAAACTTGTTTAAAACCTTCAAACAGCTTCTTTGATCTACGTACCCTATCAAAGGACAACAGTGCCGAACGTGAAGTGCTATTTCGAGAGTGAGTACCTTGAGATCCATTTCAAATACTGCAGCTCAAATCCACACAACGTATTGAATATAGAAACAACACCATCTCTCGGTGGCAAACGCACGAGGCTCAGACTTCTTTTGACTCAATGTCACGCAAATGTCATCTCGTGACTAGTTGCACGAGAAATCAAGGCCATGATTTAGGGGTTAGATTGCAGTCTCACTTCACTGATCTACACGGCTTAGCTACATCAATGAAACAGCTCACCTTTTGAGAAGGAGAATCCATTTCTACATAAAAAGGGCTGGCAGGAGCCAACTTAACCAAAGCGAGAAATAAAAGAAAGATGACCGGTAGCCGGGTTCTTGTGGTGGTGCATGTGTACTGCGCAGAGTTAAAAAAAATACAACAAAAATAAATTCAAGTAAAATGAAAGTGAAACATTTCAAATCGTGAGCAATATCTCAAAGTCGCAAAACGCATGACTTTCCAGATTAAGTTACGAATGTTTCGGTGGCATCACGTCAACAGGGAAATTAAATTGTATCTCGCGACTAGAGGCTCTTGACTGGCCATTTGAATGGCCATTTAAATTTAAGCCTCAAATTTAAAGAATGAGAAAAGTTAACAAAAAGTCGAGCTTATAAAAAGATGATTATCTGAGAGTTGGTTTCCTACTTATAATTCAGCGACGCCTTGATCTCTAGGAAAAAACAAGGCATAATTTTTCTTGATACTTACAAACTGCATGGTGCTTCTTTGTTCCTGTAGTATAATTTACTTGTTCCAGACGTTGAAATATTTCTTCTTGGTGCTCTTCTCTCAATTAATGAACATCTCTTCTGCCGAGACTTTGCTTTTTATATGTTTTACATGGCGTGACGATTTTGTTGTCTCAGTAGTAACGGATATGATCTGTCTGTTCCGTTCTCCTTCCTTCAGCAAGCACGGAAAATGATCAGGGGTAATAGTAAAGTCATATACAAGTAAGCAAGAATTAGAATACACTATGAGATCAATGATTATATTGAAAACAAAAGTTTGCAATAAATGATTCCCAATTATACGGAGTGCAGAGCAATTGAAAATCCGGAAGAAATTTAATTTTGCTTCAGGTAAATCAAAGGTAAGTTGCTTAATCAGCTCTCAAGGAACTTAAGACCTTGTAGATAGAGCACGTGTCATTGTAACCTAATTCCCTGGTAGTGCAATACGTATCCGTATTTTGCATAATTGTCACGCGTGAGGAGCGCATACACATCATGAAGAGAGAAGAAAACATACAGAGGCATCAAATCTAAACCAAGCATGGTTTAATCCGTTTATCAATTTCCAACTTCAAAGCGACACAGGAATCTGATCGTGGAGGAAAGTTCATATGCAGGTAGCTCCTGAGTATCTGAAAAAAAAAAGTATACGAATACAAATGCCCCCCTCAGCTAAAGCGGAACACGTACTAGGTTAATCAACAAGAAACTCAAGCAAATTTTTCGACTCCAAACCACTATGGTGCACCCGCAGGGTAAACATATACCAGACGCTTTCAAAAGACATCGAGAGTTCATACTATAAAGTGCAAAAGACAATGGCAAAAAAAAGAGATATCCACTTCGGGGTCAAATAATTCATTCAGTTGGTATGTTTGGCGTTGGTTTTTTTCCAGCCGAAACAGTTAATTAGGAGAGCAGATAGAAAGTAAATGACTGTCCCCTGCTAAAGCGCGCTTTAATCGTCAAATCTGGGTAATTGCGTAGATTTCTTAGCCTAAGAAATCTAAGATCGGGTAAGGTCAATTCCTAATGCAGTCCGTTAGTCTGCCTTGTTTTAAAGATTAAAATCAACGAGGAGCAGAGAAAGAAAAATATCATGAGTAAAGAATTTGACAACTGAGAGGGATTTACTTCTACTAATTACGAATGACAGGGATTTAATTATGCTAAATATGATCAAAAGTCCCCTTTGGTGACGCTCTGTAAACAGCTGTAAAGGAAATAAATACTTAGAGGAGGAAGAAGTGTTTTCCGTTTGGCCAGTTTGAAATTTCTATCGTGGCTTACATAAATGGTCAATCAAGAAAAAGGACATGACTTTGTCCCTCGCTGAAGCACGTCTTCAGGATTTATATCTTAATTCTGCGACAGTGAGTAATTCACAATATGACCACTAATAAGGTCGGTTAATGCACATCTTTGAGGGATCGATCGAATGGCAATAAGAATCGAATAGGGAAGTAGCCTTTCCCGTCACTCGTTTGGAACACGGTTTCTGTGCTGTCGTCCAACTTGCGCTTCATTCTGAGATAATATTTTGACCCACTTATTTTTCCCATGTTCCCTTTCAGCGGTAGAAAATTGAAAAGAAAACATCCATTTCATTCTGGCTTGTGTTTTTCGCTAGTAGTTAAAATTAAATCATTATGAATGACGATTTTTTTACAAATTGTAAGACGAAGTGTATCTCAGACATGTACCGTTTGGGTACCTACTTTTTTATTGCGGACTGGAGAATCGTACATTTCTGCCACAACCCTTAATATTTCGAAAGATTGCGAAGACGAGGAAGACTGGTGCAGAGCGGGGAAAAACGCTGACCTCATCACAGATTTAATATGGCGGCTTGTAAGAGTGTCGTTGTTCTCTGTCCTAATGCGCGCCGGCAAACCGTTAAAGTGAATCCAACAACCACTTTACTTCAGGTCTGTCTGTTCCTTTTTACTCTCCGCCTTTCTGCGTTAAAGGTTTTGTTAGTTCACGAAGAGATATGAGTTTTTTTCAGCTTGACTGAAGTGCTTCGGAAACAGGCGTTGTAAGGTAGATTAAGTTTTTTCAGGGTTTTAAAACGTGTATTTCATTTCTCCAGGTACTTGAAGAGGTGTGCAGAAAACAAAGCCTTTCATCTGAAAACTTCTCTTTGCAGTTAGTAAAATATTTGCTTCTCTCATTTGTCTAGCTATTTTATAATTGATAATTTTTTGTCTCAGTGACGTATACAGGGTACATGTAAAACAACAACACAGTCGGGTTCATTCAGCCTCTCGGTTTATATAACTAGGAAATACCAACATTTTTCAATTACTTTAATGACCCGTAATCGCTAAATAAAAATTTCATAATTTCATAAAAATTTCGTATGCATGCAATTTCTCAAAGATCTGCAATTCAATTCTTCGTGCAAAAGGACATGCTGTACATGTACATGTAGTAACCGTAAACTATAAATCAAGCCAATACTAAAGTACTGTTGTAAACCAGTCTTCTTTACAAAATAAGAAAGTATTTTCGTATAACCCCATATTATTCTAAAAAGTAAACTGTAGTCGACGTCCCAAAGGCAATTTATTGTTGTCACCATCATTTCCTCAATCAAAGGCTCATGAAGTATAAGGCTGTGCAGAAATCGTGATATAAAAAAGTTGGCATTTATTTTTATATTTATTTTGTAGCTGAACTGTATTCTAGTGAACTACCTACACATGTATCATGTAGTTTAATGCCTGAAACTCACTTGTTTCACCATGAGTTGTACCAGTTCATCTGTGTGACCTAACCTTGCTTTACTTGTTTCATACACTGTATATAATGTGGAGGGGTTGGAGACAGTCCTCTCTGAAACTGGATTCAACAATTATCATAACTCAAGTTATAAAATTAGATTGCATGATGCTTTGAGGTCAAATAAGTCTGATGTTGATTATATCTGCCCAAGATATGTAGCAACAGGTGGTAACACCATATATTAGGCCTGCCTGAAAGTTTTGAGGAGGGTAAGTTTCTAAAGAAACTGTGATGCTAATAATAGACAATTTGGCTCTATCAAATGAGTTGATTATGTGAAATGGCCATTGTAAAGAGTTTCCACAGCTGATGTTACAAGTTGAAGGGCTAACTCTCAAATGGCTAACACTCAGAATGTCAGCTCTAAAAGCCCTCTACAATGGCCAATTTACATTTATTTATCAACTCAATCGATAAAACCAAAATATTCTGCCTGAAAGTTGGTTTTACACCAAAAATGATCAGTACTACATTATCAGTATATACCCATTCATCTAGCTTAAGTGCAATGCTGTATTTTGGAATTCAGTTTCTATGAGGAGTCATAGAGAATTCTGTACTAATTTACCACGTGGATTAGGGGACTGCATGTTTCTTTTTTTATGACACTGACTGTTACTGAGAGTAGCCCCTTTTTGGAGTATGCCAACCACACAAAATCTGTGCCAGTTTACCTTTTTGCTAATGGTTTCTAACAGGTTGAACTGTCCTATACTTGACCATTTCTTAGGCACCAGAGAAAGATTCTTGATGATACCTTACCAATACGATATACTGGTTTGTCAAATAATGCACATCTGGAACTTGTGGCCAGCCAGAAATCAAAGCAAGGTAAGCTTAGTAAGGTACTCAATTATCAACTTTATCATGTTAATTTAAAACTTTCCTGTAATTGCTTACATTGTTCTGTTTCTATTGTTTGTTTTGTCCAATTAGCATTTTGTTATACACTTCAACTTTGCTTAAATCAGAACTGAAGATGACAGAAGAACTGTCGAAACCTGTTTTTAAAATATTTCGTTTATTTTCTTAAAGAAGCAGGGTAACTGTGAAATCTTATATTGGAAGGGGCCAGATAGTTGAGACTTTTCAAATGAGCTAATGCTTAAAGTCAAACGTGAAATAGTGATATTTGATGTACTTTTCATAACTTGAATACAGTAACTTGTTATTTTTAGGATTTACAGTGGCTGTAACTTTAAATTAATTATACATAAAACTTAAATAACTGAGTGCTGGAAAAAGGGTACTACTTTTACCATTCTTACAACAGTTTGACTTGGATTTTTTTGTAAAAAAACAAATCAAGTGACTGTAGGCTGTAGGTATAACATACAACTGTAAGGGCTGTTAACCAGTGAAGCACCTGAATAAAAGCTTAATACTTTCTTGGTAACTGAGAGTCAATGTAGGCTCACAAAGGGGTTCTTAGATGTGGTTGCAGTAGTTAAGTCTTTTATTAATGTGTCCTGGTGAATGAAACGCTTTGTTGAATACTTAAGAGTGCAAACAATAACCCAATAACTGTACAATTGTGAAAGTTAGGTAATTGTTGCCAGAGTACTTCAAGTACCAAAATAATCTGGCCTTGTAAAATGCACCCTTATTTTCCTCTGAACAGTGCAGTCTATTTCTACTTTGGGCCTGCAACTAGAGTCTGGAGAGAGACTTGTAAAGGAATTCCCCTCATCATCTTCATTGTGGGATGTTCTTTCACACTGGGATGTAAATGAGAAAAGGTTAGACATCAAGGCCTTAACTAAACTGAAATCTGCTGTAACTAAATGTACTGTTGGAAACTTAATGTTTCTGTTAGCATATGCACAATGGTCAAAGATGAAATTAGGCCATCAATGTCACAGTCATATCCAGTCAAAAAACACCATGTACGCTTTCATAAAAAGTCAAACCCTTGGCCTGCCAGCTACATGTGTGTACTCTGTCACTAAGCCATAGAACATTTTTGGTGTCTACAGATGTAAGTTATTAAATTACAGTCACTAAGCAAAGCATGAAAAGAAATATTGATAATAATTATGCCTTTTCATGGAAACCCATGGGCAAGAAACCTGCTTCCAAGAGATACAACTGAATGATTGGAGAATAGATATCTTGCTTCTGGTATAGTAACATTTGTTTTAATTGATTCATTTATGAACCTGTCTCCCTGTCTCCCTGTCTAAATACTGATAGCTGATGTACATTGATATGCCACAGGTACTTGTTTAATGCTCTTTATTTATTTATTTTTTGCAGTTCTCAGCAAGGGAAGATTATTAATCCTTTTCCTGAAGAACAGAAGAGTCCAGTGTGCATATACATGACACAAGAGGTACAGATTGAAGGCTGTGTTTTGTTCACGTTAGGTTAACCACTGTTAATCCTTTAACTCCCAAGATCTCACTGGTAATTCTCCTTACTGTCTGCTATATAGTTCTTGTGCTGTTAGTTTTGAGAATTTGGTATTGGATCAACTAATAATCCCCTAATTAATGTTTTTCTTGATTCTTGATTCTCGTTACTTGTCTGCCTAATATTGTATTGATATTGTAAAGTGAAATTCTGTCTTGGTCACTCATGGGAGTTAAAGGGTTAATCCAAATGGTCAAAAGTTCAACCAGGATAGATGTAGGTCTCACAAAGGGATATCAGTTTTGCTTAATATAAAATCACTATAACTTGAAAAAAAGAGTCATTCTTTGGAGTTACTGTTACAAACAAACATGTCTGGTAATGTTTGTAATAAGTTGCTACTGCCTGTTTGAGATGATCATTTTACTGCTAGATGGTGTCCCTTGCCACATGACTGACACCGCTGAAAATTACACAAATCTTGATAACTCGATGTTAATTGTTATTAGTGGTGGCTTCATTCACTTTCATAAAGGTAATGTTATTTTAATTGTGACTCTGTAGATAAAAGGTGAAAAACTGCTTCATTTAAGAGCAACTTTACATTCCTTGGCTTGACTGGAAAAAAAAGAGCTGTCATAAGGTTTGTGAAGATCCCATATCTCAATACCAGTTGCTCTTTGATTATGATTTGGTGTTGTCTTTGTAGTTGCTTTTTACTTTCATTCAGTTGATACAGTCTCAACTGTAGTTTTACAAATTAGAAGTGAGTTTTTAACTCATTCCAAAGGCTTCATATCAGTGCCTCAGTGGTCCTATCTTATTTCCAACTCATAGTATAGGTTTGTCAATATTATAATTTTGTGTGCGCTGATTGAAAGCTATTTACTGTTGTTTAGATTATTAGATAACAAAGAAGTGAGAAATAAACTGTTAACGTTATCAGTAAAATATTGATCTTCAATGATCAGTCTCAATCAAAGTCAATGCAAAAAAGAAAGGTATTTGCAGAGATTGAACATTTGTTTCCCAGTTAACTTGTAAAGATAAATGTGTCACTTGTTACATGTATATCATCCACAGGTCAAGGTAATTATGATCTATCATAATTTAGATCTCTCAACCCTCTTGAAAATTAACTTTCAGGTTGATTCATAGACAACTGGTAGAAACAGCAGCTCAAAATGTAGAAATGCCACCAACAGTGAAAGGTTATTATATGTTTTTCAGTAACACAATACCCACTTTGTTTAAACCTGCAGCTCTTTTGCTCTCTCTTTTTTTGGAATAAAAATGGTTGAATATAAATTTTATGCTAATTCCATGCCAAGATATGTGTCAATTTTTCAAAGTAATTAGAAGTTGATGGAGCATGAAGTATTTAAGTAATTATCTTTGATTGTAAATGACACATTGTATCATGAGTGTACTCATGGAGCTTGTAGGCCATCCTACATGGAATCACAGTGCCATAAGCCATAAGAAATAGAGACCGTGAATGACTCTTGACTCAAACTTGTCCCTTATTTATCATTTTTTTTTTAGAAATAAAAAGATTCAATGTTTCTGTTTGAAAATTATAAAATTAAATGATATAATTCAAGTTAAAATCAAAGTTGTATTTGGAACTAGTCTGTCTTTAGCAAGTTATCAGATGTACATGAAACTGTGACCACTCAACCTCACCATAGCTAAACATTTACATGTAAGTTTGTTTTCTCATTTTTGCTAGATAAGACAAACTCAGCCTCAAGTGGCATTTTACAGGATAAACTTCCTTCACAAGATGTAGACCAGGGTGCATGCAGATCTGAGCAAATGATGATAGACAGTGCTGTTGTTACATCAACAACCTCATCTGCTAAAACCATAATTCAAGAAAACTCAAATCAAGTCCCTAGAAATGTCAGGAGAGAAAATATTGCTGGTGCACGAGGAACTTGTATTCAAGGTAAAAAAAGAAATCTTAGTATTAGAATTATCTTAATACTTTTGTGGCCTGTGTACCCAGCTTTTTAGAGGGAGTTTTCTAAGTTGGAGCTGTACAAATTGGAATGGAGGGGTGTGTTTTTGTTTTTACAGCTTTTTTTTTGTTAATCTCTAAATTCATGGAGTGTGACATGTTTTAAATCCTTTTACAGACAGTATAAAGGAACCTAAGAGAGCCAGAATAACTCCTCCTGAGCCTCCTTTTGCAAATTTTAAGGTATAGTTTAAGGTATATTTTAAGTAATACTGTTTCCTAGCTAACAATTTCTATGCTGTAATGGCAACCTGTTATCATTGTTTTCTTGTATATCTAGTTCCCAGAAGAGACAGCAGGCATGGACTTATTCCAAAGAGAAAGGTACTGGAATGGATAATTTTTTTGAGAGTGTATTTCGGTAGTGCTTATTTCTTCACCTCATCAAGTTTGGTCAGGAATTCTCTGCTTGTACACGTATTTGTATGATGTTGAATGTTGACTTGGTTATGGCTTATCTTGGCATATGCTTCTTTTCATTGGTCTCTCCTTGACAACACAAACTCACACACCAAAAATTCCAGAATCATGATTATAGATGGTTAGGTGTCTTTTTGTTTCAGGGCTGATGCATCCCGTAAGGAATTCTTAGCCACACCATGTGACAGACAGCCTGTTGCTTTTAGTGAAGAAGATCCATCTTCTCCTAAACACGATGAAGGTAAAATAATTTTCTTTGACCTTTTAATTTTGTCAAAGTTTTCCATCATCCGTTCATCTCTTCACTCATTTTAATTTATTTACAGTAGTCAGGTAAAATTGAAATTTTTTCAACCAGTTATCTCAGTTTCTTCCTGTTAGACCTCACTAAAATCATCCATTGCTTCTTTTCTCCTTCTTCCAGCTTTCTTTTTTCCCCTTTTGGTATTTTTGTTCTATTTTTTCTCCTCACTCTCCCACACTGCATTCCCATGGTTTCTCTGCCAAATGCCTCTCAGGCTTCTTTAACCTAGGACATATACATGAAAATGTAAGAACCTGTGTGGGTCAGTTCTTTTGCACTGATCTCCCAGGCCTTACCTTGCTTAGGTTTTAGACAGTCTTTTTCGAGTGCTCTCTTTAACGTACATATTTGATGTGATTGCACTTGTATCTTTCATGCATTTATGAAGGGTAATTTATGAATGCCTTTTTGAACCAGGTGAAATTCAGATTCGTTCTTTGAAGTAACAGTGGATGACATCCGCGTCATGTTAAGAGACTTGAAGAATGAAAGGTACTGTTAAGGCTAATACAGAGTAAAGATGTGATTGGACAAAGGAGATTATGTACTCGATATAACCTTGTTTAAGTTAATCCTGTGTTACAATTTCCATGTTCATGCTCTGACAGGGAGGGTTTTTGAGGGCAGCAAACAAATCTTAGCTTGCAATACTACTAATTCGTGAATTAACTGTTTTGATAGACAGTTTACCTTCTATGACCTGTCTGCTTACTTACAAACGAAATGTTTGAGGGTATTCCTTCAATAGTCGATGAAAGTGAATGGAAAAATCGCTTAAAGTTTTGCTTGTTACGGGTTCTTTTTGGTATAATACAGTTGTCAAGTGAGGGCAGATTCGTGTTACCTTAGGTAATGGGTGAAAACTTTCGTTACTTGAGCTATTGTCCGCTCTACATAGAGTCCTCTGTATCTTTCCAAGTGGACTGCATTAGTGATTCTTACAGTGTCATTTATAAATATTTTGAGTGAGAGAACTGCACTCAGAATACAGGGTGACTCTTTCTACATTGGTCAGTTTAGGGGCAAAACTAACAGGCCGTTGTGGAGATATGGTTGCTGAACGTAGGTTTTATCAAAATTAACTAGTTCGAAAATATAATACAATTCTGTAGACCATTTCCAGTCAGGTGGGCAGTAGCCTGAATACGAGGTAGTTTGTGAACAGATGGTCACAAAGGATGACAAACGCTACCAAGGATTATATATTGTCATGTAATCAATTTTTTTTAATTTGTGAATAACAGGAAACAAGCAGACAGTGCTCCTCTAATGACGAGAGCCATGCGAGAAGTGCGACAAGAATCTGAAATGTATAAATACGACAAGGTACTAATAAATATCAACAACCTTTAGCCCGAAAAATTCTTTTATTAAAGCTTAGTATTTTGTAATGAGCAGTATTTTTTTATACAACCATATCATTAAGAACAGAGTTATGTAACCATAACTGCTCTGCAAGACATATCACAGAAGTAAACAGAAACTTTTAAGTTTTTAAAAACGACTAATTTAAAGCTGAAAGTTCTCTGTTTTAAACAATGTAATGCAAAGGAAACTTAAAGCACTGATTAACAAAAGCACATGACTCGCGCATTTTTTTCCAGCGTGCGCGCAAAAAAATCGTATATGCGCGTCTGACTACCCTGCGTCTGAGCGTATGAAATTGGTCTGCGCAGTTAACATATACGCGAGCGGTACTGTAACTCATTAAAACTTCGTCTGAAACCTCAAAACCCTTTTTTCTTCTATAGCACTAATTAAAGGCCATATGTGTTTAGTACAATGTATGGGTTATCGAACGAAGAGACATACGTTTAATCGAACGTTCAGTACAATTTAGTTTGTTTTGTTTTGTTTCACAGGTTGTTGTGCGTATTAAGTTTCCTGACAGGCTGGTCTTACAAGCATTTTTCAGACCAATGGAAAAAGGTAAAGTATGATGTCTTCTATACACTGCCCTCAAAAAGGGATCCTCACTATCAAAAAGACATTTTTGTCGGTTCCTAGAAGAGGTTTACAAACGCGTGGATGATTCATAGATTGCAAAGCACAGAGTAGATATTTAAACAGCACCATTAACTATTTTTGAAACTACTTATTTCCATTTTTTCTGTTATCTTATTAAACATTATGAGTTCTTTTACTTCTAGTCTCAACCCTGACAGCATTCGTTAAATCCCACCTAGAAGATCAAAATATTCCTTTTTATTTATGTAAGTACTTTTATTTCTGTACAATACTGTCACTCCTGCATGTACTTTTGAAGAAGCTGCAATCTTTTTTTGAAAAATTATTTTATAATCCTTAGTTTTGAATTTAAACTGTTTTCGTTTGTATCCATGTATTTAGATACTACACCACCTAAGCGTTTCCTGGACAAACCAAATTCAACTTTGTTTGAGGTGAGAACAACCCTAAATGCCACTTATCTTAATGTTTAAAAGTAAAATTACCGATAGTATTGACCCGAAAGCTTAGTGGAAAATCAACATACTTCTCAGAGTCCACATGTTTTCCTTTTCAAAAATCAGTCATTTATGGCATGAACGGCTGCCAGTTCCCATCCCCAACTCTTCCCGATTCCCACTTTGAGAACTCTTTGCCGAGCCACACCATTCTTTTTCTTTTATTATTATTTATTTTCTTTTACTTCTTAATTCGGGAGTCCTGGTGTGGAGTTCCACTCTGATCACCAGGTGGATCTAGACGCATTTATTTCGATCTGACTTGTTCCTCGATCAGGCCAAGGACCCCGCTGGTCATTGGGTTTTCATTCATGTTAAGTTTCATTTGTATTATTTGTTTGCGGTTATTTGGGTGTTTTTAGTCACTTAGCATCAATGATAGTGAGTCAGCAATACTGAATAGTGTCCCTCTATTAAGGTCTTTTCCTTTTCCACACCAATAAGAATAATTCATACCAACTCAATCTTGTCAAGTTATCGACACGATCTAAATCTTAAATTTATTTTTTCGTCGGTCATCACCTCCTCCATAGTTTCTGTAACAAACTGAGAGTGTTTATGCAAGATTACTTGTCGCAAAACTTACTAACGTACTTGCATGTGTATATTTTTCGGTTTAGAATAAACTTTATCCAGCTTCAGTTGTACATTTTGGATCTCAACATCAAAGAGGTATGAGAAAAAGTACTTAGTATGATGTGGCACATTCTTCCTAATATGTCTAATTAAAACTTGCAGTTTTTTTCTGAACTGTGAAAAAAAGACTTTCAAAATGTAATGATTGTTTTTCATCGTAGAGCACTACCTTTCAACAAGACTACTTGACAACCTTTCATCAGTTTTAGATGCGGAGAAATCTGTTGTTGATACTGGGTAAGACAAAAACTCTAAAAGTTTAAATTGGAAGTCTTAATGGCCATTTGTTAAGCCTTTTTGGGGTCAGAGTTGATAGGCCACAGAAGCCCTTTGGGATACATTTGGCGTCAAGTGTTTGCAACGAGAGAGCTCTTTGATTATTGCTCTCAAATGAGTCGCGCTGCGTTTCATTTTTGGCTGCGATCAAACGTTCAAATTCAAACCGAACTTGGATAAAGTCCTGTTGCTAGTGAAGAGATTTCACGTAGAAAGTTGTGATGCCTCCCGAAGCGTGGTGTGTCCCGAACTTTACCCTCACAAGTCATATCTTAAAGAAAGACTATGAATGATTCATTAGTGTGCGAAAAAATACTGACAGAAAATTAGTGGGCCGGGAAGGGGGGGGGAACAATTTTGGGTTCGCTTCTTTTTACAATGCGACCGCGATTAGCAATGTTTTCTTGTGACTATGCTTGCTTGTTTGTAGAGTTTTGACAGTTCGCGCTGGTTCAAGACCTGATATAGGAGACTCGCTGGTTAGCTCGTCCACTGTATACAGTGAGCAAGGTGTAGGTACATCCTCGAATGGGGCAGGTTTCCTTGAGGAACAGAATTCCGCCTCCAACAGCAAACCGCACGTTGGAGGAACCACTAAGGGTGTAGTGCCAAAGTGGTTCAAGGGAACAGGTAAGTATCGATCTTTTTCTTATTGGAACATTTCCAAAGCTAAGTCTGTTTGACCGTGATACGCTCCGTGAGGGTGGGATTACCAACCTGCCCTGAAAAGCACTTTCGGTACCCTACCTTTTAGCGAACGTTGATATGGAATTCGCCGACCACTTCAGCAGCATTAAATAGAATTGGAAGGATTAAACGGTTGATCAATAATAAATCTTACCCCTGCATTCTGGTATAATTACAATGAGTTGAAACGCAGATGCAGAATACAAGGAGTCATTGGCGTAGTCGCACAAATGATTGATTAATATGTATATAAGATAAGTCGACCGTTGCATGCATGCTCCAGTGTTAACGATTCAAATATCATATATCTTAATTACCAATTTCCATTTAGTGTTTGTATGTCAATTCTTTTGTAGGGAAGTAAGCCAAGTGGCTGTTCGAGCGAAATATCCTGTAATACAAGGTACCATAAATTCAAACGATCGGACGTGGTCAGCTGCTGAGGGATGGGATTAGTACACGGAAGTTCATATAGAATTATGAAAAAGAATTAAAAAGAAATATTAACCAAAAAAATGAAGATCTGAGGCATGTGTTATGCCAGTAAATAACGGTATCGCTAAAGAAAATTGCTTTCATGTGGTGAGCGTCAATGTCAGTCATTTTCTTTGAAGTACGCGTCTTAAACACTCAAGTGACAATCTCCTCATGTAGAAATCAACGTGTTAATTTGTTCTCCTTTGCCGATCAGAACAAATATTATAACTGATCGCTTGAAATACTTGTTCTGTCTCAGTTCAGCTTTTATAATGTTGGAGTAATACTTATAAATTGTGACATGATAAATTGGTGTTTTATTAATTTAAATCGTGAAAAATGTATTGATATTTAATATAAGCAGAAACATAAACGAGAAAATAAAAATATCTTCACACGGGATTTGTAAGTGAATTTTTTATATCCTATCAAATGAACCTCTGTCGAAGTCTGACTTATCATTTTGGAGGGAGTGCGTTCTTCTTATAAGACTGTTCATTCTTCAAAATAGTTAGAAGACCTACCGGAATTGGGAAGTACGGGTGTAGTCTGTGGTTTCAGTCAGCTTCCCTTGTAATCTCAATGATATTTTCCACTTTTCGAAAAGATGGGAAATATAATTCAAGATGTTTGAAATTTTCCTAGGTGTCCATAAACATGCCTTTTATTAATTTTTGGTGATCGGGGAACCTGTATTGGATAAAAGGGAAACTGGTTGAAAGTGGTGTTTAAGATTTGAACGTACAGCTGTAGCTAAGAGAGGAAGAGTTATTAGAACGGAGAGGCGAGCGTTGTTTTTGGAACGCAGATCAGAATAAAAGTTGTGTATAACATATTTACTTAGCTTTTGAACTCAGGATGGAATCAATGTTGACCAGAAAATAAAGGAACTGAAATGCGTTTTTGGCGCAGATAGATTTATTTTGTAAACAAAAACGGAAACGTGTCGGAAGTGGAGTAAAAAAAATTGACTGACCCTAAAATTCCCAAGATCTCATTGGTAATTTTCTTTACCGTCAACCTTACAGTTCTTATGATGTTTGTTCGCAAAAATTAGTATTGATCAACCAATAATCCCCGAGTTGTTAATTTTATTTGTTTTCATCACTTGTTTGCTCGATATTGCATTGATCATGTGAGGAGAAATTCTTTCTTAGTCACTCATGGGAGCTAAAGGGTAACTGAGATTGGTCATCGAATCAAGAAACACGCGAGTGCCCACGTATGGAATCGAACCTTGTTAGTAGATTTTAGACGGGGTCCGACTGCTTAACCAAGTTACAGTTAACAACTGCATCGAACCGCAAAATCTAAAACGTAAAAGGGAAAGTATATCAGCAACAAAAGTGGGACTGGATTTTTTAACGTAGATGTATCGCAGTTTGAAACGGAGGGAAGGAGATAAGGGGTACAAATATAATCATTAACAGGTCGAGGAGATACTGAGATCGTGACGGGCCTTGTTCCCATTTTAAGTGGAATTCCAGGTAATTATCCAGTTCCCTTATCAGCTATTCCCCACAATGTTTTAGGGACACACCTCACAGTTAGTATTTGTCTCTGTGCAACCGTTAACCGGTTTCATGAACAACGTTACAATTTTTTCCTGAAAATTTACTCAACGTTAACAACCCGGATGTGAAACCGTCTCGTTAAACGCTCACTGCTATTTCATTAAATCCGTCATAAGGCCGTGCGACTTTGAAAGAGTCCATTATGCATATCGCGGACTCAGTAAATTCTACGTGAAACAAATTTGGGGGAAACTTTCTCGCACATGTCGTGTCACTAAAACTCCCCTAATAACTTTTTTAACCTTGATACCAGGAAGTAGTTGAAAGTTCCCACTTCGAGATATTTTTTTATCCTTACGGCATGAAAATAAAGAATGTACACGCCAGAAAATTAAACTGTCAAAAATTTGCTTTGTGTAATTCATTTAATTGATATGTCGATCACGATTTTTACAAACGTGAGGCACGTCTAAGCTATGACGTCAGATCGTGAGTCAGCTACCAGTCAACTGAGACTGGGAGTAAAACACTCACTTCCGGAGACTAAGTAGAGTCTATTTTTGTCGCATCGACGTCATTTACTCGGAAGTCAATAGTCGGCCATCTTGTCAGATACCCAGTGTTGTCGTGAAAGCACTTTGGTGAACAGTGCTGCGATCCTTTCTAGTTCCTCATCGGTTTTTAAAGATGGGGATATTTTCAAATTCTACAAATTTCGATGCTCATCTTGGTAAGCTCTTAGTCTTTTAATTATCTGGTGTAAACTTGTTTCAGAAGTCAGTCTTCCTCGCTGCATTTTAGTGTTGTCTTTGAATAATAATATGAGCTTACCGTATGTTATTTATTTATCTTCTAGAGAAAGCAACGAGTCAGCTTCTTTTGGAGCCAGACTGGAATAGTATTCTTCAAATTTGTGACTGTATCCGACAAGAAGATGTAAAGTAAGAGTACTTTCAATGCTATATAAAGTTCACAACTGTTGGTGACTGAATTCAATTTTGCTCAGGGGATTGGTGGTTGAGTACTATCATCTGTCATACAATGGTATACATCATGATTTCTAGCCTTTATTTACTGTAATTTTCTCTCGTTCACAGCCCCAAATACGCAATAGCAGCTATAAAGAGAAAGATTTTAGACAAGAATCCCCACGTTGCGAAATTTGGATTGATAGTAAGCGTAGCATTGTTTGATATTGATAAGAATTTAATGTTAATTTATTTTGTACTTTCGGACAGATTCTTTTACTTTTATTTGTTTTGTAAATGACATAGTTTTAACGATTAGCCTTCAAAGGACCTGACGTATACCACTAAAAGATTTGACCCCTAACATTCTCCTACCTTGTTTTGATAAATGCGAAACTGCTTTTCAGAAGCAACAACTGAAAGCAACATACTAAGATAAACAACTGTTTATCTAAGCAGTTGCTTCATAACTATTTTTATTTTCGCAATGGCAGCAAAATTTTTTTGCTCCTGATGTCAGTGGCAGAAAAAGTCTAAGATTCACCAGCCATCTTGACAGTTACAGCAGTTTGCTTTCTCCATGGCACATGATTTTCCCCCTTTTTGATTTAAAGGAAAGTGTAATGTCACATGTAGAATGAGGCATCACATGATGCACTGTATATTAAGGACAATGTATCTGTGCTTGAAAGATGTTGGTATTTCAAGAGATGATTTTACAGATTGCATTTTGACTTACCAATTGCCCATAGATAATTTTTGTTGAAAATTACTTTTGTATGTACATACTGCTGGTACCACATTTACATCAAGTTTGACAACACAAACTGGTACATTTGGAGTCTGTGAGGATGATTATCTTTGATTTGAAGGCACATATGATAACAGAAACCCTTTGAAGGGGATGTATTGTGCCCAATATATAAAATTGAACTGTGAAATAATTATTCAACAGTCAAATCTTTAAAAACAGTACAATTGGTCCCAGATCTCCTCTAAAATCATTTGAATTTCACTGTGCTTGAGAAGGCTCCATACTGGGTTTTTAATTGCACAAGATTTGGATACCACCATAGCACAAGCTTCAAATATGTCAACCAACAAAACAAACATGGCGGCTAGATACAATCGCGTGACTGTTATCTAAAAAGATGCATTAAAACAGTATAAAACAGTACAGTTTTTGTACAACAATCAATTCAGTAACAATCCAATTACTTAAAAAAAGGATTCTTGCTTCTGCACTGACACAGTTGAGCTGGCAGAATATGAATTGTAAATCTGTATAATCTGAGAATACTGAATGGTTTTGTGAAGTTCAGTAATCTCATACTGTTTCCTTATCATCAAGGTGTTAGAAGCATGTGTGAAGAATTGTGGGGCTCCTATGCACAAAGAGGTGGCTACAAAAGAGATCATGGACTGCCTCAGAGAGCTGGCCAAAGTAAGAATGAAACTATGATCCTCAAAGCTATCACCAATTTGGTAGCTATTAGAATGACTAACTAATTCTTTGTGTATACCAGCCAAGTTTGATAGAAGACATGTATTTCAACATCAGATTTCACCAGTTCAAAAGGTAGTTGTAAATGAGGTTACTATTGCCTATTTGGTAAATTTAGTGACCCAGAGTAACTAATTATGCAATGTATTTGCAAAAAGTGTGAGAAATATGGATTTTCAAGAGACATGATTTCAGCTGGATTTTTTTTGTGTGTTTGTGTTTACTGGATAGCAAATTCAAAACTGAGGAGGGAAAGCTTCATTTGATGGAAAGTTTGTATGGTTTCTATTGTGGTTGGCTTTAAAGGTTATGTCATGGTGACAAGAGGAAAAACATCTTTCTCTAAGTTATGTCCTTTTTTTTTTTTTACTTCAGTCAAGCCCAGATCCAGTCAAAGAACAAATTCTTAGTATGATTCAGACATGGTCAACTGCATTTCGCAAAGAACCAAAATACAAAGTTGTCCAGGATACATTTAATCTTATGAGAATGGAAGGTGAGGTGCCCTGTGGTATTTATTCAATTTCTTCCAATCTTCCTTAGATTGAACATCACCAGTGCACTTTACCAGTAGAATAGGTTGTACTTGATGTTACGGTGAATTCTGGCTATTTCACACCTAAAAAATTGGAAATATGGGGGTTAGTGTTGCAAAGTTGGTGAAAAGTTTCCTTCTTCCTCATCTGATGAACATAAGGCTGTTAAACATGCTACATGTAAGCAGGAGTTTTTATATAGACACAACTGGGTGGACATGTATGTTTGCCTTAACTGTTGTTTTGTTTGTTTGTCCACCTCTCTGAACAGGTTATAAGTTCCCTCCAATAAGTGATTCAAGTGATGCCTTATTCACAGCTGAAACAGTAAGTTTCATGATTATAAGAGATCATATCCTGAGTTAGATACATGCAAAGCAAACTAGTGAGTGGAATTAAGTCATAATTATTTTTATGCATCTTAGAGGTAAAAAAACCTTTGTGCTAAACTGCCTGGTGTGTAGTTTACTACTGATGCATGTGTAGGAAAATATCTTTGATTGAAATATTTAAAACTTATTATTGATTCCTTTACCAGGCTCCTGAATGGGCAGAAGGTGATGTCTGTCACATGTGTAGGGTTAAGTTCTCCACATTTCAAAGACAGGTAAACAGTAGCTAGACTCAATTTGGCTTATTCATTGTGAATTCAGAAAACCATTAACACATGGACTTATGTCAAACACATCAATTGTGTATTGACCATACACAAACCTCAAGACCACAAACTAAGCACCATTGATGGGTGTTTGTGGTTAAGCTTTGTCACACCTTGTTGATTTTTCTCTGGAATCACAAAACATTCCATTGATATTTCAGGTGTTCATGGTTTTCCCAGTTTCCCAGTAATCTAGAGATGAAGTGACATCATGATAATCATTACTAACAATTGACTCTGGGGTATTGTTACACTGCGGTGAAACTTTCTGACAAACAACTGAGCGTCTTTTTCTTAGTCAGAATGCAAAAAAGTTTTAGAAAGTTTATATAGGAACTAAGTGGCCAGTGCAGCCAGAGCCTATCCTGGTTTCCATGGCATGTAGTGACTAGGATTATTATTTCTCCCCTCTGGATAGGATGCCAGTCCAGCCAGGTTACTCCAGGTTACTCCCCAGCATTTTATTAGGCTTCCCCACTGATAACTTGCCTGTAGCCATTTATACCCCAGCCCGGGTGGAGAGAAGCACTGGGAAATAGCATGTTTTACCCATTAGAACACAACATAATGACCTGCTAGGTCTTGACCTTGAACCTCTTGACCTGAAGTGCAGGCTACTGTAGGATATCATGATAATTATTTTGTCTTTTTCATCTTAGCACCACTGTAGGAATTGTGGCCAAGTATTCTGCCAGAAGTGTTCATCTAAAAATTCCATCATCCCACACTATGGAATAGAAAGAGAAGTAAGGGTGTGTGATCCCTGCTTTTACAAGATCAACCCATCAGCAGGGTATGAAAGTGCTTATTACATTACATTGCAGAATAATTTCATGATTTAGGTATTATGTATTCAATACAGTGCTTGCACCATATAAATTGCACTGAACCTTTTACAGAATTCCCAATTTTTCAACGTTGTTTTCAAGGTGTTATTGATACTAGTAGATCTTACATATAGCACTTATCCTATAGTTGTGTCTCTGATTTATTGCTTCTGATAAGTCAAAATGAGTATTGACACTAATTTCATAATTTTTATTTACAGTCATGTACATGATTTTGTAAATAATCATACTTCTTATTTTTGTCTCTAGAAAAAGTGAAGAAGGCAGCTCCAAGAAGTCCGATAAAGAAAAAAAATCTGCAGATTCTGACTTACCAGCGGAATATCTTAACAGTCCACTCAGTCGTGAGTCACAGGTAGGGATTTGTCAAAAACATTGTATATAGTATACAAAAATAGAAATAGAAGAGTGAACATTTTAAAATGAGAAAGAGGAAGTTTAATCCTGTCTCTTTTTAATCCTTTGGCTGTACATGCTCTTGTGCTGCTAGGTTCCTACAAAGAAGACTGAACAGGAAATTAAGGATGAAGAGGAAGAAGAGTTGCAGCTGGCTATGGCATTATCACTGTCAGAAGAGGAAGCAACTAAAGATGTGAGCATAAACAGACACTATTATAATGAAGTCATGTGAACCCACTCATTACTATGTTCAAAAGATTGATTCTCAAAAGCAATCAACCCAACTTTCCATTTACCAGTTTGGAGAATTTGGTAGTACAGGAAGGAATCACTATAAAGTAATAACTATATTCCTCTCACCTGGGTGATTGAGAATGAATCTAGGAATTTGGGAGGATTTATGTTTTGAAAATCTGTCTTTACAAGGTGAAGGATTTGATAAAGAGCATGAAGGTTCCACATATCTCCAACCCTAAAAAGTAGCAAGATCTTTTCTGGATTGGTAGAGCTGCACTCATAAATTGATCTTTTCTTCCAAAATAAAATTTTGTGAGTTTATTAAATAAATAATACTGTAAAATCAAGAAGACACAAAATTTATTAAAGCATGAATCATGGTATTTGGAGTCTGTTACAAATGTGATATCTAAATTGTAGGTGAAAAAGCTTTTTTTTAGGACACTTAATTATGGCAGGTTAAAATAATTAGGGGGCATAGGCTCACTTTTATTGCCTTGCAAGATCTTCATGTGAACTCTTTGGCTTAATTTTGCATAAAACCATTTTAAAAATAGATGCATGGCATCACTTTCATGCCTAGAATTACATTTTCATTTTCTGAGAAGTGTTGTAAATACTAGACATTAATTTAGTTTGCTGATTATGCTGCATGTGTGACTGGTGAAGATATCCTTGACAGCTGGTTTGAGTTACTGTGATTTATTTTGAGGTCTTCATAGAGCTCTATGTGTTTATTTGCTGAAGTTATACTCTTACTAGCTTTTTGTATCTTTGTTTGTTTTCAGATGCAAGCTCGTCCAAGCATTAAATCTTCTTCCTACAATGTAGTCTCAGAGCAACCTTACCACTCACACAGGCAGTCCAGTGGCTTATATGCTTCTCCAGTAAGTGCTTTGTATTTGCAAGTAATACCTTTCAGTTAACATACATTGCCCCTCGTAAAAAGTACTGTCAGGAGTCTGGGTTTTCTCTTTCATAGCATTCATAGCAATTAAAGTACTGTTGTTTTAAATTGTAGGATGTGGAAACTGATTCATCCAGCATGGATCCAGAGGTATGACACAGATATTTCTTTGTGCATAAAATCAGTTTTACCAACCCCCATGAGAACTGCTATGTACATGTACAAATTGCACAGCTGTCTTAAAACAGTAAAAGTATAAAAAATTACATCTTACAGAAAAGACGTTGATTTTAGGTGTTGATATATACATTCTGTATTGTAAACAAAATCAAAAGAAATCTCTTTGATCTTCCTATCAATTAAGTTGGGTATTTGTAGTTTGTTTTAATACAACTTTTATTACAGTAATTGAATTTGAAAGTTTGCCCAATGTACAGCTATGCTCTCTATCTTACATGTAACTAATCAGTCTCAGGACAGGAGTTTGTAAGAGTAGGCACCATCCAACCACATAGGAAACTTGACTTAACACTAAGTAATAACCTCCAATTTATGTACCACAGAAACTCAGAATAAGGTTGTTTGAAACATGAATACACATGTATAAGCTAATCCATTTTGGTGTCGTTTTATTGCACTGTATTCTTCAATATTTTACTGCTTTCACTTCTGCCAAACAGAGGAGTTCTAAAGAATAAACCCTAAGACATACTTATGCCTTTAAAGAAGAAAAACAAAAGGCCAAGATGGAATTTAAATTCTAATGTACATGTTAGCACTAATTGTAGTTAGAACAATTAGACCCATGGTTTTACTACATGTGTGGGCAACTTTGGTTGTGTACAGATATTGAATTCCTAACTCACTTGTGTGAATTGTAGCTTGCAAGATATCTGAATCGCTCATACTGGGAAGAGAGGAGTGAAAGGCAAACATCAAGAGAGAGAACAAGTCCTCCGGCCAGTGCACCAGCACCAATGCAGGCTAACAATCATGTAGAGGTAAACATCTTTTGCTGATTGTCTACTGTTAACCCCTTGACTTTTAAGAGTGATCAACATCTAATTTCTCCTTACAATATCACCCCTGAATCAAACATTAAGATCACAAGAATAAAGGAAATGATCACCAACTAAAGAAGCTCTTGATTGTTAAACCAGTTCTCCCTGTCTGCACCTTAGGAAATGTGTAGCGAACAGTATGGAGTACTCATAAATTTTGTATTGATCGATGTTACAGTATAAAGTGTTAAACAGATCAATGGATTATGCTACAGACAAATCCAGTCATTTTGCACCAGTCCTGTAATTTTCTACTGGCTTTCCGGAGGAAATTTATGAAAGGCATCACCTTGTTTTGTTAGGTCTGCTAGTATTTGTATTGAGTTTATGAACTGTACAGGTGTCACCAGTAATAACTGTTTTAATTTTAAATGAGATTTATTGCTAAATAAGACCAGCATTTTATCACTTACTTTTATTGAAACTATTGGGAGCTAGAGTCTTAACAATTCAGTGGCAAAAAGAACCCACCATTTTAAGGTAGAGTTCTTTTATCCAGGTTGTGATACACATATAACACATTTGTTACCATTACATTGAAAGTCATTTAGGAAAAAAATGGTCTTTTTAGCTATAAAAACGTTGACTCGCAAAAAAGTAAAATGGAGAATTTCTAAAATTATTGAAACTTTTAATTTAATCGTAATGAAAAAATGTTTACACAACGGGTGTCGTCATTCATCTTACTTTCTCAAAGCAAACTGCAAAACATATTGTTTTGTAAGTTTTAAGTATCAGGTATTCTACTTGGCAGATAAAAGCACGTTGTGACAGATTAAAAGAAAGAAATTGTTTTCACAGCAGAGTGTTTGTTTAAATTTAGAGGATTTATGTCACATCTTGAGTTTTTACATAATCAAGTTTGAATGAGACAAATGTTCAGCGAATTCTACTCCAAGTGTGCTTCGGTAATGAAAAGAAAAAAGTGCGGAGAACATAGTTACTAGGGTTAGGGTATAAAAGTTGAAAATTCGTTTTGCGAGTTTACTACCCCGTATTTATTTTGATCATCATGTATCCTTATTTTAATCACGCCACTTATGTCAATAATTTTAAACACTAATTTCACAGGGATGTACACTAAATTAACATAACCCTGCATTTTATCCCCATCTCAAGACTCTAAAAGAACTGTTTTTAACCTAACCTTAAAGGCTAAGAAAAGACTGTGTATTTCGTTTTAGATGAGAGTTGGTGGATTAAAAGGAAAAAAGAAAAAGAAAGGAAGGAAATCTCAGAGAGACAACAATGAACCCATGGCTAATAACAACTCTCTTGCTGTAAATTTTATTGATTATTTTATTAATTCTAACACCATAGACTCATTAACAAGACGATAAAATGCTTCCTACTTTTGATTGGCGTTTTTAATTTTATTTCAGGGTAAAAACTGATTTAAGTTTTAAATTAATGCTCTAATTGAACACGTTTTAATTTTTTTTTTCCGAGCAGTATATTTATTTTGTAATCTTTCGTTTCTCAATATCCTGCAAAAATATGGAAGATAAGTTTTTTATACTTATGACGCGAACCCGGAAGGGAGACCCTTGTCAGTCACCCACATAAACCGTCTGTTGATGACATGCTCTAACAAACTTAATTTATATTTACCCATCGGCTAAAGATCCTTCCTGTCTTATAGAATGCCAAATAACAGTACTTTTTGTTGAATTTGAGAACAAATTTACCGTAGACATGCATACACAGCCAGCAGGCGGTCTTGAAGCTGCGACAGTAGCGGCCAAACCCGCGGGTTTCGAGCGGGCCAGCGATGTTAGCGCACTAGAGGTCTGCAAGAGATCTGCGAGGGTCCAGACCCCTGATATACCTCTCGCTGGCTCCAATCTCGTCGCTCGTGCAGTAGCGCTAAGACGTACAGGCTGTAGATATTTTTATGAAGCCGGACCTACATCTGTCGGATCAATTTTTGAGCTTGCTTTGAGACCTTGTATTAAGATCTTGTTAAATCAAGTTATTTGAAAATATGGTATCGAGATGTAAGGGTGCCTGAGACAATCTTTTCTTTTTTTTTTTTTTTTTTTTTAGTAATATTCAGGAGTGAGAAAAAGTCCTCAAGGCTTTTCCCCTAATTTAGCTTGATTTGTATTTTTCCACTCATGTGTATCAGGTTGAAGGCGTAAATTCGGACGTGTCTGAAGTGACGGATGCTATGGTGAAAACATTTCAAAGCAACGTGGAAATGCTGTTAGACAGAATGCAGAGAATTTCTGGTCAAGGGAAGCATATCGCTATGGATGCTACAGCACAGGTCTTGTTGTCTACTCCTCATGTTGAGAATTGAGCCAGAGTTCATCCTGATGTCATCAGCAAGAAGTAGCTAGGCGGGGTGCCGGTCCATGCAGGGCCTTCCTCCCTTCCCCCCTCTTCCCCTCTCTCTCTCTCTCTCTCTCTCTCTCTCTCTCTCTCTCTCTCTCTCTCTCTCTCTCTCAGCATTACGTTAGTTCGTCACTTACAGTTTACCAGTTCCGATCCACACTCCTGGACAACCTCACTGGGTTAAAAACTTGTCAACCTGAAAGTCAAGTAGGAGTGTTTCAAAAGTTCTTACAAACGCTTGTGCTTGTTGAAAAAGTTATTGCGTTTTGGACTTTTGAAATAAAAAAGATGCCTATTTATTTGTGGTGATGGGTGCTGGTGATGTCAGTTTCTAGTATCGTCTAGTATTAGTTGTACTTTGTCGGACTATTGCCTCAACAAAGGGGTATTTTCTTTTGTTTTTATTAGTCATTATTCCAAACTGTCAGCGCAATGCATCCCCAAATTTTGAGACTCATAGAAGAGCAAGAAGAGAAAAAAGGTAAGTAATTGGTTTTTTTGTTGCCTGAGCCCTCTTAACTGGTTGTTTTCTTGGTTCAGGGTCAACAGATATAAAGAAATACCGCCAGTTAAGTTGACTATTGGTGTCTGTCCATGTTTGGCAGTTTCTATCGACTAGATTTTGTCCCTTACTTTTTTCTCCATGTAATTCGTTTCATTCCTTTTGCTTTCAGCTAAATACGAGGCACTTCAAGTGAAACTTGGTCTTGTGCATGAAGCACGTGCATCCTTAGATGAGATGCGAGAGCAACACCGTGAGAAAGTTCGTCAGCAGGAACTCGAACAAGATATGCTTCGACGGATGCAAATTGAACAAAAGCTGGAGCTGATGCGGCAGCAGAAGGCTGAGTACTTGGCTTACCAACAACGTTTACAGGCCGAGAGACAAGCAGTCATTGAACAACAACAACAGCAACAACAGAGATTACAATATCAAAGACAGATGCAGCCATCGCAGCAGCAGCAGCAAAGCCCATATGCCGGAGTGCAGTATCCATCCACAGGGGAATCCAGTCCGTATTCTTCCATGAATTACGCTCCAATGACTGCAGCTGGTACACAACCTTACAATCCTCAGAATCCACTCGCGGGCTACACCCCTGCTGTCCCTCCTGGATATCAGGCCCCTGATGCCCCACCACCGTCTCAGTATTCTGCTCGACCAACAGGAGAGGGTTATGTACCCACCACACGGGCGGACTATATTTCATACAGGAACGAAGTGCCAGCCCCTCAAACAGAGTTCCAACCCCAGCCAAGTTCGCTAGAGTATCAGCCACCATCATATGCATCTCAAGTTCCACCAGAGTCTGGTCCATCATCTCTTCAGCCTTATAGTCTTGGGGGACCCCTCCCCGTTCCAACTGCCCCTGCGCAAGTACTTCCCCAAGCACCTCCTCCTCAGTATGCTCAGGTTAGCTCCCAGCAGCCTGGCCCTCCACCTCTATATGGACAGTCAGTTGGTCAGCAGCCGCCAACACAATCTGCGCTACAGAATCAGCTCCCAGCTACAACACTTCCAGGCCCCACAGGGAAACAACCCCAGTATAACCAGATGCCGCCACCACAGACCCAATCCCAATACCCACAACATCCAAATTTTTCCAACCCAACGGAGGCGCCACTGGCACCAGAGACTGCCCCACCCCAGTACCCTCAACCCCCAAACCAGGCTCCACAGACTAAAACACAGTCATACCATGTTCCTCAGGGGAATGGCTTTCCTCCGGCAATGGACGCCTCCAGAGGATCATCTCAGATGCAGTTCAATTCTTTACCAACTCAACCACAACTCAACATGGTTCCACCCAGTGGTCCTCCTTCGTTTCAACAAGGACCTCCTTCGTTGCAACAAGGAGCCCCGGTGCAGCAAGTTCACCCGATGCAGCAAGGTCACCCAATGCAGCAAGGCCATCCCATGCAACAGGGCCATCCCATGCAACAGGGCCATCCCATGCAACAGGGCCCTCCCCTTCAACAGGGCCCTCCAGGGCAGCAGGCTTATGAACCACAACAACAGCCCCAACAATTTGCACCTCAGCAAGGGTACCAACCGGGTCCTGGTCAACCACCGCCACAGCAATTTGGATCAGCACCGCCACCCCAAGGCCCACCTCCCCAGAGGCAGTTGACGGATCTAGAGTTAATATCTTTTGATTAAAGGAAACCGTGGATTTTACATGTATAAATAAAATTTCGAATTTCTTTTCTTGTGTTAACGTTTGTTCAATAACGTAACCGGTAAATGGTCAGGAGATTGTAATTTTTAACCGATATAATTTCTGTCGGGTGGAAATGTAAAAAGTGACAAATGAAGCGACAGTATGGATGGTTTTGTATATTTGTGTTTGTTTTTGCATATGTTTGTGAATATCTTTTAATTAACCACAGTTTACAACTGGAGAAATATTTGTTGCGGGCTTGATAGGTCTTATTAAGTATTATTCAGAAGTAGTTTGCCAGGTTCTACTCGAAAATCAAGATGGCCTGTGACAGCACCTCGCCATAATAGTGAATTGAACTGTTGATAATATATTCTATTGTCACAAGTTATTAACTTTGTTTTTTTTCTTTTTCATAATTTGTATTTTAAAGTGGAATAAATCGTAAATATAACAAAATAAAACGAAATCAGAATACCTCTCAGCTTTCTTTGGATTTTCTTAACTGATGTTTTTGTGGTTTCATGCTTCGTGAACACATGACATCTTTTTAATTGATCTGTTAATAGAAATCAAATTACAGTGTCGGATATGCTAATATTCTACTCTCTTAAACTCTTGTCTGATTAGAGACTGAAGCTTCCGTGTTTTAGTAGTCACGAAAAAGTGATTATCAAGGTATTCTCGAAAACTCAGTTCGAAAGACCGCATAAACTTGGTAGTTCTTGGTACACCGAGAGATTTTGGTTTGATCTCAAGAAAATTGACGTAGATAGTCGAGAAAGCTTTACGAATCAAGGTTAGTGTCTGCTAACACCGGCACGAAATAACGGAAGATCACTTAGACGAAAGAAAAAAGCAGAAATACTGTAAAGCACAAATCTCGCTGCTCGAACAATTTTTTTATATATATCTTTATTCCCTATCCGATCACTAACCAATATTGCGAACTTTAAATCCTACTGTAGCGCAATGGGGCACTCAAACAGTTTAATTTCATTACTAAAGTTTCCCTGCTGGCTGAAATAACGTCGCAACGATACAACTTTATAGAGGGAATAGCATCAAACAAGTGAAGAGTTATTTCGTTATTCATCAATGTAGTAGTTTTCATGCTAATGGCTACCCTAATGGTCAGTCCAAGTTTGCTTTATTGTCACTTCGCTCTATCGTCGTTTCATTCCACAAAAGGAGCCATCTCGTTCCACGTTACGAGACAGGTTGTCCAACGAATAAGTGAAACCTTGCTATCTATACTAAGTAAAGAACAACTTCATCCGTGCTGAAACTATAAAGAAAAGTGTTTAAAAGTTTACCATGATCGCCAATATCTTTGGTCTCTAGTTGTATGCGACTTGCAAGTTTTAAACGCGTCGGCACTATTTGTACTGAATGTAACGCTCCTATGTTTCATGAAATGTCAGATTATTTAGTAATCAAGCCCCTCGTGACCCATTAACAACAAGTGATACATTTGTGAAACTTCAAAGCCTGCCTGTTTATTGAAATCACACTTAGCACTTAACAGCAAGGATATATGATCATTATCATAGCAACCATTTTTATGACCCTTACGTATCATTTTCTAACGGTATAATAAGCAATAATATGGTAAAAAGTAAAAAAACAAAAAGAACCAAAACAAAAAAACAAAAAACACAGGTGTCGGAGCAAAAACCGACCTCTGAAAAATGTCTACAGTTGTAAAACACTTTTGTCTCTCAGCTTTGGCTTCGTGAGACTATCAGCTACACTGTGTATACTTCAACTACAATGCTTATTGAAAAAACAATATCATGCATGGGAAATGTTGAAACTTTATTGTCCCTATACTTAATTTTTAACTTGCACTAAGCCTTCCGGTGTCTACTGAAATAAAATAAGAGCAAAACTAAAACACTGAGAACATATCTCATTAAAGGCTGGCTGACAAACCACTGCAGGTTCAATAACACACATATTGCGAGCAAAGCACAAAGTAAATGATACGCTTGAAGTAACATCCCCACCAAGTGCAAACCCGGATCGTAATGGAAAAACGCCCAGATATCTTTATTTGTCTTCTCCAGTATCCTCCTCTATAAGAACACCAACACTTGTCCCAGTAGGTGACGGTGCCTTTTCCACCTGCGCACAGTCTATTGGGATGAATTGATGGATATGATCCCGCATGTCGACGACTGCGCTGTTGCGTTCCTGTTGTAAAAAGAAAAGACACAACTGCATTAAATGTGCCACAACAATTTGAAGTTTGCAAAACAAAAGCAATTAATTTCCAGCAGGAACTTATGACATCGAGATATTTTAGAAACTTTTATCACGTTCAAGATTCACCAGGTGTCTATATATTCTTCATTCTTTATTTCTTTCACGGAACAGCTTGGTATGAGTTCTTTTTATAAATTAATAAAAGTCAAAGGAAAGCGCGAACGCAATTTAGCCTTCTGGTGTTTTCGGTGGACGCATTTCAAACTTCTCTGTCCTTAACTTACCTTCTGTCTCTACCCTTGTAGAAGTCAACGATACGTCCACTGTTTTCACCTGATATATCGGGTATTGTGGACAGAAGTTTGCCAACTCCTCGCTCAGTTCAGACCGGTCCACCATCTCATTGTCCACTGTCCACTTGCTCTCAATAATGTTTGCCTTTTCCTTGTCCATTTCCTGCAAAATAGCATGGCAAGATGGTTTTAGAATTTTCCAGCAATCCAAGATATATACAAGAGAGAAATCATGCGTATCGCATACTGTTCACCATTGTACTGTTCAGCCAGCCGCCAGGACAAAACTAAAACCCATATCCTCATTTTCTCTTTCGAATTCACTTCCGGTTTGGGTAAAAATCGATATGGGTTCCGGATCAATTTTTTAAAACGCAGTACAGAAAAATTGTTCACATTTAAGTGACAGCATTCGAAATGATAATTCTATAGAGAAATAGTTCGCTATTTAAGAATTAATTAGGTTTCTGCATTCACAAAAGAAGACAGAAGTTGACAGAGTGAGAGTGTCTTATTAAAAACATTTAGGATCAAGGAATGTTGTGGCCGTTTTATTTCATTACTACCAAATAACATTTCGCAAATTTCCCGCGGTCAACGGAAAGTCGCCTGAAGTCGATTGTCTGAGAAAAAGGAACACGTCCTTACCTTTGTCTGATTAAGATCACTCTCAAGTTTTGCTGGTGTCGGCACCTCTTCTGACAGAGGCATAAGGTAGCATATTTTTTTTTCCGGCAACAGCATCATAGTCATGTTCTGTTTTACGAGAAAAGAAGAATTTTTCAACAATGTAAGCGCTACTCAAGCACTGGTATCTTATGTTCACGGAAACATAAATTTGTAAGCACAATGAACATATCCCCTAGACTGGTTTAGTAAAGGGAAGCTGATCATGTTCAGCGTTGTCCCAGTTGACATGAAGAATTATAATCAAGACTTTTTAAGCTTGTAAAACGATAAATAGATTGTGCTTTATGAGGAATGAATGGGTCTTTTACAGTATTGAACACGAAAGCATAGTTTAAAAAATGGTGTCATAATTGCCAGTACATCTTTTGCATTTATCTAACAAAACATCAAGCCGTTTGTCTAGGTTTGATGGAAGATTAGATAAAACCAACTGCATTTACAGCCATTGACGGAAAAACGAATTGACTTACCGTCTTAAAGTCGTGCAAAATATTGCTTTCGTCCTCGTCATTATGAGCAGGAACTTTAAAAAGTTCAGTTTGCTTCTCTGTGTCCACCTCGATTGTCTCGTTGTACTCTGTCTCAGTCTCGCTAATTTGAACTTTATATTCCACAACCTATGACAGTAAATGCTCAAACAAGTACTCTAATTGGAGTTTTTAATTATTTAGAACGCTACACTGATGTTTGGAGTTACACAGGTTACTCGAGGAAGTCTTGAAACTATTCATATAAATGGAACGTGAAAAGTACGGATAGAATGTGGAGCCAGAATTTCTATTATCACGATAACTCGACGCTAGATATATGACAAAAAAAGACATATCCTCTATCTAGAGCAAGCGAAAAGAATGGCATTTCCTGTGAACGATACATTTAAGCTTTTTGTATTTATTAGATCTTTGTTAATCGTTACAATGAAATAAAACCTACATCGGAGATATAAATATTTGCAGTTGAAATAAGTGTCCCGTTCGAAGTAGCGTCTGCCTCATGACACGGAAAGACGATAAATGCCTGGGGGCACTAACCCGAACTTTTGAAAGATGTAGTGAATGACGAGACGAGTTCACTTTTTTATTGGCATACTGTTTGAAACTTCAGTGTGCACTGCACACTTCACTTCAGTTCCATTATAGTGAAGAAAATGCATCGGAGTTTACTTGTGCCAAAAACAGAGAGAGTGGAAACAATCGATGGAACAGAAAATGAAAAAGTCATGTTTTTCGATGAATACAAAAAAGCATTAACTCCGGATCATTTGTCGCTGTTTATTGGACAAAGAGGAAAATAATTTACCTTCTTAGTAGAAGACCGTGCAGAACGGACGGGATTCGCCAATGTCAAGTTTGCTGTGGCGACAAACAGCAAGAATACGAGGGTTGTCTTCTACAAGGAAAAACAACAATAGAAGGGAAGAAGACATGACGACTAAATTGGTACTTTGATGAAGTAGCAACCAGTGCTTGTTAGTAACAATCAATTTGCATTTGTGAAACAACTGGAATTTTAGAGTTAACCCAGTTAAGCATTTTACTTGATGAAAGCTGTTGCCCCTGCAAAACGTCTGGGATCTGCGAATAATTCAAATCTTTCTGGAATTATAATTTAGCTAAAAGATATGAAAGTAACCACCAAAAAAGATAAAGGTGAAGAAAAGATCGGCAAGTTATTGAAAAAAGTAAGCGGATGAATTGTGTAATTATTAGAGCAGTTCAAAAACTTATGTGGAATATTCTTGTGGTGATCGATCATCGCCAAGTTCTGTTTACTTACATTCAGCATAGTAATCTTCTTCTGGCCTCAACTTTGTTTGGATTTCTTCTTGCTCTTGTTCTTCCTAATGTTGTTCTTCACCCAATGACTGCGACTGATGGACTCTGTAACTTAGCCGGGCTTGGCCTCCTTTTATGTGGTGTTCAGGGCTCTGTTTATGCATTATTAATGTGTAAAAGGAGCACAGCGCTTCAGCGAGAGCTACAGTGCATTCTTTGTGGTTAAATATTTTCTTAGAAATACCGATTAAAGCAGCTTTTGTGAAGAATACAATTTTAAACCGTGTGTAACAAAATTAAGGAACTTTCAAACATAACAAAACTTGGTGCTTTTACAGGGATATGTTTTTTCAACTTCGAATTCCCTATTTTCATTTTCATTTGAGCTAATTGCATTCGTTTCAGTGAAAGATTATAGATTTTTCTTGGAATCCCACATTTCAGGTAACACGCGCACTGGCAAGTGTCAGCAAAATCGCACGTCTAAATTTTTCTTGGATCTATATTTTTCATTCATATTTCTTAGAAATTCATTCATCCTTGACCAGTTTATATGTGTTTGTTCTTCCTTGTAAACTTGACAATGAGGCTCTTCAATCAGCTTTATTCATTCCTTCATAAGACACTAAAAAAACTCCTTTTAAACAGAAACTGGAACATCAAAATTGTTCAATGAATGGATTACAACATCTACTCACCTAACGTTTGCAACATCTACACACCCAATCCTCGTGGGACTTCTATTCTTAACTTCCTTGTTCCTTCTTTAACTATCTTGCCACACTAACTGATATTGCTTCAGGCAAAAAGGTGGAATTTTTTCAGTGTTGATATTTGGCCTTTGACACTTTGTTAAAACCTCAAATTACTCCGCGTGCAGGATGTGGTGAAATCAAACATCTCATTATCTGTGCTCAGCAGCCATAACATCTCCATAGGTTTTGTGTTTGTAACAGCTTTCTTTTGGTTTTAAATGTTTCTACAATATCTTGCTGCAAAGTGGAACTTGTGTTAATTTCTGTTGTCTCCAGAAAGACCCTTTAACATCCATCTTCGACTCGTTTTTAATTCAGTTTCGTTAATGGGTTTAATGGGTTTATTTTGGCATTCAAATGCTAATGATCGATAATGATTCCAAAACTTTTCAAATTCAAGTGTCATTCAAGAATTTTCTTCGGCGTTTCAGCAATCACGGAACACTGATGTCTGAGGCATTCTCTGACAATTAGTTTTCAAAATTAAGTCTATATGAAACTGATAATTCAAAATACGTCAGCACCATGAGGAATGATTGGTTACCAAACAAATAAAGAATAACAAGGAAGTTTTAAGATCCAAGGTAAGTGTCTCCTAAAATTGGGAAGAAAGTGTGAGAGATACACAACACAGCAAAGCAGAAATAATATTAATATTGCAAAAGTAAACTGCTTTAACAATTCTCAGTGTCTTTCAATTAATTTGTACAAGTCTTGATGTATACTTCAAGCCTAAAAGCCTGCAACATTGTATCCCCCTAGAAAATGACGAAATACTATCAAGTTCCTTGCTCGCTGAAAGCATGTCAAATATTACGCAACATATCGCGAGAATGACGGCGGCCATTTTAACTTTTTGCTAAGCAATAGTTATGGGTGCGCGCAACACTGCAAATGTTTTGCAGGGAAAGACTGATTCACTGTCTAGTTGTGTTAAGACTTACTTCTGTTCTTCTGAAGAAAACATAATAATTTTTCATTTTCCGTGGAAGAACTCTAACTTGTCATTTTTCGCAAAAGTGATTGGAATTTCCAATATGTTCTGTTTTTAAATCATTGTGCTCATTTTAAGAATAGTATGAAATGAAGTGGTGGCTCAGTGTCACCTTTATCCGACCGCTGTTTGTGTTTTGTACTTTAGAGTTGATGAACAGTTATCTGTATTTTAAAAGTTTTCTGGCAATCTGCTTCTTAAGATCGAAGGTTATAAGAGACGAATATTTCTCGCATGAGAAAGTATGTCAATGTTTTCTCTGGGCTCCATGCATATTCTGGGGAGCTTTTTTTTTTCAACAGGCCTCATAATTTTTATAATCAGAAATACACACTATCTAGGTTCTTTTTCTACTCGTCGTTTAATATTTAGTATGATTATTTTATGTCTTTCAAGTGAGTCGATTTAAGTCAGCAACGACTGCATTTCGCAAACATTTGCAGTGTATGACAGCATTGATTTTCTTTACTTATGCTTGTGAAAGGAATCAAGCATGTTTGGTAATCTTTCCAGAATATTTTGCTGATTGGTAAACACGTCTTTGATTAACATGGAAATTGCGGTATCAAAATGGTTGGTTGTAAATTGAATCTACAATAGGAGTTTTGTTGTTACCCAGGTTCGGTTACGCCTCATTCACAGGCCCCACGGAAAGGACGTGGGCACTTTTCAAACAGTTTATTCCTACTTTACAGTGTTTCTACTTTATCTCTATCGTTCTTCATGATTTTCTTCCCGCTTTAGAGGACAATAACCTTGAATCATTACTTCCTTGTCAGTCCTAACTTATTTGATAATAGAACACCTCTTTATTTCCGTAGTTTAAAATTGAATTAAGTTTTGGATACAAACGTAAGGCAAACCTTGAACACCTACTTTTTCGCGATTGATGAAACACAGTTGTGAAAGTTTATGATCACAAATGAACTTATTCCATAGCCAGGTGGGCACTGTTATCTAAATAGTAAACAATCAAATGCAAAGATACATGTTAATTGAGCATAAACCCATTTACTGATGAAGATAAGATCAAAGGCGCCAAACATGTGTACCCAGTGGGTCAAAGCTTTTTAAAACCAAATATAAAATTGATGGAATTCTCGCGTTGCATCCTAAAATTCCACAATCACATTTACAAACATGTAGGAACCCATGAAAACTGTTACATCCCCCGAGATGTTCTCAATGCAAGCCACACTCACTAAGTAGAGATATTCAAAATGAAACTTTCAGTGGTTAGGATTTTCTTTTTACGTTGTAAGCATTTGAAAGAAAGCAATATGGAGAGACAAAGTTTCAAAGACTGAGTAAAACTATGAGAAAAGACACCTGTTGGCTGAAACAGGTAGCGATTAGTGTAATTACATAAAAACAAGGAAGTTAAGCATAGACCGTCCCCTGGGATAAAGTGTGTTTATGTTGGAAACAGTTCAGTGCAGTGCATTCAGTTCACTATATCGACACTCCAGTTTCCGTCGAGAAGGAGTTTTCTAGCATAACTTCAAGATGTAATTAAATTTGATCGAAACCTCCAAATTGTCGAAATTCAGTAGTGGGTTAAACAGCAGAACGATAGAAAAAAACCTGTCAAGGGCGACTGAATATTCCAAGATATATGAATTAAATTTACATGATTTCATGTCCAAGAATAACCATTTAGTTTCCCGTTTCCCGTTTCCCTCATGCTGAAGCGAATTAGAGCAACTCCTACATCCCGGTTTAGAATCACGTGTTTTGTGCGATAGAATGTGAATGATGCACTAACATGAGATGCCAGAAACAACTGTAAACAATCACCGAAGTCACAACACAGCAATTGTTAAGGTAGTCCATCAGTTAATCGTAAAAAAAAAAAGCCGTATGCAGCAGAAACTTCTGACATTTCTTTTCCACGCTCCCTGATATTTCCTCGAAATCTAAAATGAATTATCAAGAATACAGTGTACCTCTCGCTGAAACATGAAATTCAAATTAGCATTAATAATGCATATGCATAGCATAAGTGCCGCATAAAAAGGAAGCAAAGCACGTCCAAGCTGCAGTGCACGCCAACTTCCGTCAAAGAGAGACGAGCAACACCAAGAAGAAAATTGACGGAGTAAACCAAACAAAGCTGAACACAGAAGCAAACAATTATGCTCGTTGTAAGTGAACAGACATTGTTTAAGTTTAGGTATAGCCTAGTTATAATTGCATTCACCACACAAACAATTGAAACAGGTTTCTAGAACTGATCCATATTGTTCATGTAATTTTTTCGTCAACCATGTATCTGGATTTTACTGAATATTGTCATAATTATAATGACTGACTTTAAACTGCATCTTTATTTCTAAAATTTGATTATTGAATGTAGGCAAAATTACATAGAAAGAATCTAAGGGATGTCTCCCGTTTTTCCCAACATAGCATCATCTTGTTGGCAACAGTTGTTATTAAAGTAAAAATTTTGAAACTAGAAGTTAAATGAACTTTTATGAGTTAACTAAGGGCTTCATCTCGTATTTTTCAGTGATTAGAAGAAATTAATAAAAGTAATTAATGACAATCTCTATGCATTTTGTTCGTTCTTTGTAGAAACCAGCCCTCGTATTCCTGCTGCTTGTTGTCACAGCAAACTGGACATCTGCAAGTCCCGTCCGTTCCGCTCGCTCCCCTTCTGGGAAGGTAAATTGTTTCCTCTCAATCCAATAATTAGTAACAAAAGGCTCAGCAGTAATTTATCTTGCATGCCATAAAGAGTTTGCCTTTTTTTCCTTTTCTGTCTTTTACCGTCACTTTCTGATTACTTCTCGCTCTTATAATTTCTGGAAATAACTAAAACGTTTCAGAACTAATTATTGAAATAACTGGATTTAAATTTAAGCTTCACTGCATTTATAAATGCACCTTTCATAAAATACAAGTCTCTTTGCTTGCCACAATGTTCAATGTGTAATTAAACTTGCCTTAGACCGTTGCGTTATCGCGATTCCTGTCGTCCTTGCTAGCTACATTCTGCGTAAAAATTTTTACGAACTATCTCAACAAACCTGTCAAAATTCAAAGATCAGCGTACCTCCGCTCTAATTTGAGCATTTTCTATTTCACAGGTTGTGGATTATAAAGTTCAAATCAGCGAGACTGGGACAGAGTACAACGAGACAATCGAGGTGGACACGGAGAAGCAAACTGAACTTTTTAAAGTTCCTGCTCATAATGACGTGGACGAAAGCAATATTTTGCACGACTTTAAGACGGTAAGTCTAATTGCTTTTTCAAGAGGTGTAAAAACATTAGGATTTATCCGATCGTCAATCAAACCTAAAAAATGTGCTTAATCAGTTCAAACCCAACTGACTCATCATAAGGTACAATCTTTTTATCGTGTTTCAAGCATAACAAGTCTTGATTATAACTCTTTAAGCCAACGGGGACAACGCTGAACATGATCAGCTACCCTTTACTAGACAAGAAAAAGGGGACATATTCATTATGCTTACAAATTTATGTTTTCGTGTAAATGAAATACCGGTGTTTAAACAACATTGGGATTATCGAAAAATTCCTCTTTTATCGTAAAACAGAATACGACTATGATGCTGTTGCCGGAAAAAAAGATATGCTATCTTATGCCACTGTCAGAAGAGGTGCCGACTCCAGCAAAACTCGAGAGTGATCTTAATCAGACAGAGGTAAGGACATGTTCCTTTTTCTCAGACAAACAATTTGAGGTGAGCTCTGTCGACACCGAGAAACTGTTTCTGAAACATTTTTAGATGACAAAGATTTTTTAAGTAAAAAACACAATTGCTGTCTTCTTTTGTGAATGCAAAAACCAAATTATGTCTTTACTTGCTAACTATTCGCTACAATCGTCATTCGAGTGCTGCCACTTAAATGTCACACATCTTGGATCATTATAAGAAGCTGGAAACATTTTGGAAACTTAACTAGGTATCCCAGTCTATTGTAGAGAAACCAATAAAAAATTTCAAGAGGAGAAATATGTGGGCACGGGTTTCAATAGTTTTGTCCTGGCGGCTGGCTGACCAAAGAATACAGTGTACTGATTTGTGAACACTGTGAGATACGCATAGCTCCTCTTTTACGGAAAGATTGCTGAGAAATTCTAAAACATCTCGTTGCCGTTTTACAGGAATTAGGAATTGTCCTGCCTGCCACCTGACTAGTGCACTCATTGGTGAAAAGTACAGGAGACGCATGATTTCTCTTTTGCATAGGGATGGCTGAAAAATTCTGACATCTCGTTGCTGTTTTGCAGGAATTACACAAGGACAAGACCAAAATTATTGATAGCAAGTGGACAGTGGACAATGAGATGGTGGACCGGTCTGAACTGAGCGAGGAGTTAGCAAACTTCTGTCCACAATACCCGATATATCAGGTGAAAATGATGGACGACTCATTGACTGTTACAAGGGTAGAGACAGAAGGTGAGTCAAGGACAGAGAAGTTTGAGATGCGTATACCGAAAAAAAACAGGAGGCTAAATTGCGTTCGCGCTTTCCTTTTGACTTTTGTTAATTTTTGAAGTGAACCCATACCGAGCTGTTCCTTGAAAGAATTAAAGAATGAAAAATATATAGACACCTGGTAAATCTCAAAGGTGATAGAAATTTCTAAAGTATCAAGATGTCGTAAATTCCTCCAGGAAAATAATGGAAGTAATTCTTCGAGTGTTTTGCTCCTGTTTCGCAAACTTTAGATTGTTGTGACACATTTAATGCAGTTGTATCTTTTCTTTTGACAACAGGAACGCAACATCGCAGTCGTCGACATGCGAGATCATTTCCGCCAATTCACCCTTGTAATCTGTGCCCAGGTGGAAAAGGCACCGTTACCTATTGGGATAAGTGTTGGTGTTCCAATGGAGGAGGATACTGGAGTATTCAAAAAAGGGTAGTTTCGCTTATATGCGTTACGTTCTGGAGGTGTTATTGGTGGGGATGTAGGTTAGAGTGCAACTGTTACTATGTATATTGTTCCCAATATGTTTGTAAACGTCCAACATATGGGCAAAACGCACCTATCATGTTATAGGCATCTTCACCGTGTTGAAGACATAATGCTAACGGAAATCAGGTGTTTATTATATCATAAACAGTTTTTCATTTGTTACCCCCAAGATAAGCAGTAATATTTGAACCCACAGTAGCTCTTTCTTTTCTACATTTTTAAGTTAGTGTCGTTAATAGTCCAGCTTTTAGTGAGATGTGTTCTCGGCGCCGTTGTGGCGTTGCTCATATTTCGAATTCGATAGACACCGTTTTACTGAAAGTTACAATTTTGAATAGAGAGAACTTCACCGTTTCCCATGCATGAGATCGTATTTTCAATTAGCAATGTAGTTGAAATCTGTACTGACTGTAACTGATAGTCTCAGGAGTCTTAGGAAGCCAAGGCTGAGAAGCAAAAATACTTTAGCACTGCAGACATTCAGTCTAGAGGTTGGTTTTTATTTTAAGTCTTTTTGTTTTTGATCTCATTTTTTTACAATAATTTTACTTATTACAGCAACTACATCGTTAGAAATGATACGTAATGTCGTGTTAAGGGTTTTTATACTAATGATTTCATATCTTTGTTTTTACTTGCTGAGTGTGATTTCAATAAACAAGCAAGCTTTTAAGTTTCACAAAGGTATCACTTGTTGTTGTTATTGAGTAATGGCGGACTTGATACAGCCCTTGACTTAATCTGCATTTTCCTGAAACTTTTTCCTCCATTTTCATATCAGAGGAAGGTCCCTTTAACTTTTGATTGGTAAGGAGGTTTCATTTCTTCGAAGAGTGATCTCCCTAGTAACGTGGACCGAAATGACTCTGTGGAAAGAGAAATCATGTTATTACTTGTTAGAAATGTACATGAAAAAAGCATTACAGAAAGTCGAGACAAACGAAATTTGACAGCGCGAGTATTATTGGTTTAGCTTTCCCGAAAGTCTCATTGTCTTGGAATCACTGAAAAGTTCAGAAAAAAGAGCTTTAAAAATATCAGCCCACAGTCACACCACCAAACTCCGCCACTTTCTGATCACACACAGAACCTGGACATAGATGGAGATAGATAGATAGATTATTAAAATATTCAAATCTGCAGCCTCCTATGGCTGAATTGTATGATTTTTACAAAATGTTAAGGTTATATAGGCATATATAAAATAACAATTTCATGTAATATAAAACGACTGCATAGAAAAAAACTACGTATAAAAGTTTTACCGATTGCACATGGATTGAATAAATGTGTTCGTGTAACGATTAGTGCGTATTTTCGGCAACGTAAAATTGCGCTAGTTTATAAAATTGTATCTACTAATGTTCCGAGGTGGCGCAGCATTATAAGATACGACTAAATACAAAAAGAATGAAAAACTAAATAAAAAAAAGGCTAAAAAATACTATATATGTATATTAAAATTCATGTACGGAAGAGCAAAAATACTATTGATATATATTATTATATATATTATACGTAATGAAATTTAAGAAATAGCCGCATTATACATGAAAAAGCCTTTAGGAAATAGCCGTGTTGCACATAATAAAACTATTCTTCAGTCCATTTGTTCTGCAAAAAGGTACGTTAAAAGCGCGCTTTCTCCTCAAGGCCACGATACTAGGATTACATGACGGCAAAAGGCCATGTAATTTGTGGCAGGTGTTGACTTTGATCTCACTGAATAGGTGCTCCGTCAGCAATTGGCGCCCTCTTAGTGCACTTTTTAAGAGCTTCTTGGTAGCTTAAAACTGGGGAAATTATTCTAAGTGCACGGCGCTGAATGTTCTCTAGCTCTTCAAAGAGATACTTAGGTAGACCATTATAGAAAACTTGGCAAGCATATTCAGACACGGGCCGGATACACGTAGTATAGAAACAAACTAGCTGCGCAGGATCTCCTTTTGCACGCTTCAGTTGCCTTAACTGATAAAGCCTGGAGGATTCTTTTTTGATAACATTCTCTATGTGAGCGTTCCACTTAAGATTGTTTGAAATTGTGAGACCAAAAAGTTTTACGCTAGTTACAACCTCTATTGGTTTGTTGTTGATAGTAACTGCTTCGAAAGAATCTGCAGATCTTGGAAAACTTATCGGCAACCCTTTACACTTGGTCTCATTCAATTGTTACCTATGTTTTTGTTTTAGCCAACACCTTTCATGACAAAACTTGGTGCTTTTACAGGGATATATTTTTTCAACTTCGAATTCCCTATTTTCATTTTTATTCGAGCCAATTGCATTCGTTTCAGCAAAAGATTATAGATTTTTCTTGGAATCCCATGTTTTCGGGTAACACGCGCATTAGCAAGTGTCAGCAAAATCGTACGTCTACAGTTTTTTTGGATCTATGTTTTGTTTTTCATTCATATTTCTTGGAAAATTCATTGATCTTTGACCAGTTTTTATGTGCTTGTTCTTCCTTGTAAAGTTGATAATGAGGCTCTTCAATCAGCTTTATTCATTTCTTGACAAGACACTAATAACTCCTTTAAAACAGAAAGTGGAACATCAAAATTGTTCAATGAATGGATTGCAACTGTTTGCAACATCTACACACCTAATCCTCGTGGGAATTCTATTCTTAACTTCCTTGTTCCTTCCTTAACTATCTTGCCACACTAATTGATATTGCTTCAGGCAAAAGGGTGGAATTTTTTCAGAGTTGATATTTGGCCTTTGACACTTTGTTAAAACCTCAAAGTACTCCGCGCGCAGAGTGGTGAAATCAAACATTTCATTATCTGTGCTCAGCAGCCATAACATCTCCATGGGTTTTGTGTTTGTAACAGCTTTCTTTTGGTTTTAAATGTTTCTACAATATCTTGCTGCAAAGTGGAACTTGTGTTAATTTCTGTTGTCTCCAGAAAGACCCTTTAACATCCATCTTCGGCTCGTTTTTAATTCAATTTCGTTAATGGGTTTACGCTCAGTGAACAGGTATCTTGGCATTCAAATGATAATGATCGATAATGGTCCCAAAACTTATCAAATTCAAGTGTCATTTTCAATGCTTCGGTGTTTCAGCAATCACGAAACACTGATGTCTGAGGCATTCTCTGACAATTAGTTTTCAAGAATTAAGTTTATATGAAACTGAAAATTCGAAATACGTCAGCACCACGAGGAATGATTGGTTACCAAACAAATAGGGAATAACAAGGAAGTTTTAAGATCCAAGGTAAGTGTCTCCTAAAATTGGGAAGAAAGTGCAAGAGATAGACAACACAGCAAAGTAGAAATAATTTTAATATAGCAAAAGTAAACTGCTTTAACAATCCTCAGTGTCTTTCAATTAATTTGTACAAGTCTTGATGTATGCTTCAATTCTAAAAGCCTGCAACATAGTATCCCCCCAGAAAATGACGAAATACTATCAAGTTCCGAGCTCGCTGAAAGCATGGCAAATATTACGCAACATATCGCGAGAATGACGGCGGCCATGTTAACTGTTTCCTGAGTATTAATTATGGGTACGCGCAACACTGCTAATGTTTTGCAGAGAAATACTGTGATTCACTGTCTAATCGTGTTAAGATTTACTTCTGTTTTTCTGAAGATAACATAATTATTTTTCATTTTCCGTGGAAAAACTCTAACTTAGCATTGTTTCGTGAACTTCATTAGAATTTCCTATGTGTTCTCTGTTTCTAAGTCATTGTGCTAATTTTAAGAACAATTTAAAATGAAGTGGTGGCTCAGTGTCACCTTTATCCGACCGCTGTTTGTGTTTTGTGCTTTAGAGTTGATAACCAGTTATCTGTGTTTTAAAAGTTTACTCGCCATCTGCTTTCTTTAGATCAAAGGTTGTAAGAGGTGAATATTTTTCCGTTCAAATAGTATGTCAATGTTTTCTCTGAGCTTTATACGTCTTCACGGAAGCTTTTATTTTCTCAATACCGGTTATCGTTTTTGTAATCAGAAATACACGCTATCTAGATTCTTTTTCTCCTCGTCGTTTTATATTTAGTATGATTATTTTATGTCTTTCAAGTGAGTCGATTTAAGTCAGCAACGACTGCATTTCGCAAACATTTGCAGTGTATGACACCATTGATTTTCTTTACTTATGCTTGTGTAAGGAATGAAGCATTTTTGGTAATCTTTTCAAGATATTTTGTAGAGTGGTAAACTCGCTCTTGATAAACATGGAAATTGCGGTATCAAAATGGTTGGTTTTAAATTGAATCTACAATAGGAGTTTTGTTGTCACACAGGTTCGGTTGCACTTCATTCGCAGGCCCCACGGAAAGGACGTGGGCACTTTTCAAATTGTTTATTTCCACTTTACAGTATTTCTACTTTATCTCTATCGTTCTTCATTATTATCTTCCTGTCTTAGGGGACAATAACCGTGAATCATTACTTCCTTGTCAGTCCTTACTTATTTGATAATAAAACACCTCTTTATTCCCTTGGTTTAAAATTGACTCTTTTTTGGATACAAACGTAAGGAAAATCTTGAACATCTACTTTTTCGCGATTGGTGAAACACAGGTGTGAAAGTTTATGATCACAAATGAGTTTATTCCATTGCCAGGCGGGCATTGATATCTAAAGAGTAAACAATCAAATGCAAAGATACATGTTAATTGAGCATAAACCCATTTACTGATGAAGATAAGATCAAAGGCGCCAAGCATGTGTTCCTAGTGGGTCAAAGCTTTTTAAAACCAAATACAGAATTGATGGAATTCTCGCGTTGCATTATAAAATTCCACAATCACATTGACAAACATGTAGGAACCCATGAAAACTGTTACATCCACCGAGATGTTCTCAATGCAAGCCATACTCACTAAGTAGAGATATTCAAAATGAAATTTTCAGTGGTTGGGGTTTTCTTATTACGTGGTAAGCATTGAAAGGAAGCAATATGGAGAGACAAAGTTTCAAAGACTGAGTAAAACTATGAGAAAAGACACGTGTCGGCTGAAACAGGTAGCGATTAGTATAATTAAATTAAAACAAGGAAGTTAAGCATAGATTGTCCCCTGGGATAAAGTGTGTTCATGTTGTAAACAGTTCAGTGCAGTGCATTCAGTTCACTCTATCGGCACTCTATTCTACGTCGAAAAGGAGTTTTCCAAAATAACTTCAAGATATTATTATATTTGAACAAAACCTCCAAATTCCAGAAATGCAGTAGTGGGTTAAACAGCAGAAACGGTAAAAAAAAAAAAAACTTGTCAAGGGCGACTGAATATTCCAAGATATATGAATTAAATTTACATGACTTCGTGTCCAAGAATAACCATTGAATTTCCCGTTTCCCTCATGCTGAAGCTAATTAGAGCAACTCCTACATCCCGGTTTAAAATCACGTGTTTTGTACGATGGAATGTGAATGATGCACTAACATTAGATGCCAGAAACAACTGTAAACAATTACCGAAGTCACAACACAGCAATTGTTAAGTTAATCCATCAGTTAATCGTAAAAAAATGCCGTATGCAGCAGAAACTTCTGATATTTCTTTTCCACGCTCCCTGATATTTCCTCGAAATCTAAAATGAATTATCAAGAATACAGTGTACCTCTCGCTGAAACATAAAATTCAAATATGCTTTAATAATGCATATGCATAGCATTAAGTACGGCATAAAAAGAAGCAAAGCACGTCTAAGCTGCAGTGCACGTCAACTTGAGTCAAAGAGAGACGAGCAACACCAAGAAGAAAATTGACGGAGTAAACCAAACAAAGCTGAACACAGGAGCAAACAACTATGCTCGTTGTAAGTGAACAGACACTGTTTAAGTTTAGGTATAGCCTAGTTATAATTGCATGCACCACACAAACAATTGACACAGGTTTCTAGAACTGATCTATATTGTTCATGTAATTTTTTCGTCAACCATGTATCTGGATTTTACTGAATATTGTCATCATTATAATGATTGACTTTCAACTGCATCTTTATTTATAAAATTTGATTATTGAATGTAGGCAAAATTACATGGAAAGAATCTAAAGGATGTCTCCCGTTTTTCCCAACATAGTATCATCTTGTTGGCAACAGTTTTTATTAAAGTAAAATTTTTGAAACTAGAAGTTAAATTAACTTTTATGAGTAGACTAAGGGCTTCATCTCGTGTTTTTCAGTGATTAGAATAAATTAATAAAAGTAATTAATGACAATCTCTTATGTATTTTATTCGTTCTTTGTAGAAACCAGCCCTCGTATTCTTGCTGCTTGTTGTCACAGCAAACTGGACATCTGCAAGTCCCGTCCGTTCCGCTCGCTCCCCTTCTAGGAAGGTAAATCGTTTCCTCTCAATCCAATAATCAGTAACAAAAGGCTCAGCAGTAATTTATCTTGCATGCCATGAAGAGCTTGCCTTTTTTTCCTTTTCTGTCTTTTACCGTCACTTTCTGATTACTTCTCGATCGCTCGTATAATTTCTGGAAATAACTAAAACGTTTCAGAACTAATTATTGAAATAACTGGATTTAAATTTAAGCTTCACTGCATTTATAAATGCACCTTTCATAAGATACAAATCTCTTTGGTTGCCACAATGTTCAATGTGTAATTAAACTTGCCTTAGACCGTTGCGTTATCGCGATTCCTGTCGTCCTTGCTAACTACATTCTACGTAAATATTTTTACGACTCATCTCAACAAACCTGTCAAAATTCAAAGGTCAGCGTACCTCCGCTCTAATTTGAGCATTTTCTATTTCACAGGTTGTGGATTATAAAGTTCAAATCAGCGAGACTGGGACAGAGTACAACGAGACAATCGAAGTGGACACGGAGAAGCAAACTGAACTTTTTAAAGTTCCTGCCCATAATGACGTGGACGAAAGCAATATTTTGCACGACTTTAAGACGGTAAATCTAATTGCTTTTTCAAGCGGTGTAAAAACATTAGGATTTATCCGATCGTCAATCAAACCTAAAAAATGTGCTTAATCAGTTCAAACCCAACTGACTCACCATAAAGCACAATCTTTATCGTGTTTCAAGCATAGCAAGTCTTGATTATAACTCTTTAAGCCAACTGGGACAACGCTGAATATGATCAGCTACCCTTTACTAGACAAGAAAAAGGGGACATATGTTTTTGTGTAAATGAAACACCAGTGTTTAAACAACATTGGGATTATCGAAAAATTCCTCTTTTATCGTAAAACAGAATATGACTATGATGCTGTTGCCGGAAAAAAAGATATGCTATCTTATGCCACTGTCAGAAGAGGTGCCGACACCAGCAAAACTCGAGAGTGATCTTGATCAGACAGAGGTAAGGACACGATCCTTTTTTCAGACAAACAGTTTAAGTCTTTATTTGCTAAATACTCACTACAATCGTCATTCGAGTGCTGCCACTTAAATGTCACACATCTCGGATCATTATAAGAAGCTGGGAACATTTTGGAAACGTAACAAGATATCCCAGTCAATTGTTGAGAAACCAATAAAAGATTCAAGAGGAGAAATATGTGGGTACGGGTTTCAATAGTTTTGTCCTGGCGGCTGGCTGACCAAAGAATAATGTGTACTGATATGTGAACACTTTGGGATACGCATAGCTCCTCTTTTACGGAAAGATTGCTGAGAAATTCTAAAACATCTCGTTGCCGTTTTACAGGAATTAGAAATTGTCCTGGTTGCTACCTGACTAGTGCACTGATTGGTGAAAAGTACAGGAGACGCATAATTTCTCTTTTGCATTGGGATGGCTGAAAAATACTGACATCTCGTTGCTTTTTTTCAGGAATTAGACAAGGACAAGACCAAAATTATTGACAGCAAGTGGACAGTGGACAATGAGATGGCTGATCGGTCTGAACTGAGCGAGGAGTTGGCAAACTTCTGTCCACAATACCCGATATATCAGGTGAAAATGATGGACGACTCATTGACTGTTACAAGGGTAGAGACAGAAGGTGAGTCAAGGACAGAGAAGTTTGAAATGCGTATACTGAAAAAAACAGGAGGCTAAATTACGTTCGCGCTTTCCTTTTGACTTTTATCAATTTGTGAAGTGAACCCAAACCAAACTGTTCCTTGAAAGAATGAAATAATGAAAAATATATAGAAATCTGGCGAATCTTGAAGGTGATAAAAATTTCTAAAATATCTGGATGTCGTAGGTTCTTGCAGGAAATTAATGGAGGTATTTCTTTGAATGTTTTTCACTTACTTCGCAAACTTCACTGTGACTCATTTAATGCAGTTGTGTCTTTTCTTTTGACAACAGGAACGCAACATCGCAGTCGTCGACATGCGAGATCATTTCCGCCAATTCACCCATGTAATCTGTGCGCAGGTGGAAAAGGCACCGTTACCTACTGGGATAAGTGTTGGTGTTCTTTTAGAGGAGGATACTGGAGAATTCAAAAAAGGGTAGTTTCGCGTATATGCGTTACAATCCGGGTGGGTTGTAGGTTACAGCACTACGTTTACTATGTATATTGTTCCCAATATGTTTGTGAACGTCCAACATATAGGCCACGCCCATATTATGGGCGAAACTTACCTATGGCGTAGTAAGTATTTTCACCGTGTTGAAGACAAAATGCTAGCGGAAATCAGGTGTTTAGTATATCATAAACAGTTAACACTTTTTTTCATTTGTTACCCAAGATAAGCAGTAATATTTAATCCACAGTAGCTCTTTCTTTTGTACATTTTTAAGTTAGTGTCGTTAGTAGTCCAGCTTTTAGTGAGATGTGTTTTCGGCGCCATTGTGGCGTTACTCATATTTCGAATTCGATGGACACTGTTTTAATAAAAATTGCAATTTTGAGTAGAGAGAAATTCACCGTTTCCCATGCATGAGATCGTATTTTCAATTAGCCATGTAGTTTAAATCTGTACTGACTGTAGCTGATAGTATCAGGAGTCTTAGGAAGCCAAGGCTGAGAAGCAAAAATATTTTAGCATTGGAAGCATTTTCTAGAGGTTGATTTTTTATTTTAAGTCCTTTTGTTTTTTAATTTAATGTTTTACAATGTTTTTGCTTATTACAGCAACTACATCGCTAGAGATGATACATAATGTCACGTTAAGGGTTTTTAAAATAATGATTTCATATCTTTGTTTTTAATTTCTGAGCGTGATTTTAATAAACAAGCAAGCTTTTAAGTTTCACAAAGGTATCACTTGTTGTTGTTATCGACTTATGGGGGGCTTGATACCAACCTTGACTTTAATCTGCATTTTCCGGAAACTTTTTCCTCCATTTTTATATTAGAGGAAGGTCCCTTAAACTTTTGATTGGTTAGGAGGTTTCATTTATTCGTAGAGTGATCTTACTCGTAACGTGGACTGAAATAACTCTTTGAGGAAAGAAGTGACAATGAACCAAACTTGGACTGACCTTTAGGGTAGGATCATACATATGAAAACCTTTTCATTGATTGACTTGGAAATAACGTTAAGGGTCATTCCCTTGATAAAGTTGTATCGTTGTCTTCTTACCTTCAGTGAGCAGGGAAATTTGAGTTGTCAAATTCAAAGTTTTGGTTACCCACTATGTTGCACAAGGGTATGGAGTTGACAATCTTTGTAACGGATAGGGAATATTGCTCACTTTATGTTTGCTCTTGAGGGAAGCAGTTGGTGTATTTTCGAGTGCAATTTGGTGATAAATTTTCAAGTGCTTATTATACCAAGTTGCTAGAGAAATCATGTTATAGTTATCATTGCTTGTAATGTAAATGAAAAAAGAATCACAGAAAGTCGAGACAAACGAAATTTTGACAGCGCGCACGCTATTGTAATTTGCATGCACTCCTGTTACAACTTTGCATTCGTGTTACATAAAAATGCACTCATTCTCAGCCAATCAGACGCGCGTATTTTTTTACGAGTATTGTTGGTTTAGCTTTCCCAAGAGTCTCATTGTTTCCCGGGATTAAGTCGAGGTGTACAGTGAAATACATCCAGGACGAACATGGTGAGAAAAGGAGAAAAATGGATTTTCAAAGGGCACGTTTTTTAGCTGGATTTTTTTGTATGTGAGTGCTTACATGGATAGAAAATTCAAAACTGAGGAGGGAAAGCTTCGTTTGATGGAATTAAGTTCAAAGACATGGTCAGCTGCATTTCGCAAAGAACCAAAATACATAGTTGTCCAAGATACATTTAATCTCGTGAGAATGGAAAGTGAGGTGTCCTGAGATATTTATACAATTTCTTCCAACATCACCAATGCACTTTACAAGTAGAATAGGTTGTACTTGAAGTTACAGGGAATTCTTACTATTTCAAACCTAAAACAAGAGGAAAATATGAAGTGGGTAGTGTTGCAAAGTTGGTGGCAAGTTTCCTTCTTCCTCATCTGGTAAACATTATAGGCTGTTAGACATGCCAAGCAAGGGTTTTTATATAGAAACAACTAGGGTGGATATATTTGCCTTAATTGTTTTTTGTTTGTTTGTCCACCTCTCTGCACAGGTTATAAGTTTCCTCCAATAAGTGATTCAAGTGATTCCTTGTTCACCTCAGAAACTGTAAGTTTCTTGTTTATAGGAGATCATATCCTGAGTAAGACACGTGCAAAGCAATAGGGTAATTAATGAAGGAATTAATTCATAATTATTTTTATGCGTCTTAGAGTTAAAAACCAATGTGCTAAATTGCCTGGTGTGTAGTTTACTTTACTGATGCACGTGTAGGAAAATATCTTTGATTGAAATGTTTAAAACTCGTTACCGATTCTTTCATCAGGCTCCTGAATGGGCAGAAGGTGATGTCTGTCACATGTGTAGGGTTAAGTTCTCCACATTTCAAAGACGGGTAAACAATAGTTGGAGTCAATTTGGCTTATTCATTGTGAAAGTAAGAAAACCATAAACACATGGACTAACGAATAGGATCTTCATGTGAAAACTAATTGGCCAAAAACTTGCAGGCCTCTCTAAATTTGATTACTATATATCTTAATTTTTACTGAGGAGAAGTAACATTTTCCGAGAAGTGCAGTAAATATAAGACATGTAGTACAGCTGTAAACTGATAATGCTGCACGTGTACATGCATGACTGGTGAGGCCATCCTTGATGACTGGTATGAGTTACTGTGATTTATTAAGAGGTCTTCATAGAGCTCTATGTGTTTATTTGCTGAAGTTATACTCTTACTAGCTTTTTGTATCTTTGTTTGTTTTCAGGTGAGAGCTCGTCCAAGTATTAAATCTTCCTCTTACAATGTAGTCTCAGAGCAACCTTACAACTCACACAGGCAGTCTAGTGGCCTATATGCTTCTGCAGTAAGGGCTTTGTATTTGCTAGTAATACCTTTCAGTTAATTAACATACATTGCCCCTCTTAAAGAGTATCATCAGGAGTCTGGGTTGATTTTCTATCAAGAAGCATTCATAGCAACAAAAGTTGTTTTTAATTGTGGAAACTGATGTGGAAACTAATTTGTGCAGCATGGAACTACTGTGCACATGTGCAAATTGCACAGGTGTCTTAAATAGTAATAAAATTATAGATCGAAATTATATCTTACATAAAAAACATTGATTTTAGGTGTTGATCTATACTTTCTGTATTGTAAACAAGACCAGAAGAAATCTCTTTGCTCTTCCTATGTTGAATTAAGCTGGGTATTTGTAGTTTATTTTGATACAACTTTTATTATAGCAACTCAAATTTGAAAGTTTGTTCCATGTACAGCTGTACACTATATCTTACATGTGACTGATCAGTCTTAAGCCAGGAATTTGTAAGAGTAGGCCCCACTAAAACAGAAAGGAAACTTGACTTGACGCTAAGTAATAAACTCCAATTTCTGGTCGTAACAGAAACCCGGAATAGGGTTGTTTGAAACATTATTATATAAGCTAATCCAGGGTTGTTGAAAACATTTTGATGTAGTTTTATTGCAATATTTACCCTTCAATGTTTTACTGCCATCAGTTTTAACCGGAGAGTAGAGCTCTGAAGATGAAACCTCAAGACATACAATCTACATAACTATATGCCTTCAAACAAGAAAAAATAGACCAAGTTTGAATTTTAGTCTATGTTAGCGCTAATTGCAGTTTGAAAAATTACGTTTGCGAAATGGATTTTGGAATTCCTTGGAATTCATAGGTATTTTTTCCTCGGAATTCCTAGGAATTCCCAACTGTAACAACTCTGGTTCTAAAAACCTGGAAATTCCCAGAAATTCCAAGTCAATAGCAAACAGGACTTGGCATTCCTAAGAAAATCCTAGGAATTCCAACTCAGAGCACCAATGACTTTCCCTGAGAGACTAAATCTAAAAAATTGCCAGAAATTCCTAGGAATTTTTCAGGAATTTCTAGGAATGTTTAAGAATTACTGAGAATTTTAAGCAAAATTTTGAGGCAACTAACAACTAAAAATTCAAGTATTCAATGAAATTTATTTACATACCTAATTAAGCTCAGGTTTACATGTAAAATATTTTCGATTTTATACTCACATCAACATGTAGTAAAATTTGGATGGAATTTGATTTCTTTTTCTTTTATTATTTATTATAAATAATCCTCAATTACAGCTATTCATATACAAAATAGTCCTAATCAATCATTAAATTTGGTTTGACACAGATTGTAAATAAAATCTGTTGATTCTTTTTCATAAAATACAATAACTTGAATTATATTTATTGCAATAAATACTATCAGTCCAAAAATAGTCTTTAAATGAATCATTTAATTTTGGATGATGATACAAATGGTATTAACCCTTTCGCTCCCAGAGTCAAACTTTGACTTGATTTTATGTGGTTGTAACCTCTTAGGATGAAGCTCTTGTGTGTGAACATTCAAATGTAAGCTTTTAAGCAGCACTTTCATGTTTTAACATTTGTTTTTGTTGATTCTGCATACTGAAATTCAAAGATTTCTTCTCAATTTTGACTTAGCACTCTTGGGAGTGAAGGGGTTAATTACAGTTAAATTAAATTGATTTTTGAATAAAAATCTTGTTGTAACTGTAACAATAAATTAGAATGAAGTTATCCTAAACTGCAGACTTAGCTGCTGTTTGTCTTTTTTTCCTGGGCTCACAGCTTTCTCTGTTGGCCTCAAATGAGATTGTCTACGAGAAGCCTGTCCATTTTGTAACTGGATTTCATGACAACTGAATTTGAAAAAAAAAAAAATGTATATATATATATATATACATATAAATGTGGGGGTAGAGTCTACCTTGGCATAAAGTGCTCAATGCGCTGGTAGCAGAGCTAAGTATACTTAAGTTAAAGAATTCGAGAAGACGCATCGATTCTCTGTGACTCTGACGAGCGCTTAGGCGCGAAACTCAGAGTCACAGAGAATCGATGCGTCCTCTTTAATTCTTTAACTTATGTGTATATATACAATATGTTTATATATACAACACACAGACTTCCTTTCATAGGAAGTCTGTGTATTGATTTTCCCGTTTTACAGTGCTCGATACGTTGAAGTAGAGCGCGACATATTTTGCGATAGAGGGAAAAAGACAGAGAGACTATACTTTCATCCCTACAGTAAGTTAAATTTATTTCCTCATGCTTTGATCTACGAAACAAGCTAGCTCGATTCTTGTTCCCTTAGCTCCTTGATTTGCATTTCGGTAATACTGTAATATTTTATAGTCGTGCGAATAAAGCTTGCTTTTGTTGCTTCAGGCTGTAACATTCGCCTCCCGATAATCAAGCCGCGGGTTATTTTCAGTCCTTTTGCACTTAGAGGCTTCCAGCGTCTAAGCAAACAAACATCACTTATATTCTCGTAGTGCTTGATTCTCTATTTATATCTATAGGCTGTGAACGGCCACGGGTGCAAGTTTTTTCATAGAAGGAAGGTCACACGCTTAGAATTCTAAGAAATAATGTGCACGTCTCCCGAAAAATTTTCATCTTAACCACTTGAGACAATGTTTCCGAAAAAAGTGCTTTGACCTATGTAAGGAAATTTTATGTTGCCGGAAACTATATTTCTTTCGCAAACCTTTCAACCGGTTTTTCGTTGAAAAAGGAGGACTGGTAGCTCGCGCGAAAGGGAATCTTGAGCTCGTCATAAGGGCTTCACCCGTGGGATAGGTGTTAAGTATAGCTTAAATGAGCGCTGTAGAACGGTCATGTAACTCAACCCGTTCTTTTATTGATAGGGTGCACTACGTCTAACACAACAATGCAAGTGTACGTTGCTCTTACCCCCAAAGACCTTTTTCCTCCCACAAAATTGTTCATGTTAACCTCGAAACGGAACCAAACTATTAATATCAACCCCCCAAGGCTTTAGATGGAGAAAATGTTTAGGTAACTCAGCTCAGTTATATCGCCATGGCTCCAGATGAACTCTTGAAAACAGAAACTTGAGATAAATCAACATACGCGTTTCAAAGCACCAGTGTCACTGAGTCTATGCTGCCCAAAAAAGGAAAAAAACGTATTTTTTTCGGTTGAAAGGCTATTGAATTTGTTATCTGCCGTGAACTTAACAATTCTTAAACAAAACAAAGTCAGACTTCCCATTTAAGTATGACGGGCATGGAGCAGACTCGTTCGAACAAAGTACAGCAAAATCCGGTTACATGATGTCATTTGCCACTTCGTCTTCGCAAGAATGTTGTTGAACTCTTCCCGCAATTCTAGAGACGTGTCATTGTGGACGGGAGCTCCAGATCAGACCCACAGGTGTCAGTGTGCGATGGATCGTCTAGCGAATCCATCTAAGGTTGAAAACTGGACTGAAATACATGGTAAACAGATGACATCGGCGCCTGTTACATATCTCAAGAAAGACTTCAGTTGAGCTTTATCCATTCCTCTCACAAAGCGTTTCAGGAACTCAGCTGCCGCCCTCTCCGAGTTGTTTTGAGGATCTGCCTGTATCATGCTCAGTACTTTCCGGTTAGTGGTCTCAACTGTCTGGTACAAATGACACAGACTTTCGATTGTAGTCAGTTTTTCTTTGCCATTCAGTATCATTAGGGCCTCTCGCCACGCATCAGCCATGTACTGGGGCTTCTGAATCATTTATTTATGAGCCACTTCGAGAATAAAATCTCTGGCATTTTCTTTTGTCGGGACTTTCCTACAACCAAACCTGTCAACTACATCGATCAGCTCGTCGGCGTCAAAATTTTCCTTGAGCACCTCAGCAACAACGTCTTCTTCATCCTTGGCGATATAATTCTGGAACGATTTAAGAAGAATCTCCGCAGGGACTGCCTTCCCGCCGAATATCACACTTACAGCGAACGCTTGGCTGAGCATACAAGGGAAATAGCCCAGATCCAAGTAACCCTTTGTGAGAATTCTTCCTATAGCTGACCACTCACTGAATTAGAAATCATGTCTCAGGGCTGGAACCCTTTCTCTTTCACCAAGGGTCGATGAATCATAAAATTCAAAATAGACACCACCAACGTCAACCCAGCGTTCTTCCTGTCCTCTTACGTCGACCATCACAATTTTCAGCTCAGGGGTCACGATGTTTTCTGCCTGGAACGCTTCTTTCATGTCGCGATATACCATTGTTCTTCTTATCCTCAAGGTACTGAAAATGAATGCATTCATGTAATGATCATATACCACGTATTATACATTAAGATAACTTGCAAGGATGTGAACTTATCCGTTTATTTTATTCATTCGTACTTTACCAGGCTAAATGACTTGTTACTTTGTCTGCACGCTGTCATTTTACTTTTTCTAAATATCAAAAACATTACAATGTTATCATCAGGCAGTATTCTCTTCTCTGCACTCGCACAAAAATTTAGTGTGACAATTATTTGGCTTCTTCACGTTTGTGTTGTGTGGACAAGAAAAGGGGTACCCAGCTGGGTTACACCCGTTAACAGCTATGAGAGTAGCTTTACGCCACACGGGATAGAACTAAGTACTAGTCTACCATGGGTTCTATGTGCACGTTGCCTTAAGTTGCAACGATAAAACTAATCCTCAAGCAAAAGCAGCATACCAAATTTCACTGAAGGCAGTTTCATTTGCAACACTCACTGACAGGGGCACATTTGAAGAAGACTGGTGTTGTGCCACTTCAGAGGGAACAGCTGTAGGATTCTCCTCAGTTTGACTGTCAATGTTATCTTCTTGGGTTTCCTGTGAGATAACCAGAAAGTAAATCTGAACTAAGTACCAACCACAGTGCCATTTCAGAGAGGAAATATCTGCAGGAAGATTGGAGAAAAAGGCCATTATTGTGCTATTAAATATATCAAATAATATGTGTTCTTTATAAGAATAGTTAGGACTAAAATTTGTACAAGAGTTCGAAACGGTATTATTATCATTATCATTACTTCCACGACTATCATTATCACTGCCAAATAAGTATAAAATAGAGGAAGATGATTGAAAGTAAAGGTAAAATGAATTGCGGTTTCTAATCACCTCACCCCCATCACTATCAGCAGAAAGAGTGCCTGAGTGGACCATCATACAAAACTTACGCCCAGGATCCTGTACAAAGAGACAGAGAAATCATTACGGTGTTCCTTATAAACATCCAGGGCATCTCAAAAAACTACAGACAAAACCCCGCAGTCAGACAATGTCTACTCACGTTGTTATTTTTTCTTTTCCGCTTTGAATTTCTGCAAGGATTAGCTCCATCGTTTTCTTTGTAACAATGAAAGGGACTGGTGATGACGGAACATTGAAATGAAAGCAACTCTCATAACATAGGCCCGTACTTGCAGGCAGGAACGATGACGTTTGACCTTCACACGTAGCCGTGTGGCAAGACCAAACTTCCATGAGGGAGAAATTCGTTCTATTCTTTTATGCCAGCTTATTTTTTCAACGTGTAGACATGGAGTACGTGACGACTCCAAACGAGTAACCGTGAGAAGTCAACATACTTGCGCTAGATCGTAGCCTTCCATCAACTGTTCTGGTGGGAGGTCAGGAACTGGAGGGAAAGCGAGAAAAGATGAAGGTTGCGACGTTGTGGAGTCTAGGGGTATGGTTTCATTGAATCTGTCTGCAGTACTACCAAAACCCATAAAATTTATCTCCGGGTCTTCTTCCAAAAGATTAGGCATATCTTCGCTTTCAGCCATGTAAAGCATTTGTTTGTCGACCACTGCAACAGGTTCGGACGGTAAAGGCACTTGCCATCAAACGTACAAAGCTGAAAGTACTCTCAATTTTCGTTCACAGTACCCCCGGACACTGAGAATGTCTTCTTTCCTTGTTAGACCAAGACACTGAGAATGTCATCTAAAGCTTGGTTTATCGCACAAAACTTCATCTGAAAGGCAACATCAACGTTTATAGTTTGTAAAACACAAAGTTTCTTCTAGAGGCTTTAAGTCACACATATGTCGTGATTCTATCAATTGGGAGTGATTCACTTCAGGCCCAGTTGTTCATGCCTATACGTCTATTTAAGGAAAGTACCATTTTAGTTTTGAGAGGGTACCAGGTTGGAAATTTTCTGAAAAAGAATTCCTACCCAGCTTTTCAGGGTACAACAGTTTCAGCTGCCTCTCCCATCCTTCTTTTCTCTCATTTTCCCTTTTTTTCGCCTTCCTCAATGCTGGATTGGTAGTATTTGTACGATTCTTCAACATACAGCCTGATACAGATTTCTTTATCGTAAACTATTGTAGACATCTCCGAATATCAGACGCTGGCGATAATAACGCAAATTATTTTGCTGCTGGCTAATTAATATTCCAAAAATAAAATGGCCGTTAAGCGTTGTGTAATTATAATGTTTCTATACAACTGCAATATAAGTTCACAAGCCGTGGAGAAAGAGAATATTTATCACTTACTACAAGTTTATTATATCATAAACAGCTAACGCGTTTTTTTCATTTGTTACCCCCAAGATAAGCAGTAATATGTGAACCAACAGTAGCTCTTTCCTTTTTACATTTCTAAGTGAGTGTCGCTCGTAGTCCAGCTTTTAGTAAGCTGTGTTTTCGGCGCCGTTGTGGCGTTGCTCATATTTCGAATTCGATAGACACCGTTTTAATAAGAAGTACAATTTTGAATAGAGAGAAATTCACCGTTTCTCATGCATGAGATCGTATTTTCAATTAGCAATGTAGCTTAAATCTGTACCGACTGTAGCTGATAGTATCAGGAGTCTTAGGAAGCCAAGGCTGAGAAGCAAAAATATTTTAGCACTGCAGACATTCAGTCCAGAGGTTGGTTTTTATTTTAAGTCCTTTTGTTCTTAATCCCATTTTTTTATAATAATTTTGCTTATCACAGCAACTACATTGATACGTAATATCACGTAATGTCATGTTAAGGGTTTTTATAATGATGATTTCATATCTTTGTTTTTAATTGCTGAGTGTGATTTCAATAAACAAGCCAGCTTTTAAGTTTCACAAAGGTATCACTTGTTGTTGTTATTGAGTAATGGGGGGCTTGATACCACCCTTGACTTAATCTGCATTTTCCTGAAACTTTTTCCTCCATTTTCATATCAGAGGAAGGTCCCTTTAACTTTTGATTGGTAAGGAGGTTTCATTTCTTCCTAGAGTGATCTCCCTCGTGACATGAACCGAAATGACTCTTTGTGGAAAGAGAAATCATGTTATTACTTGTAAGTAATGTACATGAAAAAGGTATCAAAGAAAGTCAAGACAAACGAAATTTTGACAGCGCGCACGCTATTGTAATTTGCATGAACTCCTGTTACAACTTTGCATTCGTCTTACATAAAAAATGCGCTCTTTCTCAGCCAATCAGACGCGCGTGATTTGTTCACGAGTATTATTGGTTTATCTTTCCCGAGAGTCTCATTGTTTCCCGGAATTAAGTCGAGGTGTACAGTGAAATACACCCAGGACGAACATGGTGAGAAAAGGAGAAAAATGAGCATTTTTAACAGTACAACTTCTGAGAGAGTTTCTATTTTGTCTTTCGATAACATAAAACAGAGCTATTTATTAGCCACAGGCTGCTCCATTGTATTCTCCAGAAGTGACGGAGAGCTAAGTCATGGAATCAACGAGAAGTTCAGAAAAAAGAGCTTCAAAAATATTACCCCACAGTCACACCGTCAGCCTCAGCCACTTTCTGATCACACACAGAACCTGGACATAGATGGAGATAGATAGAAAAATTATAAAAATATTCAAATCTGCAGCCTCCTAAGGCTAAATTGCATGGTTTTTACAAAAATAGCAATTTCATGTAATATAAAATGACTGCATAGAAAAAACTACGTATAAAAGTTTTACTGATTGGACATGGATTGAATAAATGAGTTCGTGTAACGATTAGTGCGCATTTCCGGCAACATAAAATTGCGTTAGTTTATGAAATTGTATCTGCTAATATAATGTTCCTGGGTGGCACAGTATTATAAGATACGATTGAAACAAATTGTTTATAACACTTTAGATTATAAACAATAGTCTATAATCTTTCCTTAGAAACACTGACTTCGGAAATAGTTTGCAGTTATTACCAACGTTTTTGTGTTTGCCAACACCTTTTATGAAAAAACTTGGTGCTTTCACAGGAATATGTGTGTTCAACTTCGAAATCCCTATTTCAATTTTTATTTGAGCTAATTGCATTTGTGTCAGCAAAAGATTACAGATTGTTCTTTTGGTGGAACCCCATATTTTGGGGTAACACGCACACTGGGGCAAGTGTCAGCAAAATCGTACCTCTAAACTTTTTTTTCGATCCATATTTTCATTCATACTTCCTAGATAATTCATTCATTCTTGACCAGTTTTTTAGTTTGTTTGTTCTTCCTTGTAAACTTAATAATAAGGCTCTTCAAAGGTAGCTTTATTCATTCCCTTACATGATACTAAAAAACTCCTTTTAAACAGAAACTGGAACATCATAATTGTTCAATCAATGGATTACAACTGTTTGCAACATCTACACACCTAATCCTCGTGGAAATTCTATTCTTAACTTCCTTGTTCCTTCCTTAGTTATCTTGTCACACTAATTGATTTTTGTTTCAGACAACAAGGTGAATTTTTTCAGAGTTGATATTTGGCCTTTGACACTTTGTAAAAACCTCAAAGTACTCTGCTCGTAGGATGTGATGAAATCAAACATCTGATTGTCTGTGCTTAGCAGTCAGAACATCTCCATGGGTTTTGTGTTTGTAACAGCTTTCTTTCAGTTTTAAATGTTTCTACAACATCTTTTTGCAAAGTTAAACTTGTGTTAATTTCTTTTTCTTCCAGAAAGACCCTTTAACACCCATCTTCGGCTCGTTTTAATTCAGTTTCGTTAATGAGTTTACGCTCAGAAACTGACAAGTATCTTGGCATTCAAATGCTAATGATCAATAGTAATCCCAAAACTTATCAAATTCAAGCGTCATTTCAGAGTTTTCATCAGTGTTTCAGCAATCACGGAACACTGATGTCCGAGGCATTCTCTGAAAATTAGTTTTCAAGAGTTGAGTCTAAATGAAACTGGCAATTCGAAATACGTCAGCGCCACGAGGAATGCTTGGTTACCAAACAAATAAGGAAGAACAAGGAAGTTTTAAGATCCAAGGTAAGTGTCTCCTTAAACCGGGAAGAAAATGTAAGAGATAGACAATAAAGAAAAGCAGAAATAATGCAAGTACAGCAAATGTAACCTGCTTTAACAATTCTCGACGTCTTTCAAGTAATTTTTACAAATCTGTATACCCCTTGAAAATGACGAATTACCAATAGGTTCCGTGTTTGCTGAAAGCAAGGCAAACATCACGCAACATGTCGTGAGAAATAGTTATGGGTATGCGTAACACTGCAAATGTTTTGCAGAGAAATACTTTGATTCACTGTCTAAGCTTATTAAGACTTACTTCTGTTTTTCTGAAGATAACATGATTATTTTTCATTTTCCGTCATTGTTCGTGAACCTCATTAGAATTTCCTATGTGTTCTCTGTTTCTAAGTCATTGTGCTCATTTTAAGAACAATTTGAAATGAATTGGTGGCTCAGTGTCACCTTTATCCGACCGCTGTTTGTGTTTTGTACTTTGGAGTTGATAACCGGTTATCTGTGTTTTAAAAGTTTACTCGCCATCTGCTTTCTTTAGATCGAAGGTTATGCGAGGTGAATATTTTTCCCATGACATAGAATGGAATGTTTTCTCTGAGCTTTATGCGTCTTCACGGAAGCTTTTCTTTTTTCAACACAAGTTATCATTTTTGTAGTAAAAAATACACCCTCTCTAGGTTCTTTTCCTCTTCGTCGTTTAATATTTAGTATGATTATTTTATGTCTTTCAAGTGAGTCGATGTGAGTCAGCAACGACGGCATTTCGCAAATATTTGCAGTGTATGACAGCATATTTACTTATGCTTGTGTAAGGAATCAAGCATGTTTGGTAATCTTTCCAGGATATTTTGTAGAGTGGTAAACTCGCTCTTGATAAACATGGAAATTTTGGAATCAAAATGGTTGGTTGTAAATTGAATCTACAATAGGAGTTTTGTTGTCACACAGGTTCGGTTACGCCTCTTTCACAGGTCCCACGGAAAGGACGTGGGCACTTTTCAAATACTTTACAGTATTTCTACCCTGTCTCTATCGTTCTTCATGATTTTCTTCCTGCTTTAGAGGACAATAAAATTGAATCATTACTTTCTTGTCAGTCCTTACTTATTTGATAATAAAACACCTCTTTATTCCCGTAGTTTAAAAGTAACTTAAGTTTTAGATACAAACGTAAGTCAAACCTTGAACATCTACTTTTTCGCGATTGATGAAACACAGGTGTGAAAACTTATAATCACAAATGAATTTATCCCATAGCCAGGCGGGCATTGATATCTGAAGGGTAAACAATCAAATGCAAAGATACATGTTAATTGAGCATAAATTCATTTACCTATGAAGATAACATTAAGGGCGCCAAGCATGTGTACTTAGTGGGTTCAAGCTGTAAAATTAAAATAAAAAATTGTCGGAATTCTCGCCTTGCATTATAAAGTTCCACAATCATATTGACAAACTTGTAGGAACCCATGAAAACTGTTACATCCACCGAGATGTTCTCAATGCAAGCCATACTCACTAAGTAGGGATATTAAAATTAAACTTTTAGTGGTTAGGATTTTCTTTTTGAGTTGTAAGCATTTGAAAGGAAGCAATAAAGAAAGACAAAGTGTCAAAGACTGAGTTACAACTATGAGAAAAGACACTGTTGGCTGAAACAGGTAGCGATTACTGTAATTAAATAAAAACAAGGAAGTTAAGTATAGATTGTCCGCTGGGATGCGGAAATATGAATCAGAATTACATGATCAGATATCCAAGAATAACCATTGAATTTCCCGTTTCCTTTATGCTGAAGCGAATCAGAGCAACTCCTACATCCCGGTTTAGAATCGCGTTTTGAATGATAGAAGGTGAATGATTCACTTACAGGAGATGCCAGAAACAACTGTAAGCAATTACCGAAGTCAAACAACTGTATTTGTTAAATTAACCCATCAGTTAATCGTAACAAAATACCTTATGCAGCAAACACTTCTGATATTTCTTTTCCACGCACCCTGATATTTCCTCAAAATCGAAACTGAATTACCAATAATAAAATGTACCTCTCGCTGAAACATAAAATTCAAATATGCATTAATAATGCATATGCATAGCATTAAGTACGGCATAAAAAGAAGCAAAGCACGGCCAAGTTACAGTGCACGCCAACTTCATTCAAAGAGAGACGAGCAACACCAAGAAGAAAATTGACGGAGTAAACCAAACAAAGCTGAGCCAAGAAGCTAACAACTATGCTCGCTGTAAGTGAACAGACACTGTTTAAGTTTAGATATCGCCTAGTTATAATTGCATGCACTACACAAACAATTGAAACAGATTTCTAGAACTGATGTATTGATCATGGCCTCTTTTTCGTCAACTGTGTATCTGTATTTTACTGAATATTGTCATCATTATTATGATTGACTTTTAACTGCATCTTTATTTCTAAACTTTGATTATTGAATGTCGGCTAAGTTACATAGAAAGAATCTAAAGGATGTCTCCTATTTTTCCCAGCGCAGTATCATCTTGTTGGCAACAGTTTTTATAGAAATAAAAATTTTGAAAGTAGGAGTTAGATGAACTTTTATGGGTTGACTAAGGGCTTCATCTCGTGTTTTCAGTGATTAGAAGAAATTAATTAAAATAATTAATGACAATCTCTATGTATTTTGTTCGTTCTTTGTAGAAACCAGCCCTCGTAATCCTGCTGCTTGTTGCCACAGCAAACTGGACATCTGCAAGTCCCGTCCGTTCCGCTCGCTCTCCTTCCAAGAAGGTAAATTAATTATTTCCTCTCAATCCAATAATCAGCACAAAAAGGCTCAGCAGTAATTCATCTTGCATGCCATGAAGAGCTTGCCTTTTTTTCCTTCTCTGTCTTCTTTTACCGTCATTTTCTGATAACCTCTCGCTCGTATAATTTTTTGAAAAAATTAAACGTTTCAAAACCAATCACCAAAATAACTGGATTTAAAATTTAAGCTTCGCTGCACTTAGAAATGCATCTTTAATTAGAGATACAAATCTCTTTGCTTGCCACAATGTTGTAATCAAACTTCACTCAGACCGTCGCGTTATCGCGATTCCTATTGTCCTTTGTAGCTACATTCTACGTAAATATTTTTACCACATATCTCAACAAACCTGTCAAAATTCAAAGGTCAGCGCACCGTTCTGAATATAAGAAGACTCCGCTCTAATCTGAGCATTTTCTATTGCACAGGTTGTGGATTATAAAGTTCATATCAGCGAGACTGGGACAGAGTACAACGAGACCATCGAAGTGGCCACGGAAAAGCAAACTGAACTGTTTAAAGTTCCTGCTCATAATGATGTGGACGAAAGCAATATTTTGCACGACTTTAAGACGGTAAGTCTATTTGTTTTAGCGTCAAGCGGTGTAAAAACATTAGGATTTATCCAATCGTCGATCAAACCTAAAAAAGTGCTTAATCAGTTCAAACCCAACTGACTCATTATAAAGCACAATCTTTTTATCGTGTTTCAAGCATAGCAAGTCTTGATGAGACCTCTTTAAGCCAACTGGGACAACGCTGAACATGATCAGCTACCCTTTACTAGACAAGACAAAGGGGACATATTCATCATGCTTACAAACTTATGTTTTCGTGTAAATGAAACACCAGTGTTAAAACAACATTGGGATTATCGAAAAATTCCTCTTTTATCGTAAAACAGAATATGACTATGATGCTGTTGCCGGAAAAAAAGATATGCTACCTTATGCCACTGTCAGAAGAGATGCCGACACCAGCAAAACTCGAGAGTGATCTTGACCGGACAGAGGTAAGGACATGATCCTTTCTTCAGACAAACGACTCAGAGAAACTGTATCATTTAAACATTATTAGATGGCAAAGTAATAAAACGGTCACAAAATTCCCTAATCTTTCATCTTTTAGTAAAAAACACAACTGCTGTTAAGTCTTTATTTGCTAACTATTCGCTATAATCATCATTCGAGGTGCTGCCACTTAAATGTCTCACATCTTGGATCATTATAAGAAGCTGGGAACATTTTGGAAACTTAACTAGGTATCCCAGTCTATTGTTGAGAAACCAATGAAAAATTCAAGAAGAGAAATATGTGGGTACGGGTTTCAATGGTTTTGTCCTGGCGGCTGGCTGACCAAAGAATACAGTGTACTGATTTGTGAACACTGTGGGATGCGCATAGCTTCTCTTTTACAGAAAGACACGTTGCTGAAAAATTCTTAAACATCTCGTTGCCGTTTTACAAGAATTAGATATTGTCCTGGCTGCTAGCTGACTAGTGCATCGATTGGTGAGAAGTACAGGAGACGCATGATTTCTCTTTTGCTTAGGGATAGCTGAAAAATACTAAGAAATCCTGTTGCTATTTTGCAGGAATTAGACAAGGACAAGACCAAAATTATTGACAGCAAGTGGATAGTAGACAAAGAGATGGCTAATCGGTCTGAACTGAGCGAGGAGTTGGCAAACTTTTGTCCACAATACCCGATATATCAGGTGAAAATGATGGACGACTCATTGACTTCTACAAGGGTTGAGACAGAAGGTGAGTCAAGGACAGAGAAGTTTGAAATGCGTATACCGAAAAAAAACAGAAGGCTAAATTGCGTTCGCGCTTTCCTTATGACTTTTATTAATTTATGAAGAGAACCCAAACCCAAACCCAAACAAAACTCTTGTTTAGCAAACTTTACTTGTTGTGACACATTTAATGCAGTTGTGTCTCTTCTTTCTACAACAGGAACGCACCATCGCAGTCGTCGAAATGCGAGATCATTTCCGCCAATTCACCCATGTAATCTGTGCGCAGGTGGAAAAGGCACCGTTACCTATTGGGATAAGTGTTGGTGTTCCAATAGTGGAGGATACTGGAAAATTGAAACCAAGATAGCTTCACGTACATGCGTTACGATCCGGGAGTGTTTTTTGTGGTTTTGTTGGTCAAAGCACTTGGTTAACTATGTATATTGTTCCCAATATGTTTGCCAACGTCCAACATACTATAGACCACGCCCATATGATGAGCTACGCCCATATGATGAACGAAACGCATCCATCGCGTTGTAGGTATCTTCACCGTGTTGAAGACAAAATGCTAACGGAAATCAGGTGTTTATTATATCATAAACATTCAACGCTTTTTTTGTTACCCCCAAGATAAGCAGTAATATTTGAACCCACAGTGGCTCTTTCTTTTTTACATTTTTAATTTAGTAGTCCAGCTTTTAGTGAGATGTGTTCTCGGCGCCGCTGTGGCGTTGCTCATATTACAAATTCGATAGACACTGTTTTACTGAAAGTTACAATTTTGAGAAGAGAGAAATTCACCGTTTCCCATGCATGAGATCGTATTTCCAATTAGCAATGTAGCTTAAATCTGTACTGACTATAGCTAATAGTATCAGGAGTCTTAGGAAGCCAAGGCTGAGAAGCAAAAATATTTTAGCACGGCAGACATTCAGTCCAGAGGTTGTTTTTTTTATTTAAGTCCTTTTGTTTTTAATCCCATTTTTTAACAATAATTTTGCTTATTACAGCAACTACATCGTTAGAAATGTCACGTAATGTCATGTTAAGGGTTTTTATAATGATGATTTCATATCTTTGTTTTTAATTGCTGAGTGTGATTTCAATAAACAAGCAAGCTTTTAAGTTTCACAAATGTATCACTTGTTGTTGTTATTGAGTAATGGGGGGCTTGATACCACCCTTGACTTAATCTGCATTTTCCTGAAACTTTTTCCTCCATTTTCATATCAGAGGAAGGTCCCTTAACTTTTGATTGCTAAGGAGGTTTCATTCCTTCGTAGATTGATCTCCCTCGTAACGTGGACCGAAATGACTCTTTGTGGAAAGAGAAATCATGTTATTACTTGTTAGTAATGTACATGAAAAAGGCATCACAGAAAGTCAAGACAAACGAAATTTTGACAACGCACACGCTATTGTAATTAGCATGAACTCCTGTAACAACTTTGCATTCGTGTTACATAAAAAATGCACTCGTTGTCAGCTAATCAGACGCGCGTGATTTGTTCACGAGTATTATTGGTTTATCTTTCCCGAGAGTCTCATTGTTTCCCGGAATTAAGTTGAGGTGTACAGTGAAATACATCCAGGACGAACATGGTAAGAAAAGGAGAAAAAATGAGCATTTTTAACAGTACAACGTCTGAGAGAGTTTCTATTTTGTCTTTCGATAACATAAAACAGAGCTATTTATTAGCCACAGGCTGCTCCATTGTCAATAGTATTCCAGAAGTGACGGAGAGCTAAGTCATGGAATCAAAGAGAAGTTCAGGAAAAAGAGCTTCAAAAATATCAGCCCACAGTCACACCACTAACCTCCGCCACTTTCTGATCACACACAGAACCTGGACATAGATGGAGATAGATAGAAAGATTATAAAAATATTCAAATCTTCAGGCTCCTTAGGCTGCCAATTGAATGATTTTTACAAAAAGTTAAAGTTACCTACACTATGTAAGATAAAAATTTCGTGTATTATAAAATGACCGTGTGAAAAAAACTACATATAAGAGTTTTATCGATTGGACATGGATTGAACATATGTGTTCGTGTAACGACGAGTGCGCATTTTCGGCAACATAAAATTGCGCTGGTTTATGAAATTGCATTTGCTAATGTTCCGAGGTGGCGCAGTATTATTAGATACGACTGAAACAAATAGTTTGTAACATTTTAGATTATAAACAATAGTCTAATAATCTTTTCTTAGAAACATCAATTAAAGCAGCTTTTCTGAAGAATACAATTTTAAACCGTGTGCAACAAAATAGCTTTCAAAGATGCTTTGGTGTGAATGAGGTATAAGTTAAGCTATTTTTTTTTCGCGATTTCGGAATAATTTGCAGTTGTTACCAATGTTTTTGTGTTAGGCAACACCTTTTATTTTTTGTGAAGTCAGATCTTCAGATTTCATGTGTTACATTATAGGAATGGTTTTCAATTGACCGTGAGGGTTTATCATGTAATCAATTTGTTTTTCTCTGTCACCTTTTATAACAAAACTTGGTGCTTTTACACGTACAGGGATATATTTGTTCAACTTCGAATTTCCTATTTTCATTTTTATTCGAGCTACCTGCATTCGTTTCAGAAAAGATTATAGATTTTTCTTGGAGTCCCATATTTTCGGGTAACACGCACATTGACAAGTGTCAGCAAAATCGTCCGTTCATATTTTATTTCGATCCATATTTTCATTCATATTTCTTGGAAAATTCATTCAGCCTTAACGAGTTTTTATGTGTTTGTTCTTCCTTGTAAACTTGATAATAAGGCTCTTCAATCGGCCTTATTCATTTCTTGATAAGACACCAAAAACTCCTTTTAAACAGAAACTGGAACATCAAAATTGTTCATCGAATGAATTGCGACTGTTTTCAACATCTACACACCTACTCCTTCTGGGAATTCTATTCTTAACTTCCTTGTTCCTTCCTTAACTATCTTGCCACACTAATTGATTTTTTTTTCAAGCAACAAGGTGGATTTTTTCTCAGAGTTGATATTTGGTTAAAACCTCAAAGTACTCCGCGCGTAGGATATGGTGAAATCAAACATCTCATTATCTGTGCTCAGCAGTCAGAACATCTCCATGGGTTTTGTGTTTGTAACAGCTTTCTTTCGGTTTTCAATGCTTCTACAATATCTTGTTGCAAAGTGGAACTCGTGTTAATTTCTTTTGTCTCCAGAAAGACACCCATCTTCGGCTCAGAAACTGACAGGTATCTTGGCATCCAGATGCTAATGATCGATAGTAATCCCAAAACTTATCAAATTCAAGCGTCATTTCATTGGTGTTTCAGCAATCACGAAACACTGATGTCCGAGGTATTCTCTGACAATTAGTTTTCAAGAATTAAGTTTATATGAAACTGACAATTCGAAATACGTCAGCACCACGAGGAATGTTTGATTACCAAACAAATAAGGAATAACAAGGAAGTTTTAAGATGCAAGGTAAGTTTCTCCTAAAACCGGGAAGAAAATGCAAGAGATAGACAACACAGCAAAGCAGAAATAATGAAACACCTCTTTGTTCCTGTGGGTTGAAATTGACTTAAGTTTTGGATGCAAACGTAAGGCAAACCTTGAACATCTACTTTTTCGCGATTGGTGAAACACAGGTGTGAAAGTTTATAACCACAAATGAGTTTATTCCATAGCCAGGTGGGCATTGATATCTAAAGAGTAAACAATCAAATGCAAAGATACATGTTAATTGAGCAGAAACCCATTCTCTTATGAAGATAAGACCAAGGGCGCCGAGCATGCGTACCTAGTGGGTCAAAGCTTTTTATAACCAAAATGCAAAATTGACGGAATTTTTCGCGTTGCATTATAAAATTCCACAATCATATTAACAAAATTGTAGGAACCCATGAAAACTGTTACATCCACCGAGATGTTCTCAATGCAAGCCATACTCACTAAGTAGGGATATTAAATTGAATTTTTTTAGTGGTTAGGATTTTCTTTTTGAGTTGTAAGCATTTGAAAGTAAGCAATACGGAGGGACAAAGTGTCAAAGACTGAGTGAAACTATGAGAAAAAAACATGAAAGTTAAGCATAGATTGTCCGCTGGGATACAAAGTATGTATATGTTGGAAACAGTTCAGTCCAATGTATTCAGTTCACTATATCGGCACTCCAGTTTCCGTCGAGAAGGATTTTTCCAGCATAACTTCAATATATAATTAAATTTGAACAAAACTTTTAGATTATAGAAATGCTTAGTGGTCAAAGGGCGACTGAATATTTCAAGAAATATGAATTAAATTTACATGATTTCATGTCCAGGAATAACCATTGAATTTCCCGTTTCCCTCATGCTGAAGCGAATTAGAGCAACTCTTACATCCCGGTTTAGAATCACGTGTTTTGTACAATAGAAGGTGAATGATGCATTAACATAAGATGCCAGAAACAACTGTAAACAATCACCGAGTTACAACACAGTATCTGTTAAGTTAACCCATCAGTTAATCGTAAAAAAATGCCTTATGCAGCAAATACTTCTGATATTTCTTTTCCACGCTCCCTGATACTTCCTCAAAATGTAAAATAAATTATTAAGAATACAATGTACCTCTCGCTGAAACATAAAATTCAAATATGCATTCCGCTATAAGTGTAGCTGAACCCTTTTCAATCGACTGGAATCCTAAAAACCAAAACTAAAATAATAAAGAATGGTATATCACAATGATAAAAACCATAAGACACCAAACGTATCACAAATTAGTAAAACACACTTTTCGCGAATAGTTTGCAACCGGCAGCAAAATACGACCCAAAGGGAGGAGAAACAAAGATACTGGGCCTTACTGGTAGAGTGAAAATTGAAAATTGCTCTTTGTTTTGAGATGACAGAGAAAAACAAATTGATTACATGATAAACCCTCACGGTCAATTGAAAACCATTCCTATAATGTAACACATGAAATCTGAAGACCTGACTTCACAATAGTTTCTATTTGAAATACTAGCTAGTCCTAATTCCCTGCATGTTATTTAATGAATAACTATGCATGGATGATATCAACCAAGATACAATTAGGGTCGAAATCGTCACATAGTCGATCGAACTTACAGTTCCAGCGAAAGCCATTGAACAATTCTCTTCCAGTATGAGCCCTGATCTGTAGTCAGACTGAGTCTTTTGAGTCGCAAACTCTGTTATAACACCGATTATTACATAAGTTCGCCCGACAGGCGTATGAGTATTCCCAGTCCAATAAATGGACATGATTTTAAAACAGCACACCTTATTCACATCCTTAATTTTACTTTCACGTATTTAGAGAAACAAGACCGAATCGCTGATGAGATTTATTAGTAAAACCAAAAAGCTTTCAAATTTCCATAACCCTAAAGCAGGTACTTTGACGGGGACTGTGCTTTTAAAAATTTCATTGATAGTTTTGTTTTTTATTTTCGGCTTGGCCTATTATATGCAATGGGGGTTGTGCCCTTGCCACTATATTTCGGCTTTCCCCTTCTCTACTGTCTGGATCTTTCCAACCTAAGGTATTATTG